GCAACTGCCGCTTCATTCTCATTGTTTCCAGCCCAGATAACGATTGATGGATGTGATTGAAGACGTTTTACTTGGTAAATAACTTCATCGTGAACATTCGATAGAAATGCATCATCAACCGGATATCTAAACAAACAATTTATTCATAAAACCGCTTTCAAATTCGAATTTTCAATGTGAACTTACAAACTACATGCAAACATGAAATCATGCCAAAGCATAATACCTAATCGATCTGTCATTTCATAGAATGAATCACGTTCATAAATACCGCCACCCCATATGCGCAACATATTCATATGCGCCAGTTGTGCTGATTGAAGAAGACGTTCTAGTTTTTCGTCACTAACACGTTCTTGAAATGCATCCGATGGTATCCAGTTGCTTCCTTTGATGAAGATTGGTTTGGAATTAATTACGAAATAAAATGATGTGCCATTGATTCCTGGACCGTATTCATGTTGAACTAACTCAACTGTACGGAAACCGATCAAACGAGAATCAATCATCGTGCCTTTGTTGGAAATTGAGAGTCGATATAAAACTTGATCACCGTAACCATTTGGCCACCAACGTGCAACTTGAGCGTCGGGAATTTTGATTTGAAGTGTGACACTACGATTAAAAGGGACAACAACTTCGTATGTCCATGTCGTATTTTCTAAGACGAATTTCAATGTACTTGAAAATGGAGCATTGTTACTGCTTAACATCACATCCACGAGCCAGTTTTTATTTGCCACATCAAACGAAGCGATATTTACACTTTCGAGTTCGATAATAATGTCACTGGCATTGATGGCTTCAAGATATATATCGCCAGTGATACCAATCGGAGCAAAAGCTGGACCCTGAAAGAGAATGTTTTAAGTTATTCGATGGAAATCAACTCGATGGAAAAGTCATACCCAATCCCAACTGAATGAACATGGTTCTTTTCGAATAAATTGCACATGACATTCACCAAGTTGAGCCTCAGCTGGGCAAGACGGTGGCACAGTTCGATTATAAATTATTGATTGTTCCAGCGCATACACAACTGGCGAATGAAAATCAACTTGGATCACATTTTCTGGTTTCAAACACGTATTCGGAACAGTAAAGACATATGCAAGAAACATATTGTTGGTGCGACCTATGGGACAACCATTGATAGTTATATTTGCAACTGTATCAATTTGTTGAAGATGAAGATAAGTATCATTAAAAGCGAGGAAGTCGGCGGAGAGGTTGAACTTTTTTGTAAATACCCATTTATTATGAATTAGAAAACGTAGGTCAACATCGTTGAAGTCCATGTAGGGATCCGGAATTTTCTTGGCAGCTAAAAGAATAGTATGAATGGTACCGGGCACTTGTCCTTGTGCTGTGTGATTAGCATTGTCATCTATTGACCAATCGTTACCAGTTAACGGGACTCGAACGGATGATGACGATGAAATAAAATGAAGAAGAAGAACCAAAACAATAGAATGAAACATCATTTTATTCTCTTGGATTTTTCGCTCAACTCTTAAAGAAACCTCGGATAGTCAGAAACGTGCTTTTTTCCTTGGAATAAAAGTAAAAGACTTTATCTAGCCGAGCCTTTTATTTATATTCTTATCATTATCGCTATGACTATCTTTCTCTCCAACGAGTATATTTAACTTGTTCGAGAGTTGATAAAACTTGTGATAAGACGAGTTTAAAGATCCTCGAACGAAATGTAAATGGATATAAAACCGCGAGATGATTTTGTTTTCATATACAAAATTTTATTAAATCTAATCCATAGAAAACGATTTCCTTTCCTTTTTCGAATATCGAAAACATACAAATTACATTGATTATCATTCTCTCTCTTAGAACAAATCAGCCATCTTTCTTTCTTTTCTTCTTAACCATTTCGTCATCGGATGCACTTTCATCCTACAACAAAGAAAAAAAACAAGAGAAAATCAATGTCTTCTAGAAATGTAAATGACGCACTGATGAATGACTAGATGCACTTTTCTTCCTATGCTTCTTTTTCGACTTTTTGTGTTTTGTTGTCGAAGATGAATTATCCATATCTTCGTCACTATCTTTTGCTTCACCTTCATCACTTTCCGTTGCGGCTGACGTTTTTGCTGGCTCGTCATCTTCAGATTCCTACCGAATGATACAGAAAAACAGATCGACTTGTCTTTTTTTTTTATTAAAACTCCGATTTACTTGTGGTGAACTTTGTTTTTCATGTTTACGCTTCTTTTTTCGTTTTTGAGTATGATTTGAACCATTAGTGATCGCTTGTTGTTGATATTCATCAAATAGACGCATACGATCGAGATCCGATGACAGTGCTTGATATTCTTTATCGTTTTCAATCTGTCCTTTAACATCTTCCCATTTTGTTTGTTCATTTATCGATTCGATTTTTAGTTTTAATAATTCTTTAAATTTCGATTCTAATCGTTTTTGCTAAACGACAAGCACGATGATCGATTTCGCAGGAAAAATCTTTTCTTACTTTTCGACTCTCTTCTTTCAAACGTTTCTTTTCTTTCAGTACAGCTTTCTCCATTAGCTAAAACACAATCTGTGAGATGGTGAATATTGAAAAATGTTACACTCACATGGTTGAATGCTAATTTAATATTTCCAGCATCGAGAGAAACAGCACGTTTATCTGCAGAGATAACTTCTGCGAACTTCTCAAATGTCGAATCGGTTTCGATAGTGTAATCTTTGGCTTTCAAGATTTCTCTCACAATCTTCTCTTCATCATGAAAACGAGCTTTCAAATCGGCAACATAGAATTTAAACAGATCTAATGGCGTTGAACCTGAAATTTGCAATTCGGTTTAGTTTTGTACAAAAAAAAATGAATATATGCACAAACCTGGTTGACCAAGCATTTGACTGAATCGTTCGTCGTTGGATATTATACTAAACAGATCAATCCACAATGACATGGAATGAAGTTTGCCTTGTTCATGTAATTCATCCAAAAAATCCTGCAAAGAACATCAGCTGTTAATATGCATCAAATCAAAGCGCATCCTTACTAAAAATGCTTCGCGATTTTGTCGATTTGTACGTCGGAGATATTTCTTCTGAATTTCTATATCTTCTTCATGGATCTTCTCTAATTGTCGTATGTAATCTTCGAAAACAATCAATGCATCTTCTTTGTCCATGTCTACAAGCAGAAAAATAATAATCGTGAAAAGAGCAAGTTATGGGTGTTATACTTTGCAATTCAATATCGTTGACGAAGTCAATACTATCGAGCAGGTATCTTTGAGCTTCTTGCCAAGTTGTTTTGTAAGTGATTTTAGATATGTTCGTGAGAATGTCTTTTAATGCTTTGACGTTGCGTTTTTTTAGGTTTCTTGCATCTTCCTGAAATGAAAGTAATGAATCGAGAATGAAGAAGAGAAATTGACTCGAACTTTTTCTTTTTTTTCGAGATAATTCACAACGTCATCATATAATTCTCGTCGTTCACGTTCTGGTACAGTTGTCCATACTTGTAGATGTCCAAACAGTTGTTCTGCTTTGCGATATCTTATGGTCGAATTCATATGTTCACAATTTTGCAAGTAAGTTTCGAATTCTTCTTTAACTTGTTTTAATTTCAATCGTTCGGCTTCTTTCTCTTCTTTGACTCGCGCAACTTTATATGCATTGAATATTTGTTTCTTTTCATTGATATGTTTTAGCGCAACATAGCGTGGATCAGTACTGAACAATTTCAAAGCTTGTTCCCATGTTGAGTTGGATGGAACATTCTTTTCTCTTAGTAAATCTTTAAATGCGTCCATGGCTTCTTTTTTCGACGCATATTCGATTTTGACCGGTGGTTCATTTGCTTTTGATGGACTATTAGTATCCGTGCTGTCACTTTGACTATCTTCACTATCGTCACGACTATTTTCATTTGAGGGTGAGTCGTTCATTGGTTGCATGCCAGCAGACATCATTGCAACGGGAGGATACGCACCGTATGGCATACCCATCGAAGGTGGCATGAGATTGAAGGGTGGCATCATGGGTGGCATTGGTGTTACCGGTGAACTAGTACTAAGTATACGCAAAAAGTTTCTTTATAAAGTACTGAGATAAATTCATGAGAGATTTTACCTATTGGGTGAGTCATCAGTTACTGTTGATTGTTGTTGTACGATCATTTTTTCAATATCTTCTAATTCTTTAGGCTTTGTCCAACGGGATTCTTTCGTTTCAATATTATGGAAATAGATACGTCCATTATCGGATTTATATTCACGCCATGGACATTGGGTTAATAGAACCTAAATGAAGCGTTCCCGGTTGAAGAGTCTGATTTGCAACAGATTGGTACGAACTTCGGTAGACGATTTCAATTCATCGGGCTTTTCCCATCGGGATTCTTTCGAAATCGAATTGTAATAATAAATTCGGCCATCAGGCGCTTTGTGTTCGCTCCACAATGTTTTCTTGTCCTGACCGGCAGGGCCACCATAACCGTCATCATTCTTACAGAGAAAAGAAGAAATCGTCATTTAAACAAAAATTTTCTATAATCTTACTTTCATTGAACCATTTACTACAACAGAAATCAAAATCAGTACTTCACAATAACAAATTCATCACTTACATCCCATCATGGGCGGTGGTCTCATCATCATAGGTGGTACCATCCTTGGGTGTGGTGGATATTGTTGTCCACCACCCCAACCAGACGGTGCATGCTGCATTTTGTTATTGTCGAACAGACGATCAAATCAATATCATATTTGAATTTGACAAAAAGAATTTCGCTCATTCTCTTTTCGCTGCTGCATACATTGGTCTAGTAATTGTACCATTCAATGATCATACTAAAGATGTCATTATCAGTCATGGATTCAATGTGAACAGTTTGTTTGATGAATAAACCATCACAACCTGAATAAAAATGGCTGGAATTCAAGGTGATGAACGATTTCTTCTCTCTTTTTCGAACCTCAAAAGAACACCGTTCAATTGAAAAGAATCGAGACTTCTCAGCAAGAATGACAGATAGAACACGATCGGCAATTCAATATATCTACCCTCTTCGTTCGCAATCATGTCGCGATTGCCGAGATAAAGTAACACGTATGTCAAACGAACAACTTTTCAAGAAATTTCTTTGCATCGATTTGACTCGCTTAGGCACAGCCAGCGAACTACATCAGCATACGGTTGATCGTGCCCAACGTCGTTTTGAACGACAGTTAGCCAATAGCGAACGAGAATTGAGATCAGCAATGAAACAACGACGTGATAATTCGTCTTCCGTTGCAGAAAAACGTCAAGCTACGCAACATCTTGAACATCTTCGAACAACCTTGAACAATGATTATTCACAACTAATCCAAGTAAACTACGAGTTTCTGTTTGTCTCGATCTGTTTCACATCGTACAATTTTGCCTAGGCTTATGTTCACGAACACAAAGTGAGATGATTTATTGACTCAAATTTTGAAGTTAATAATTAACCCACTTACTAACCATTTGTTTTGGTTAACTGCAAACTGATTTGTAACGTTATTCGAAATACGAAATGAGAAAGTTGACCGATTGTAATTTTGTCTAGGAAAAGGTCGATGAAGTTGAGAAATATATACATCAACGTTACGACGAAGACCGTCATTACGAAAAATCCTTATCTCAAAAGAAATTCAAAGTAAAAGAAAACTGCAGAAAATTCCTGTTAATACTTTGTCTATTATTACTTAACTTAGGACGCTATTCAAGAAACTCAACTTCAAAGTGAAAAAGCTCGTTTAGAGTCGATCAATCAAATCATTCGCGAGCGTGACGCCGTTTGCGAAGAAAAATTAGCTGCGCAAAAGAAGTAATCTCTTCGTACGAACATTCATTTCGCCCTATGAAGTTTCTAATTTAGTTTGTTCAATCGTCTTCTGGATGAGCAAGCACGACGCTTACGTGCAGAACAAGCTCTACATGGAAATATCTCATCGGCATCTGCCGAACCAGTTGACATGGCACAACTGAAAGGTCGTTTAGCGCGCGTCGAATACGAACACCGAGAAATCAAACAATTAATACTTGATATGCGCAATGATCTAGCAGCTCTAATTACACAACAGCATCCAACATATCGAAACACAGTTCATATACGAGACTTTCCAATTAAACCTTAATTCTAATTTCAATATACGAAAAACTCAATAATGCGTAGTAGATTTGTCATATTTAAGAATACAACATCGATGCCGTTGCATAAATGTTTGATAATTAAGGAAGGAAAAGCTATTAGAATTTTTGCTCTCGTATGAATTTATAATTAAAATACATGACTCAATATGAAATCACACAACGAAACAGTTCCTATCATCCTATCCCTGCTCCTACACATCCGTATTTGAATAGAAGTTCTTCGAGTGAATGGTTATATCTTCATAAAAAGCGGCGATTACGAGATAAACAGGTATTTTTACTGTAATCATGAACTAGTCACATCCGATTTTGCTAGAACGTCCATGAAAGTAACATTCTACTGGCAGGAGAACAGAGCATACGATACGTGTATTGGAAAAGTATAGGATTAATATAATATCTGAAATAATCATGGAAAACACGTAGTAATCAATGTCAATTATAAAATAAGCGTTTGTTAACTTGCGTCAGTGCTTCTGAACGCAATACTAATCATAGATTCTAAATGATATATATCATTTCCTGATTTGTTCAGCAAAATTCGGTCAGATTCAGTTTAGAACATTATAAGAGTTCTTTTCAGGAGAGTTTGTTCGACGTTGAGATCTGAGACATGACTTGAAAACGTTTATTTTTTTTTCTTTTCTGTTCTACGCCTGCATCCTTCATTGTTTAACGAACTGAATAAAAGACTTTGTATATAAACACAAATAAGAAAAGACTTTTATTAACTACTCATTTTGATATCAATTCATTCTCGACGTGGGCAATATATTTCATTCATCCTTTCTTGTCTTGTGCGGTTAGATCATGGGTCGATTGTTCGGAAACCTTGCGATTTTTCTCTTTGTCCTTATGTTCGTTAACTCCAATGAAGGTAGATCACTGATGTTCGATGCCCTACAACCAACAAATACCAAAGCTCCTGTTCAACACTCGGTAAGTGAATTCAATTTGATAGAAAAATAAGTCACATTAGTTTTTATAGGATTTCGATGTCGTGGATTCATGGTCTCCTGAAGAACAAATACTGGACAATGACCGACAAAAGCGAAGTGAGTTATTGAGGCAACCGTTCGAAGGAGTAGGAAGGAGGGATCTTTTCATTTAGATTGCTTTCTTTATGCTATGAAATCAAAAAATCGAGCGTCGAAATGGATGTGTTGGTGATAGGAAGATGAAACTCTCTAATGAAACTTTTTCGATGTAGTTTCTACTTGGAATAAACAGAAAACAAAATCGCCCTTATTTTGTGAAATAACTTTGTGTTGCAGAGCACCAAAAAAATGTAATTATTATATAGAATAATAATATGCCACTCAGAGATTTTATGAGGTGCAACTGTAAGTTTACAGTGACTACATTCGAAGAAATGTTTGACAAAATTTAGTCAAGCTTAAACTGATGAACTTCCATTTGTATGATCTTTTTCAATGAAGAATTATGAAAGATCGTCTGACAATGCATCGTTTGATCGCTGAAACATTGTTTCTTTTTATTTTCTGTCAATATCGCGGACTCATGAACTAACATCCATTTTTAAACGTACCTGCGGATAATACACCATGTCTGGATAAGAGTGTATTAATAAATCAGTTTATTATGATCGTGAGAGCAGTAAGTAGATGTCTTATCTTATTTAAAGGATAGGAAAGCGGGAGAGTACTTCGAGAAAACTGATTTTTATGACGCAGTTAATTAATAAGAAATCTTTTCGAGAGGCAATCTACTTTATTCTTTAATAGAAATATTTATTTTACATAAATTATAATTCATCAAAATACAAAATTTATTTTACACGTGTTCGTCGACTTTTCGTCGTTCGAGTATGTCGCTTCGATAGAGTTGACTTTATAGTATAATCAGCATCAGTATCTTTGTCATCCGTAGACAATCGACCGGGAGATAATGTGAGATTCGTTGATGAAATCAATGGACTCGATGTACCAATACCCAAAATATTCTTCTTTTTCTTCGTATGTTCGTGCTCGGACGCTTTTGAACGAGACTTCGAAGATTTTGTGCTGGCCACCGATGTTTGATGACTTTGAAAGTGACTATTTTTGGCAAAACGAGCTGTTATAATATCATCGGTTAGTAATTTAACGCCTAGAGGAAACGCGTATGACATAAGGGGAAGAAAATGACAGAATCTTTAGTTTACCTTTAGTACGTGATAGTGTTGAGTTATCATCATCTTGAAAATCGTAGGGAGAAGATTTTTTCGTTCGGCCTTTCTTCTTCGGTACATCGTCGGTTGTCATTACAACCGGTTGACGTGAAATATCAACTTTTCTCCTTTGTTTTTTGGATTTATTAGTCGATTGAGTAAAAAACGCATGTGTATCAAAGATAGCTGTAGAACTAAATTGTGGTGCCGACGGTGGTAAGGGTGGGAGCATGAGTTTCTTTAGTTTCGTTTTCTTTTTTCTTTCATCTGACTTCGGCGATGAACATTGGTCTGGATCGACATGCTGGCAAAAGAGAGACAGATACAAACAATAGACACTTCAGTTGTACATACAAATGACATTAGACTAAGATTTCCCAAAGTTTTATTGATCAGACGATGTGGTTTAACAATCGTATCATCAACAGCTAGTTGAAGGCGATCCGATGGCGGTGATCGACATCTAGCAAGAAAACAAAAGTTAGGTTCTTTTTTTTTCTTAAAGATTTGAATTCACATACGTTTTCGATGGTGGCGGTGGTGTTTTAAATGGAATAATAATTTCTTCAGATAGTGGAGGCGGTGGCACTAAATATAGCACATATCAATCGAGCGAACACCTAGTAAAGTAAATACGTACGAGGAGGTAAAAATTCATGATCTTGGACGACATCGATGAAATTGTCTGCGACAATCGGTGGTTCATCAGGAAGATAATCATTCACTATAGGCAACGGTTCAGTGGATGTGGGAATAGGAATAAATGGATCAGGTTTAGGTGGAAGTTCAATATTGCGTTGGAGTTGAAATCTTCGATATGCATCTCCAATACCATTCTTCCATTGTTGTTCGATAGTTAATTTCAATCGTTTTCGTCGTCTTTTTGTATGAGTAGACGGTATTCGAATAGGAATTTCATTGATGCTCGTTCGATAATAAGCATTGCCAAGAAGAAGTTTGGGTGCTAGACGAAGCAATTGTTGTTCGACTCGAGAATAATCTTTCAGAGTGTGTTCGTGTTTGATTAAACATGAATCTAATCTCTACGAGGAAAAGAAATACCATTCTATAGGTTTGAACAACAGACAGAAACACAGGTAACGAACTTGATCTATTTGAGCAAAATCAATCGGTTTTATTCGTTGAAGCAACTGAGCTATATCTTCTTCAACAAGCGTTATTTGACGACGTAATTCATTACAATGTTCCTGCTGTTGAGCAACACGTAGTTGGTTTGTAATACGGACTAAGTTATTTACATTGAAAAATTAGGAAAAAACGAGGAGATTTGTCAATTTGACTTACTGCGATGTTGAGTAAACAAAGATGGCTTCCATGGCCACCAAGTTTGTTCTACTACCATCGGTACCCAAACAAGATTTTCCTTATGATCGAAAAAGAGAACAATTGATCAAATTCATGAACACAGATTATTGAACAAAGACCCGCGTTGATCAGCTGCATTCATTCGTTCATTCATTATAAATTCTTATAATTTTTTTCTTGAGGGAAAAAACGAAAACAACTGGAAAGAAATTCAAATCCTATCTCACATTTTCAATCGTAGATAAAAAAAAGATTAATAGCGATTAGTATAGGTGGCGCTAACGTTCATGAAGTACATGATGTTTCCTGCGAATTAACAGCTTCTGTGATACATTCGTTTTGCTATTAATTCTTCAACAGTATGGACAACATGTTTCTTATTGATCTCCTTTGTGATTTTACATCTGTCAGACATTTAATGAATGTTTCATCATATGAACAGCAGCAATAACAACAAAGAACAAAAAATAAAGAAAAAAAAGGTCTAGTTTAAAAAGAAATTAGTATATTTGTGTACGTGAATGTCTGTATGTGCGTTGTTTGCTGTTAAATTTTGTATGTATTTAGAAAGAAGGAAGAAAATTGAACTAAGAATGAATGTCCATCATATCGGCGCTGGTTTGTAATTCACCCTCAGATGGTTTGGCAACGTGAATCTTCTCTGGATACATGTTATCAAGGACGCGGATACCTTGAGCATCAATAATTCGTACGAAAACACAGTGTGGATACGCCGCCATGCGTTTGCCCAATTCGTTGACGATTGTTTGTAACATAAATAAAGCTTCATTAACTGTTAAATCTTCTTTCCATAAACGATCGCCAATACCCAAGGCGAAAAATTGACAAAAACCATGTGCAACTACATTGGCTGACACCATGGCACCTAGATAATCGATCGAGTACAATTGTGCGCGATTTTGATCACGTTCGTTCGTTGAATAACCACCGACGATAAGATTAGCAAGAAAAGAGTTGCGCGAACGGAGTGATGTGGCCATTTCATGGCGAGTAAAGTTTGCACAAGCGTATGGTGATAATTCAATACCGTTGATCATTTTATATAATTGGATGTTTTTGCCGACATATTCAGCGAATTGAACTACATCACCAGGTTCTCCAGCTGAAATCAAAGTTGATCGTATGAGATAATCTTCATTTCGCTCTACAATACATACCAGCAAGCATAGCACAGTGTTCACTCAATTTAAACAATCGATTGGTATCAAATTTCATATTCAAAATACCATATTTCGTTGTATTGGCATCTTGTGCTAATAAAACGAAATCTTTTCCGCGAATGCCGATGACTGATTCAACCATGCTTGGTGAATTTTATCTGAAACAACAAACAACAACAAAATCTGAACGTTCTTATCAAATCGAAAGACGAAAAAGAAACATGGAAGTTATCTACCAAAATTTCCAACTACTCTTCTTTTCTTCTTGACTAGTTGATGAACTAAAACCTGACGAAAATTCCGGCGATTGCAAACCCATGTCCGGTGCACCTAATGAAAAATCCGTTGATGTACTAAATTCATTGGATTTCATCGATGCAACAGCAGCAGCACCTTCTTGACCAAGTTTATTAATAATATAATTACTCGAATCAATGAATCGTTCGACACAATTGGCTAAACACGTCTCACTTTTACCATCCAGTCGCGATGATATACTTGGACTACAAATTTCCCAACATTGCTCAGTCAGTGAATGAACAACCGATTGAAACCGTTGCTTCTGATTTTCTTGCTCAATAAATGACGCTAATTGAGGATCACCGATACCCTGACCAGCACTGGACGACAAATCCATGATCTAAAAAAACCAGTCATTTTTGTCTTTCATGTACATATACATTTATATATTAGAGAGAGAGAGAGAGTGAGAGAGCAAGAGATAGATTTATATTGTTAAACGAAAAGAGTTTATCGTTGGAGAATAATAAAAGATATATCTTTTTACAAGGTAAAGCACAAACACAAACAAACAAAGCAAAATTTATTTGTCAAAAAATTGAATTAAATTATTGATACGATTCGGATTGCCGGCTTTCAGTGCTCGTATTGAATCCTAGATAACAAAAGAAGAGATCAATAGTTTCGACGAGATACTAAACAAAAACAAAACAGGATATTTACGCGTTCTAGTACATGTGAATTCGATTGATTTGTCGGTTGTTCAAACATAGATTTTCGATTTAATCGAACATCAGTAGATGGCGTTGTTTTTCGAGTTGTTACCACTGGTTCATGTAGAACAGCTTGTTCAGATTCATTCTCATGTTTTTTATCATTCGAAATCGATTGACTACAGAAGAAAACAGAGTGAAATATTCCATTTTATAAAGATTAAAGCAATAATCATGACGTATGTGACCTTTTACATCTGTATCAATAATTATTTCGAAGTCATTTCGACGTAAATCGATTGCAATAGTGATCAAATGTCATGAAATTAAATTCAAATGCTATAACGTAATAACTTACAATTTATTTTGTTTTTGTTTAGCAATGTCTATCCACGATGCTGCAGGTTTATTGTCATTCGTTGCAACTTTATTACCCGCTGGGAGACAAACGCCACCAACTGTTTTTCGTCGATTCGAAGCTTGTGGTACAGGTGTTGTGTCAGCAGGCTTAGTTGTCGGTTCATTGATAGGTTGCGCAGGATCAACAGACGGTGGAGGCGTAGGCGCACGAGCTTCTTCAACAGGGACAGGTGCAATTGCATTTTCTTCGTTTGCTGGAACACGACAAATTGAACCACGTTTTTTAAATTGATTAAACACATTTTCAAACTCATTTGTCGATGGTTTATCATTGTTAGTTGACACTAGCATGGTTGTTGGGCGTAAGCGGGGTGTTGATACAGGATGTTCTCTTGTCTTAACATATGTAGCTGGCGATGGTTCGTCTTCGTGCGAGGGCATGATATTCGTTGGTTTCGGACGTTTAAAAACATCAAGATTATCATAGATATGTTCTTGAGACGATGAACGTGATCGACTCAGATTTTGTGTTTCTTCGTCATGGTTCGGTGGATCAACAGATGTTGACTCATTCTCAATTGTCTCTGTCGATGGTAAATCATTCTTGCGCGATTCTTCTTTTCTTGACTTTAAAATCGGTCGAGGTTTCAATTTGATATCATTGATTTCCTGTGGTCGTTTGAAGCTAACAGAGCGCTGAATAGGACTGCTGTTCACTGGTGCAAGCGTCGGGCGAGTAGAAGATGTTTCACTAGTCATATTTGTGTTAGTTGCTAACAAGATATTATCTGCTGAACGATCACGTGGACGAACAGACATTCGAAGTCGTGCTCGAGCAGAACCCAAGTCAGATGAATCAAACAACGGTTGCAAAATTTTCGGCTAAAATAAAACGGCGGCAATCAGTTTTAGAATCAACTAGCTCTGCACGCATATTCGTATTTGAACGAAATATATTTCACCGAGACATTTAGGAGAACGTCTTATCATCAAGTCATAGTTCTAGATTTTATCTGGACGAACTTCGTTTCATCGAGCGCCTCTCGCATAGTCTCTTTAAGTTTGTAACACGGCAACAAGTATGGCAATATTTACCTCCACATGACTTGTCATCATCATTCTTGATTGTTCCTCATCTGGTGTTGATGAAATAGCTGAAAATAGGAAAATTATTTTATTTACGAAAAGAATACGAAAAAAAAACTAGGAAATTCAGGTCAATCGAAGGTGAATGCATGTAAAATATGATGTAATTGAATCTGTAGTTTATGTGCCGACGGACTCATAGCTGTTGTAGATGGTGACGAAAATAAATGATTGAATATATAACTCTGTTTCGTCGGTACTGGTGGTACAATTAGATCGTCATCATCGTCATTAGTATTATTATCTATACTCAAAAGATCTCGAAGTTTGTTTTGAACGTTTTTTTTCGAAAGAAATATGTTAATTCCCTTTGCCCATTAGTCCGAACCTGAACTGATGCATAGCGAAAGCTTACCGTCAATTTTGGATGCAAATAAATCGACATCGTTGTCATCCGTTTCTCGAAGTGTACTCAACTAAAATACAATTACGATTGATGAGAAACATTGTTCATGTGAATTTGTTTACTTTTTGTTTAAGCGGTTGTCGTCGTTTATTTTTAACTGAAATACGATCTCGAGCGGCTGAATGTTCTAATTGTTGACAAGCGGATGGCAGTGTTGGCATTGAAACTGTGAATGACAAACACGAAAAGTCAATCTTACAATTCTTATTCATATTTAATAGGAACCTACCATCATCTGATGGCATTGAAGACTCCTGTAGACACGAAAAAGAAAAGAAAACGAAAGACAGACATGTTTGTTAGAAGAACGAAAATTTATCTCAATTTGTTATCTTACTCCGAATGAAGATATTTGGTCAACGACGGATGTGTATGACGAAGAGCTATGAGATGATGCCTGATAACAAAAGACAAATTGATTCATCAACTGTTGATTCGATAAGAATAGGGAGGAAGGTGTGAGTCATTTGAATATGTTAATGACTTACATTCGAACGAGATGGCTTTTTGGGAATGATGATCGGTGATGACGATGATGTCGGTCGTCGGCCAGCTGCAGCAGCGAGAAGTTTTTCAACCTAATCACACAAATATATCAATTGATTATCGATGGAACAAAAGAAGTCTTCGAAGATAGTTATATTTCACCTGTTCCTTTATCAGCGGACTAGAAGCAGCACGGGCCATTCTTTTCTTTCTCTCCCTTCTCAGTTAAAGCGGGTCGCCTTCTTTCAAACAATCGTAAATACAAAACAACAGTAGTTTTTCTTTCTTGTGTATTCGATTGCAAATGACGCCGATGACTAGAGATGAGAGTGCCGAAGCAAGAAAGACCGTACAGAAAGAAAGCAACAACAAGCAAATTAACTTTAGAAGCAAAGAGAAAAAAAGCGAAGCAGAACGACGGAAAAAAAGGCAATGAAAAGAAAACGAGTTGATACAAACATACTCACACCTGTTAATGGTATGATTCTCAACTGTCACATTCGCCTTTTTTTTCTCCTTTCTTTGACTAAAATTAGATGGAGCATTTTCGTAATAAACGTACTATGAACTTATCCGAAAACACAAGCATGCAAAAAATGGAAAGAAAGGGAATACGGACAGGAGAAAACAAAATAGCAGTGCTTATTTTTTAAACATATACCTGACATGAATTTCATGTGATTTCTGTGCAGAAGAAGAAGAAGAATAAGCGAATATTTTCATTGAGTCATTTGTGTAAATGAAAAAGACTTCTTTTCGCTAGTCGTAAGCATACCTGACTGGTTGTATCGTTTGATATGGTACTTGCGGACATCAGATCGTTCAAACTATTCTGAGAATTAGTTCGTTTCATCGGCGGCATACTGAAATGTAGAAAGACCTGTTTATGAAAACAATAGACATGAAGACAATCTTACTCTTCAATCGGTAATTCTCCTGCACGTGAAAAGACCGCCGGATGGCCAATGATCTTGTCACGAAGGTATTTAATCATAATGTCTCCTAAAGAAAAACACCAGTATAGATATTTAATCAAACGAAAGTTTAATGGTGAGTAAGTAGAAGGTGTTAGAGTGAGCACAGACAATATACACAGCATACCATCGTCTACTTCGGATACCATACGATCATTCTCGCTCATATTTTTCTTTTCTAAGATCTAGTTGCATGCAAGAATAGAAACATAAAGTTCCTTCGTTATTAGTCCATTACCTCTTCAATAACGAATTAATTTTTTTCTTCGCGTTCAAAATCTGAAAAACAAAATCAAAACAGTTTTTTGTTGATATTTTCTTATAGATCTTATCTACAAAAAATACACAACAACTATTAGCAGAAAAACACGAAAAGACCTTGTTACTGTGCAATCAGTAACTACCAACAACCATGACATGTTAGTTATACGAATAATCAATTAGTATATTTAACGTTTAAACATTACAATGTCGTTGTTCGAAATTGGCATGGATTTCTCATGTGAGACGGATGCTTTAGTGTAGGAGGAGAATATATTAATAGATAAAAACCGTTTCTAGAACGAAAAATAGTCACAGCGAACAAAGTTATGAAGAGATGTACATACAAAACGGTTAGCAAAGATAGTTTTCATCATACTAGTATTCGGTACATAGATTTGTCTATGAGATTAAAGTGGGTTCTATGATCTCACAACTGGTGATACGACAAAATATCCATGGAGATGGACTAACAAAAAAACAATGTAATAAATCGAAGACGGAAAAGGATAAGCAAATAATATCAAATCATTTCTCAAACTGATTCTTGTGTCCATATTGAACAGGAATCACGTATATCCTCTTTCTATTATTTTGCCCTAAATAAAAGGTGAATCATGTGTGTCATTGAAATTCTAGCGAAATGTTGTTCTATCAAGAGCAATTCTCCAAAGGAAAAAATAACGTGTAAAGAAACTTGAACGCACGCTAACCAATCGTCAATGAGATTATCATCTCTCAAATAACATTTATCCTGAATAGAGGTCACCCATAGACAAAATACACTTCGTGAAAGTAAAATATATTTAAACGTATACACTCTCCTGCAACGGTATTATCTGACACTAAGAAATAAAAAATAACAGTTCATGATTACATATATGTAATGACGAGAAAAAAAGACGAGGGATGTTTTGATGTATGGTTTTTGTTAAACATATTCGTGTTCACTGCTTAATTGTTGATGTTGTTGCTGTTGTTCTTCATCTTCATCGTCGATTCGGATGGTTGCTTTGGCGAGACGAAAACGAGTGCCGCGTACATAGGTTTCATTTTCGTTTTCGACAAGTTTCATGGGCTCCGTTGTGTACGAGTTGGATGAATATGAAAGAGTACGAAGTTTCCGTGGACTACTTGGAAAGTGTTGAGGATGATCTTGATTAGTGGCAAGTGAACATGCTTGATACGTGTTGTAATGCGTTGGATTATGCCATGGACAACCTAGATGAGCTTGCGCAGTTTGATCATGGCCTTCTTGTTCGACGATTTCTTGTTCTTGTTGATGTTGGAAAAGTTCGGTCCACTTTGGTGGTAAAACATCCATCATTAATGTCTACAACGGACAAAAAAATGGATAAAAATCAAGAGTTCATCTAATTTGTTGACGTTCAAACTAACTGGTAAGGGTGGTTTATTTTTCATTCCAATATCGAGTCGATTTGCATCTTGATCGAATTGTACCATTGTTTTGTAGAGTTGTTTCACTTTGCCTCGAGCTTCGGGATTGTTCAACGTTAAATCATTTTGATTTGTCATGTCTAGATCATGGAGGGAAGCAAGTGCCAGCAGTTGTTTTCGTCGTTCACGTTTCGCACTATCGCTGCTAAGAAATGAGATTGACGAAGCACTTTTACTTTCTTCGTTCATCTCTTGACTATTGTGAATCGTTTTTTGATAATCGCGAAATCGACGCATATCATTATGAAAAAAGCGATCCTTATCCGATTGTTCTTGTGCGTTCCGTGCACCACTTGGAGCAACTTCTTTGATTCGTAGTACGATCAATGCACAAAGCACGATACAAACTATGTTGACAAGTGTTAGAAGAAAACTTGCTATGGCTAAAATGAACGTCTCAGTTGACATGTTGCATGAGTAGAGTGAACGATAATCATTCGAGAGAAATGTATGACAGATTAATTCATTGTATGGATAAATTTTACGTTTTAAAATCTGAAAATGATACATGCACAGATGTTACGACGAACACGTAAGTACATACATAAGTCTCATTAGAACGGCGACCAAAGGATTTTGGTATAGCTGCAGTTAATAGCGAATAGCCTAAGAGAAGACCCTAGTAACAAAAGCAAACTGAAGTACTTTGTTGCTGCAAACATCTTACCGAATTCACCGCGGGAGGAAGTAGTGACGCTGATATAGCAACACCGACTAATGAACCTAAAGGAAAAGAATAGTACCTCATTATCGATAAATATTCGTTGATTTATCATCAATTCTACCTGCATTTCCTCCTAAGACGGACAATGCTACGCCAGCTCCTGAAGGTAAAGCAATCATACTGCCAACGGATAATCGAGTTAGATCACCACTAGAGGAAAGATTGGTATATCAATCTACAAATTTTCTGTCGAACATACCGTGCTTTCATTTCTGGTGTTGGAAAAGATGTCGTACTACCCCAATTTGTCTCCCAGACGGACGTTCCCAAACCGATTAGAAATCCTGAAGTATATGAAAAAGAAAAGGATCAACATATGTGCACATTGATGTCTTTTGTTGTTATTTCGTACCACAAGTTAAACATACAAACAAACCGATGAATTCTGCTCGAAGTCCAGCTCGCCGTAATGATCGATCATGTATACAAAATCCGAATACAATAGCCAAAATAGGTCCCTAAAAGCCGTTCATTAGAATCTGATCTTTGCTCTCCTGTAACACAAACCATTAATGGTGAAATGAGCATTGAAGCAACAAGTATAACCGAACTGTCTTCTAATAAACCGAGAGATGCTAAAATACTAAAGAAAAATGTCGTGAAGCTCAATCGAACATTATTTAGTCAGATTTGTCTACCTGGCAAGTGTAAGGAGAACGATAAAATCAAATGTGATTGCTGATTGAGCGCGAATTACTTGGACAACTTGAAAGACCATCAAACGTGATCGAATACTTTGCATAAAATCAGCTCGAATCGATTTTCGTCGTTGTGATTGCCTTGTTTTTGTCAAAAAGGAAAACAGATAAATAAATGTGACCTTCTTTTCAATTTACCGAGGTAGAGGCGGCTGTGGAGATGGTACATCATCACAGACCTTAGCTGCTTTTAGTGGATGATCTATAGTTGGTTTTAACGATGTCGTAGATAATGTTGGAACTTTACATGAGTTCAATGGTAGTGAATTTGAATAACCAATTGCATATGTCAAAGGTATAACCCTACGAAATAAAAACGACAAAGCAGGTTCAGAAAAGATTCTCCGATTAATCTTACGCTACTCTTGTACCATTCAATCGGCCGATTCCTATATCTGATAGACGACGAAGAAGTTCCTCACAGAGTATGCCTATTTCCGACACAAATGTTACCTTTGGATGAAAAAAAAAGAAATAGTTATCGAGAATTTCAATGGAAAGTTTACGTACTTCATATTGTTTACGGTCGTCAGAAAGAATCCATGTTGAATATTCGCTTAAGCCATATCTATCAAGGATAGCATTCTTCAGAAGCTACAATACGCAAATAAAAACATCGAAATCAATGCCAAATAAACATTGTTTTATTGAACCTGGCACAGAGATGCAGAGTTGACTTTGGGAGACGGTGTAGTAGGTGCAGACATAACTCGTTCAAACTGAGGTGTTTCACCATCGTTAGGTTCGTACGATTGCTAAGTAAAAATATTCTATTCTAGTCATCAAACAATCCTCATACTTACTCTAATCTTACTCGGTTCATTCTCATTCTGATGTACTGGTATAGTCCAATCATTAGGTACACTAATAATGAATAAATGATGGTCAGACATTGTGCTTAGTAGTATGTGAATGAATGAATGAATATCTAAAATCTGACTAAGAATTCGAATCAATCTGACGAGTGTCCTTAATGTTCTCTTCTTCTTTCTCTCTCTCTCTCTTCGACGAGCGATTATGCACGATACGCACATTTTATACATGCGTTATTTTTATGCAATCACTGTCTAGAATGATTATGGTGCGAAAATCGAATGGAGATAAAAAACAAAAGGAGTGTTCTCGGATTGTCGATATTCGTGCACGTCAACATAGAGAAAAAGAATATTCTCGGACAAGACGTGATCTTTGTTTTTATCGAATATTCAGATATACACATACAGAATGATCGATTGTTTTCAATTATGTCTTCAGTTAAATGAAATTGTCTTATATATCGTAATAGTCGAAATTCATATTAGAAACGTTGTAAAATACATATGGTTGATTGATTATAGCTTTGAATTTTTTTATGTTACGATGTCTATGATATCGATTTATAAATCATTGCGTTTGTTTCGTCACATGACTGTAATTTTTTCATATCATCATACATTCAACAATGGATCTTGTTATCTGCATGCCATCATCGTTATATTTAGAAAGTTTTGCTTCTGATACGAATCAATAATTGCGATAATCAACATCCGACCAACCATTTCTCCGTAGATGTCATTCATAATTACTAGTCAAACGTACAAAAAACGTTTCGACTAAAATTCCATGAAATTTTTCGCAAAAGAATCCGTACAACGAAGATATTCATATAGGGATTCACTGCCATTTATCGATGGTACAGAGACAGTTTTCTCCTATTTATCCATCTTGACATATTTGTCCTTTAATCATCTACATATATATATGTATAGATATCATCCAGCATCGTGTTTTTTCGCTGTTCGGCAAGCAGCTACCAACCATCGACTATCAAGATTTGTATGTCTATGTATATCTTTCTATGTATACATATATATATATATATAGATTTATTGTTCCTTATTAGTAGTGAGTCTTGTTCGTTGTCGCTGCAACAGACACAAAAAAAGAAAAGACATTAAGTATTTTTGCATTCTCTTTTTTTGTAGCTATTTCCGGATAATCTCGTACTCATACGATGGTAAGATCTTTATTCATTTTCTTTGTCTTCATTTAATCGTTATACTAAACGACAGATTTCATTACTTTGATGTTAAAAGAATTGCATCTCCTATTGGCTTCGAGGTTTTTTTTTCGTATTGAAATTAATCTATAGCTACTCTCACCATTGTACATAGTACATCCTATAATCGATGATTAAAAACCGATTTTGTACGAAAAAAGAACGAAAAAAATTCATGAGCGATGAAAATAACAAATCTCAAAAGACAGTCTCATTAACATGTAGTTCTGTAAGAGCTGTAGGTGAGGGTCGTGGTGGTATGGGCGGAGCTGTGCGTACAGGTGTTGTTCTTGAAGATGATGTCGGCGATTTTTGACGTCGATGATGCGATTTATGATGATGATGATGGTGATGATTATCATTAGTGTTACTACGAGTTGACGACTGAGATTTAGGAGATGATGTTATTGTCGGAGGAGACGTCGACTGTTGTTTTTCTTGTTGTTGTTGTTGTTGTTGCGTTTGGTCAACGACTGTTGTATGAAGTACGGAATCACACGCTTGATAAGCATCTATTGAATTAGAAAAACAACAATTAGCAAGTGTACGTTGTTCATTAAGAAGTAATTTTGGAAAGAGAATATCAAATTTAACGATGAGATCACCACGTTTTGTCGTATCTTTCGCGTATGGTAAACCTTCATTAGGAAACCGTTTTTCTGTTTGTGGTGTGAGAATCTCTTGATAAGTTCGTAATTGATAGGATGGTTTTGTCGAATCAAGGAAAGGTATGACTAATAATGTGCCAAGTAATGCTTGTTTTAATGTGACTTTCACTCGAAAGATTATATCTGAATTTGAGCGTTCGAATAATGGATGTGGTTTATCACGAATAATGAAGACAATATCACCTGCTATTGTATATTGATCACCTTCATCACCTTCATTTTCGAAAGTGATTTTTGTTCCTGAACAAAAAAAGAAAAAGAAAGATTCGATATCGTGAACTACTTTCTTCTTTGACACCTTACCTTCTTTCCATCCCGGTTTTATCTGAATTTCTAAAACTTTTTCATCCTTAACTGTCGTATGTAACTCAGCTTTGTATCGATTACGCGTGACTTTCAATTTCCTAGTTGCTCCGTTTAGAACTTCATCTAATGTTACGTAAAGGTCATAGAATGTCGTTGGGTCTTTATATTTAATATAGTGATTATTAGCTGGATCATATGTTGAACTAGTGGCAAATGATGATTGATAATGACCGGTTGAATATGGATAACGAAAATTAGAACGAAAGTCACCATAGGGTGAGTTTCGCGCATCGTCCAAGCCAAAGCGATCATAAATGGCGCGTTTTTGAGGATCGGACAGCATTTCATAGGCTTCGCTGATCTCGGTAAATTTTCGTTCAGCGTCGACATCATCACGATTTTTATCTGGATGATGTTTTAACGCTTTTTGTTTATAAGCACGTTTGATTTCCTCCTCCGTAGCCCATCGATTAATTCCCAAAATGGAATAGTAATCTTTGTTCACCATACCAAAGGCAGCGTCTTCGTTCGTCTAACGATATGTAACTTCGACGAGATTGACTTGATCTTACTTGATTCGTCTTATTACCATCTGCATCCTTGTACGTCTGTTATGATGATTTTTCTTGTGAATGTATAGTATAGCTTTTTCTTTTTTTCTTTCGATTGAAATATAAGTAGGTGACAAAGAAGAAAAAGAAAATGCAGAATGAGTACGTTGTATATATTATTTTACCATTATCACTTATTTCAAACTTACGAGTATATCGATAATGTTGTTCAATAACACACATAGTTAACGAACGAGAAAAAAATGTACAGAGAGTATTCATTGATCGTTATTAACATATGTTGTCTCGTCACTTTGATGTAGAAGCATAGAATTAAATGAGTATGAATTGAATTGCACGATGCAATGATGATAATTAATAATAATAATATCGACATATTGTTTGAAAAGAAAAGTATCGTCAGTCATCTATGAACCAATGTGTTGTTTTGTTTAGGTAGATTTGAGCGAACGATGCATACTTTTATGCATTGTGTTCAGCGTCTATATGTATCAATTTGTGCAAAGTCAAGTAGCAGCAAGTAATTCAGGCGATCGAACTAAAAAGCAATTGGAAGAAATCGAGGAAAATAATGAAAGCCGACAAGAAAGAGAATTAGCAAAACGTAAGTTTTAATTTTGAGGAAATAATGAAATGAATGTTTTTCACAGTTTATTCATCGTCGAAAGCAAATGCTTTTTTAACTTATGATAAATGTATGCAACGAATGAAGTGTCCAGCTAATCGTAAAGAAGAATGTAGTGAAGAATGTACAGCAGGTACGTTGAAAAAGTCTTTTGTTGTGAGTCAAATCTGAAATGTTTGGTGATGATAGGTAATACGGAAGAAGAAATTGAAGAACACAGTGAACTAACGAAAGATGAGCGTCGAAGTTCGATGAACAGAGCACCCAAACGAAAATATGAACCAGTGAAACACTCATCGAAGAGTAAACCAACACCAGTGAATGATCAATCGAACGCAAAAACAGATTTGTAATCTTTTATTTTCATTCATGCAAAAAATCAAGCCTTTCTTTCTTTGTAATCTCAACGTAACCTTATTTTGTCATATTAGAAGAATAAAATTTAGACTATATCTGACGATGAACTTGAAAAATCATCTCGACAGACTCGAAGCACATCAATTACCACTATAGTTCTTGTGCTTCACCAGCTCGTGTCATATATCGATAGGTATTTATAATTATTTTGGCTACAGTTTCTATATATCTCATACACAGACGATTTACATCTGTTTCAATGTAAAGTCACAGCTGGTGATCTGTTTTCTCCTCTTGTATCGTTGTGTTTTAGTCAGCAAAGATAACGAGATTGTTTTTCTCATCGCTGTCGACTTACATTTAGAGTTATCTTAACAGTTATCATGCATATAATCGAAATCTATAGAAAAAAAAGCACACACACACGCTGGTTTCTAAATCTTGACTTGTATACTCTGCTGATGTATTGAGAGATGGCGCTAGTCGCTAATATTCATGCTATGTAAAAGATTAATTTTTTACACCAACTCTGAATATATTTTTCAGTAAAAACTCGAGAATGACATTATTAGTTAATAAATATCTATCGATCTCATATTTCAATAGCTTAAAATCTTTCTAATCAATGACTGGATAAAAATCACCAATGGAGAGTCGCGTGAGTCTAATGGTTGTATTTATTTCTGGTTGCCTCTCTCTCTCGTGTATACCTGTCAGATCGCATCATTCATTTTCTAAGCAAGCGTTTCTTTTTCTCCATATCAGGTACAAAAGCTGATTGAATACAATCGATCTTCATGCAATTGATATCGTTTATTTAATACAAAAAAATATGCAAACTGATTACAATTTCCTAAGCGATCATTCGTATTCTATCCGCGTTGATTATGATAAATTGCCATTGAAGCAACGCGAGGTGAAATCGAAGAAACGTCGTGCAACTCCAATCTCATCGAGTATAAACACAAACTTTAAAAGCCTACTAGCCTGTTCCACTGTTTTTTCTTATTTCTTTAGAAAAAGCATCCTCGGCTCCTTATTTAGTATCTATTCACCGTAGTTCAAGTGATAAAGAGAACAGTTCATCGAACCTAAATGAAGTATCGGTCAAATCAAAAGCTAACAAAACAAAATTATCAACAACATCAAAGAAGAACAGCACCAAATCTCGAACAGCATCTGTCAAGAAGCAGTCTGTTAAATCTACCCCCAAAGTATGGCTCTTCGCATTAGAAATTACCGAGAATATCTCTTACTTAATATTTTAGTCACATGCCAAATCAACTCCAAGTAAACTTGTTCAAAAGAAAATACCGATTGCAAATTCAAAAGAGACAAGTACTATGCAGCCATCTCTATCGATTGAAGAACGTGTAAAACTTCGTCGAACGACACCGTTTCTTGCACCGATCAAACCTATAACCAATAAGAAACCTCTTAAACGTATCCATCTTTCTAAAGCCAAGAAAGAAACGATCAAACCGAAAAAATTCTTCCTTGGATCAGGACTCGATCTTGACAATATCGTTGCTGGTAATCGTCAACGACGTTCTATTCAATCTTAGACTTCACATATTGATTTTTTCGTTCGTTCTGTGCTATATGATTCTCTCTTCATTCTATTATACTTATCTATATCCAAATATCTGTTTAGCACTGTTGGCAAAAGATAAATGTTTCTTTTAATTTTATTTATTTGTGTATACGATTCTTTTTCTCTTCTTCTCTGTTTTGCTTTCTATGTGTATTAGATTGGTTCTTGTAGAACTATACTGTGCATTGATGTACAGAAACAGAAAACTAAACGTAGCATAATATATATACATATATATGCATGATAAATTGACAAAATAGATTGTAGACTAAGACTAACGTCATACTATGAAAATAAAACTGAACAAAACATCTTTATTGAATGAGTAGAATTGATTCAAGTTGACGACCTGATTCTGTATCGATTAATAATCATATTGATGGAGGCAAATGTCCAACAGAAAAATGAATTGTTTCGCTCATCTCGAGTTTGTTGCAGTCGAAAGTACACAATCTTTGTTTTTTCTCTATTTTTGGTTATGAAACTGGTTTACTGTACCTACAAACACAAAATCTTACTCGAATGTTTTTTTTTCAATCAAGTGTAAATCCATGTCACTTAAAAAAAACAGATTCCACTTTGCCAACTCAGCGCTAAGAAACCTACAATACATACTGCAATGTCCTTCAAGTTTCAAACAAGAGTGTGTTTTCAGTCGCTTTTCTTCGAATGTATATACCACTACCATTCATAAACTGACAGATAGTTTCTAAAACGAAAATACTTGCTTTTGAACAAACGATTTGTGTTCTTTTTCTTCTTTTAAAGCACTAACACAGCAATATTACGTTCATTGGTGGTATCATCGAAACTGAATAACAAAAGAACTTAGCTAACATCTTTAGAAAAGAAAGACAAAGGTGCAAAAACAAACTACTCTGAATAGTAGAGCAGAAGAAAGGATCAATAGTTCTTCTTCTAATAGTCGATAATCATTGCTTCTGTGAATGTTAAGGCAGTGAGACACGACAAAAATGAATCGAGACGTCAGACAATTGAAGTGTGGGTCGATAATTATCCGAAGTTAACAAAAGACACTGTCTAACTAAATGATGTTCTATCTCTTCGATGTCGAAAGAGAAATCAACAATGCAATTACCAAATCTAGAAAAAGTCTGTCCATCCATACGTTTAACATTAGCTGATATAATTCAAATGTAAATCTGCGCTGGTCATCATATTACCATTAACGGTACTAAAATTCAACTGTATGTTAAGCAGATCCCACATTTCCACTGAAGCTAACAAGAATTAAGCCATACTCGAAAAGATCGAGTATACCACGATCACAGATTTGTTCAATTATCGTCTAAGCTGGTATAGATCTTCTATAGAACATGCTTTCGGAATCGTGAAGTACATACTTAGATACTCTTGTACAAGAAATTAGAATATGACTTAGATTATGTACACGCTATCATCAAGATAGTCATCGTTGCACAGCTTGCACATTATTAGCAACGATCCGATTGAATTGGAACGGAAAATTCGTCAAACAATATACAAAAGTCAGCTTGTAATTAGGACTTTTCGAACAAAATTCTGCATGAGTATGTTCGGATTGATGATATATAATACTTTTGCCGTTGTACTATAGTAAATGATTGGCATAGTTCTTGTTAACGTTGTACAACTCGTTTCTTTTCTTGTATCGAATGAAATTGTACTGGGAAAGTAGAGCTCAATGCTATACAAATATACAGTATTTTCGAATAGAAAACGAATGTATATTAGCGACACATATCGTTCGTTCATAGTTTGTTATAAGGTTATATTCGTTTCTACACTCTTATTAGTGATTTAGTGGTAGAGTGTGAGCGGTCATCGAATTAAAGCTGAGATAAAACGATTGAATTTTTAGAGTGGGGTATAAAAAGCCTAACAAAACCATCATTCAGTAGTAAAGACAATGCTGATGTCTTATCTCTATTGTAGATATCATTGACATGAACAAATCGACAACTAAACCACCATGTGTCCATCGTTTTGTTAATCAGCAAACTGGTAAATGTTTGCATTGTGGTTCTATGCAACTTGTCAAGGAACCAAAGCTTCCTGTACGTGAATATCTATTGAGCGAAGCTGATCATAGTTCTTTGGAAGTTGAACATTACGAACGGTTGGTATTAATGCTTGATGAATGGAAGAAAACGATGGCGAACCGAATTGAATTATTGTACAAATCCAAACTTGAACGATTACGTGATGATTTTGAACAACAGCAAGCAATTCGCCGTCGCATTCAAGCCGAAAGAAATCAGATTGAAACTGAACCGGAAACTGAAAGTGAACATATTGAATTAACGAATATCCATTGTCAATTGAAAAATTCAGTATTTATTGACACGGAATATACCCTAATGGCTGCATCACCGGAAACAGTTCTTATACATGATGGTCGAGTCTTTAAATTATTCGATCAAAATCTTCGTCCATTAGTTGCTCTAGATCTAACAAATTCGATGCGTGAACGTTCGAAAGCTGTTGACCTATGCTATGTCTCATATTTATCATCCTATTTAATTCTTTACGAACAAGGTCTATGGACATTCCAACCAGGTTCCAATGCTAATTTAGTAACGTCGATCAGACGTCGAGGTTACCTATCCTTAACAACAAATACCAAAGATTTGTTTATGCTTGACACTGACGGTATCATTGAACAACGTTCGCTTGTGTCATGGGCATTTCTTCGTCGTTATACTAAACAACATCTCTTAAATGATTATATCAATGATCAACTACTATCCATACGGTTTCATTCAACTGATCACACAAGTCTAGCCATTATCGTACGATCAACAAACAATCGTCGATGCTTGATGATGTATCAACATTACGGTTCGAATACATTCAAATTGTTGGATCGTATTCTTTTTCCGAATATCAATATTTATACCATCGCATCTATGCATATGTCACATGTTTGGTTAGCGACAACATGTGAGAAACAAGCGTTCTTCTTCGTTGATAGTAAACGTGACTATCATCAACGGGATCAACAACAAATTTGGCTCGAATGTGATTTCGATTATCGAATTAAGAATGCTATCCAGTTTGGCAACAATCAGCGCAATATCATTATTCGAACGATTCGACCTAGTCAAATGAGACTCTATCAGTTTTGATCAATTGTTTTGTTGTATATTTTAGTTAATAAAGTTAATCAGATATTGACACCTTTAATCTGACTAGATCTCTATAGAACGATGAAAGTAAGAAGAGCAAAGGAGATAGCAGTTCTTTCTGTATTAATCTACTTACTTTCTATAAAACATAGTTCGTCATTTCATGTTAATCACAAATCATATTAACAGCTAGCTTAAATAATGAAAGAGTCTTAGAGTCAAACGACAAATAAAACGGAAGTCAGAACTAGGAAGAAAAACAAAACATTCTCTCAGATTCGATCAGCAAACTACAGACAAAAATCTCGTTATTTTAGAGGTATTCCACCATCTATCTCATAAGTATAAAAGATGAACTGAGATCAAGATAGTTAGTGTTCTACTTACGTTGACATCGTACTTTAAGGTTAATACTTCGATGAGATTTTGCTAAATAGATTGCGCTCATCAAACCAAGTGAGATTGGTTATGAACTTTTCCTCACCTATTTTCGATAGAAAATAACTAGTATTAATGATGATCTATCTTCTTCTTTTATTCCTGCGATGTCTCTGATACCGAAGCCGATTGAATGTTTAATTGTTCTTTTAAAGCTAATCAGTCACAACTAGTTTTCGAATATTGTAGAAGAAACATTATCAATGTACGAAAGTACGTACAAATAGATAATAAAAAAAAAATGCAAAGAATTCGTCGATAATATTTGTACCTTTCTCCTTTCCTTTTGAGATATCTATAAGGATTAAATAATTATGAAGGTGAATAGAGGTTCGATTAAGTGATTAAAATGACGAGAGTAAAGATGGTCGAAGACAATCCAGGAGCGGTTGTTATTGGAAGAGGAAACGATCGTGTAGCAATTAATTTCAAATCGAATCAACTCGTAAGTAGAATACGACGGATAAAAGAAAGAAAATGTGAGTCAAAATGAATAGGGTCAAGTGCAAACAGGATTGCTATCATCGATTTTGATCGAACTTGGTGATATTGAAATCGAAATACGTCGATCGAAGAAGGCGTTGGAAACTCGATCGAAATCTCTCAATCATCGACTCAATGAACTAGGCAAATCGAAGAAAAACGGCGAGAAGTCGAAACCATCGCAAGCTCATTGGGATTACTCGCCATTATTTGGTAAGAAACTTTGTTCGAAAAGTAGAACTAATTAGACTTGTTGTTCACAGGACCAAATATGTGGTCACGAATATTTCCCGAATTGAAAGATCGAAAATTCCAATCACCTATTCGAATCTATACGGAACAAGCAGAATATGAACCTATATTAACTCGGCATCCACTCATATTTGATGCTGATGATGATTGCTGTCAAACGCTTGAAAATACAGGACATACATTTCAAGTATCGGGAACCGGCCACACTTGTGAGTGTTATTTTACCTGTTTTTTCTTTGCTTATATGTCAATCGTAGATATTACCGGTGGTCCTGTACTCGATGAATTCCAGTTTTTACAATTTCATATGCACTGGGGTGCTAATGAGCATGAAGGCTCTGAACATGTCATTGACGATGTCCGATCAGTAGCTGAATTGCATATTGTTACATGGAATACAACGCAATTTTCAACTCCTCAAGAAGCAGCTATATCCGATCAATTCGATGGTTTATTGGTATTTGCTGTTTTGCTCAACGTGAGTATTTCAAGGAATATTCTAGTTAATTTTATTGAACATTATTTTCCAGGTCGTACCAACCGACAATCCAATGTTAGGACAATTAATAGAACTTCTTCCACAAATCGCACATAAAGGAGAGAAAATTACATTAGACTCGAACGTTGTTTCATTAAGAAATTTCATGCCTAGTAAAGCATATTTTCTATGATTAAAAATTAAAAACTTGCCAGACATCTTTTCTTTTCGTAGAGAATATGGAAGATTACTATACATATAGCGGTTCATTAACTACTCCCATGTGTTACGAAAGTGTCCGATGGATTATCTATCGCGAGCGAATGAGTATTTCACGAAAACAGGTAAATTAATATGAGATTTACCTTCGAATAGAATATTTTGTCTTTCAATAGCTCAATCAATTACGAAAGCTGAAACATACGTGTGCAAGCGACAAAGCAGTTAATGGATATATCAAGAAAAACTTTCGACCTTTGATGCCGATCAATGGACGAAGAATTTTTCGTTCTTTTCGTTGAATAAGATATATTGACACTCATTCTTATAGAAAAATTCCGACATAATCAAAATTAATCGAATAAAATATTTGACTATGAATACTTCAATAACTTCTAAATGTGACCTCGTTTATGATCTAGAAATGCATCACTTGATTTATCATAGTTGCCATAAAGTTTGACTGTAATCATTACAGAACAGGTGATTATTTGAATGATGATAAGAAGGTGTTCTGGTAAAAGTTCGTATGTAATGGAAAGTATAGCAAATGAAAAGTGAAAAGTTATAAAAATTTTGCATTGATCCAAATCCAAAGTCATCGTTAAGTATTCATGTAAGTATCCATAAATGTCAAGTATTTTTATGATAGGAGTCCACGACAATATCTTCTGGATACGGCTTATATTAGAACGAACCAAGAGTATCATTCAATGTTAATCTAGCTTTGTAGAAGCTATGACTTAAGTTTAGAGGATATAGATAGTATTTAACTTGGAATAATTGAGTCTTGTTTAACATGTCGACAAGTTTTTCTCTGCAATAATAAATAATAAGTACTGATGCAGAAAATGTCTGCCTCAAAATCAACATAATCTCTTGTGAACTTTGAAGAGGGACGACGCCCGTCTACACCTACGCTATTAATTCCAACATAGTCAATCCGACAATCTTCTACATACGATTTCATTCATGTATATGAGTTCAATTTAACATCTATTTTCTATTTTTTTTATTTCTGAAGAAAAATATTTTACAAGACTGTATAGAAACATGAATATATACATAAGTACAAATCGATAACATATAAAGTTGTTTTCATCGAAGTTTATTGTGTATGTTTGTTGTTCGTTGAATAATTAAGGTAATGGTCCCGACGAACATCGATTTCGACGTGACGTAATACTGAAGAGATAATCGAGTTCGTCACTATCTTCTCGAGCTGGTGGAATAACAGGGGGACTTGGTATCAAATTCATACCCGATTGCGTTTGAGGCAGGGATTGTGCCTGGGAAGGCAGAGGCTGATGGAGAATTGGAACAGCCGGTGTTTTACTAAAGCCGAACAGCGCTAATGAACAGAAAATGTATGAAGATAGTTCAGACGAATATGAATGATTTACTTTTGTTTGAACTATGAGCATCATCGTCGTCGTCTTTATCATCATATCGATTTCGTCGTGGAGCTGTTGCGATTGCACGCGCACGCCGTTGTGCATCCATAATGCGTAGATCGATTTCACTCGTTGTGATGCCATCATGGAAAAAGACGACTGGTGGAGATATTCGAAACGGAGCCGTTGAAGAATCTGGACGATCTAGAAATGCGAACATGTTGATAGAAAACAACATATTTGTCATCTGAGACGAGAATATACCAGTATTTACGAGCGAGGAACGATGTAAGTAGCAATTATGATTTGACTGAAATAAAATTCATTAAAGAACATTAGAAAGTTATATGAAAGAATTTGTTTTCATATCTACCATTGGTTAACGATTATCGTAAAGAATTGATTGCCAATCTAAAGAATGAAAGACGGAATGCTCTTCGACGTCTATCTAGAAGTTTTAAGCACGAAAGACATTGATGCTCTACTCGTCTCTTTTTTTTTCTTATATGAATGTCAAATTATGAGTTATATTATATACTTAACAGACCAAAGAGCAACTAGAAAAATTACTTGTTAAACACATCGTATTTGCGTGCTCATATCTCGATGTCGAGTTTCGTGATGCAATGCGTTCGTTGTTCAACTATTTTCATATAAATATAAATAGCAGGTCGACGGACGAATGAAGGTAATCTGTTTCCTAAATGATACTCTCATCAGACTATTCCGTTCATTTCATAATTCGAAAGTTTTGTATTAAAAAAAAATGGATGTTTGACTATTTATAGACGGATGGAACAACGTGCTAAAATAAAGCTCAAATGTGCCTAAGTGTAATGATTAGCAACTTGTTTACTATTGTCTTTTAATGAGTTTGAAGTCATTTGTCGATTTATTAATGGAGTCAACCACGATACTGACGGTGAAGATATTGGATTCAATAGACAGTGAAGAAAAAGGACTGCTATCATACCTTAATATTAATTATCAATTTAAACTAGGTTAATAAGTGACGATAGCGAACGTTTTCTAAGAACAAAAGAATGGATGTCGTCCATGAATAACAAAATAAGAACTACCTCGATGCATATGTCAATCGAATAGATCTCCTTACATTTCCAAACAAATATTTCTATATACGCAAAATTCAAAATGAGTATGGGGAAGTATTATGCATGTATGCGCAGTTCTTTTCCCTCTCTCTGTCGTCAGCAGATGCTGACGCACTCATTTAAAAAAAGACAACGCTTGTTGATAAATATTACGCACCTCTAACTAAGTTATGGAACGAGCCGAAATGAAGTTCTTTTTTTCCCCAAGAGGACCTATAATAGTGTTATGCTACATAATTATTCAGTCCCATTATAAGAGAATATTATCCTTTAAACGAGAATAGTAGTTACTAAATGTATATGTGTATATCTACGTCATTTAGTACTACAGAAGAAACGCGTGTCTACTATGATGTTCATTTTATTTTCGGACTTTGATATACACAATTGTTTGAAGTGATGCAAATAAAAGTATCTTCGTTATAGTATAACTGTCTATCATTGAGCTTCGTTGGATTTGCGCATCTAAGCGACGTCCTACATCACAAAAAAAAAACAAATATTGCTTAATTTAGCTCAATCTCTGAATAATCAACAGAACGATATTAGTTGTACCATTTTTGCCGATCCTATTCTTGAAATGAATAGAGTACAGCATATGAGTTACGTAACTGATATGATTTTTCATTAGGGTAGCTACATGTATTTCTTTCATTTCTCTTATGAAAATGAATGTAATACATTTAGAAGTGCTGACGGGAGGAATTATGCGTAAATTTTGCTCATCGCTTTTCGAAAGAGCTATGAAATATGCTATTTTGAATTATATTGTGTGGAAATATTTTCATCCTACGGCTTATCGTACAGTGACACCTACACTGCATATGTTGATTGTGTCATTATACTTGAGTCATTACAAACAGGCAATGTACGCTTGCATTGTTATTACGAAATGTACTTGTGCAATTACACGTGTATTTGTCGCTTTCCTTATAAAAAGAGAAATAAACGTGTACACACCATCCGTTGTCACCTTTTTTCAGGGACAAAAAGATTTAAGAACAAAACAGCTGATTTTTTAAGTCCAAATGGGGGAAAATATTGATACTACAAGCGACACTGCATCGACATTTTTGGACGAACTCAATTCCCTTCGTTCGATCTTACCATCCGATGATCATCTTCAAATTCAACCATCAGGCGACTTCGAACAAGTCAGAATAAAACTTGATCAAGATATTCAGATCAGTTTCTTCTTTGATTCACTACAAGTTTTCAATCAATCGTTAACAATCAACAATCTACATGATTTACGCATCGGTAAAGCATCCAATAAGTGTCCACTAGATCACGACCAATGGACGAATCTTCGAAAATATTTTGATGAAACTCTTCGTCAATCCAAAGAAACCACTTCTTTTCGATCAATTATTCAACTAGTGCAAGATCAGTTGTTAGAATTGAGAGTGAACAATCAGAAACGCAAGCAGAAGAACAGAAAAAATGAAAATACAACTGCAGTAGAAGAAGATCTTTCGTCATCAAACAAATTTCGAGGAGGTGATCTGATATTCAGTCGCATTCTTCACGATAAATCGATCGACCGATCGCAAGTTGTGATTGGATATGAAGATCGTTTTACTGGCATACATGAAATTGCATTTAACGACTTCAAGAAAGTTCATGATGACCGGGTAAGATAAAGATTTTACTGGTAATATCGTTAACGAATGATATTTACAGTATGGTGTACCAATGCATCGCATTCGACATTTCAAAATTGGTGGTCGTACGGTATGGGATAGAACGAAAAAACTAGATGTACTAACTGGAAGTGAACAGCAAGAAGTAATATTAAATGGTACGGAAAATGGTTTTTCAGTTTTCTATGCGCCAGTCATTGATACAGTGACGTAAAGGTCACAGAATCGATTATGTAGACAGATGAACCCATGAATGACATTTCGAATACTTGACTGCGCACTCCGAAGAAATAGACAACATTGCTTGTTTTCACTATATCATTGAGCTGTTTTATATATCGTAGATATGGGCCAAGGTATACCAACAACCCAAGGATTGTATCATTTTGATAACTCTCTCGAACAATGGGTTCATCTTCCACATACATCATTAGCATCAGATGATGTCAAAATGCCCTCCACAAATAACTCGCTTCTTCCGCAACCACTTCACTGCCTCACCTGGAATATTCTTTTCGATTATCACCATCCAGAGTTGATCTTTACTCCACAACGATATCGTGCTATACTTCATACTCTTCAATCGTTGTTACCCGATTTGATCTGTCTACAAGAGGTTACCCAACCGTTTCTCAAACTTCTTCTCAACGAAATGTGGCTTCAAAAGAATAAATATTACATTATCATCATGAAAGATGTCATCAACAGTGAACAATCCAAAACCTATGGGCAACTGATGTTGATGAAGAACTTTGAGCCACGTGCACTCTCTATCGCACCGCTTGAGTCTTTAAACGACCAAGCAACAACAACAACAACAAGCACGATGCAAAAATCAACAAAGGAAATTATCATTGCTCGATTCGGGTTGAATACTAAAGTAACCATCGATATTGTCAATCTTCATCTCCACAGCAATCGATCTCGAAATGCAGACGAAAAACGATGTCAAACACTGGAGAATCTCTTCACTCGGCTAAATACTCAAAATTATATGCTAGTAGGAGATTTTAATTTCGGTGATTTTGATTTGAAAGAACAAAATTTACTCGAAAAATACGAATCTAATGTCCATGATCTCTGGAAAAAAGCATACGATCTCGAACAAGTAAGAGACATTCGCCTTCGCTCTCATCCGTTTCATTTCTTGTTTTGTACGAATCTAGAATCCAGGATTCACGTACGATCCATCGAAAAATATGTGTGCAGAAATCATGTCACGCACACAAATCAATCGTCGTTTTGACCGATGTCTTGTTCACACTTTAAATAATCTGTATTATTTCGTTGAACATCTGAACATGATTGGTACGGATACGATTGCAGTCGATGATGACAGCGGGAAACGAATAAACCTTTCTGATCATTATGCTCTTCAATTGATTATTAATTTTCAAACCCGATCCATTAGCCATCGATCAGCATTTGTCATGATTCCAAGCATAGAACATTGGCCAATGATTGACAAGTATCGTGCAGAGTACGATCCATCGTTTGATCGCTGGCCAGCACATGTGAATATATTGTGGCCGTTTTTTGATTTAAATGGATGTGAAGATGATGAGGAGAATATTCTGTTGCCGTTACGAATGGCACTGAGTGAATGTGAAGCATTCGATAGTGAAGTAAATGAAATTGCAACATTTGTGGAAAACAACGTATGCTATATGAGGATTACAAAAGACTCGACGAACAAATTGAAAGCAGTGTATGAACAAGTGAAAGAATTGTTTCCACAATGCTGCACAAATAAACGAAGTCCCTATACGCCGCATATGACCATAGCGCAATTCGATAGTACGGAAAAACGTCTTCAAGCAATGCCAAACCTCAGTAAGTAAATTTGTTATTTGCTAAGAATGCGCCACGTCTCTTTCACAGGCTTCTCATTTGACAATTAGTGCTATGCCTGAAAAAAATGCGTTTTCTTCTAGCTCTAGAAAAGTCGTTTACCTTTCCTGTTCAACATCTATACGTTCTACAACGACCACATGACAATGACACAACTCCCTTCCATATCACCTATCAACTACCTTTGGGTCCTATTCTGCCACCACTATATTCTCAAAAACAACAACAGCAACAGCTACATCAATTCTTTCAACAGATGGACCTCTACGAAAGTTCACAATTATACGAACAAAAACAAGATAAATTCAACAAGTTGCGAACATGTTTTGCTGAACTATTCAACAAAGACACGTTACATTGTTTCACCCATCGCTTCCTTCCGTACGGCAGTTTTCGGATTGTAAGTTCAGGAGAAGAGGAGCTGTTTTGAATGTACGCTGTTCTAATTATAGGGTGTAAAGGGAGAAGATGTTGATACGGTGTTTCTATTACATGAAGTAGAGACGAATGACCAGGGAACAAATTTGGACGGCCAATTGTTGAAGCTAAAGAACGATTCAAATGCACTGAATAATTACGTGGTTGAATTGTTGGAAACACGGATCAATTCCGTGTTCAAGGACGAAATATTATGGTGTCGAAAAGTTCAAGCTTTGTATCCTCTCATGTACATTCTATTCTCTGATCAAACTAAAGTGGAAATCTTTGTGCAAATTAAAACAATCAAAACATCCTCAGACGAATCAAAATTTGAGAACAATGCAAATGCGCAAGATTCTGTACATGGTGTAAGTTGAAAATTACTGTTATACATTTTAATTGAAGCACTACTTGATGATTAGTTTTTTCATTGCTTAGAATTTTTTTCTTTGATTTAGATTGATGAAATGGAGCATCTTCTCATTCATGCGCGTTCTCCACCTATCTTCCAACGTCTTCTATCTTTTGTTCGCACCTGGGCACAACACGTTGGATTATATGGACAAGTCTATGCCTACCTGGGTGGTTTCTCATGGGCCACTCTCGTTGCGCACATTTGCCATTCGTCCCTATCGCCGATCGATTCGCTTTCGTCGATCGAAAACTTTTCCATCGATGATTTCTTTAATTTAGTCTACAAATTCTTTTCCACTTATGCGCAATTCAACTGGTCAGCACAGGAACTTCGTTTACATTCCAAATCATCTCAACAGCCAACTTCTGCGAATAAACCATCAGTACAGAATCGTGGAGCAATGAGAATCATTTCTCCAAGACCACCGTACAACAACACAGCTCGTGCTACCATGCACTCAACTCGTGATCTCATTGTGCAAGGTTTTCAACGTGTCGTCAGTCTACTCAATTCGATTAATACCATCACTATGGAAGATAAAATGAAAGCGCTCTCACAAATACTTCAACTGAGCAATGAATTTCCAAATGAAAAGATCAAGACAATGTTACAACTGACATTGTCTGGTGCGAATACGAATGAACTCGACGAATGGGTTGGCTGGGCGAAGTCACGATTAGCTTTTTTTCTGAATGAATGTGAAAGCAAATGTCATTTGACATTTCAAACTCAAAATCGCATCGAATACGTAAAGGAAAAGGATCAAGCAGTATATTCAATTGGTTTTCCGCTTGATGAAGTTTCACTCGATATTCAACGAAATTTTCACTACTGTCTGAAGAGATTTCTCGAACAATTCGATGTCTATCCAAATCGCAAGAACACAATGACAATATCACACAAGTTGATATCAGCACATGATTGGAAAATGGAACGAATGCAACCGAAACCACCAAGAACAAGAAATCAATAATTTGTAATGTGTATTGAGAAATACTTAGATAAAGTTGTTATTCTCTATTCTCCAACATTTTTTTTTCTTTTGAAAATTGTTTCTAATATAAAAACACTCGCAAATCCGGCATCGATCTTTTTCGCAGGTACATCTCTACAAATATTTGAATTCGAGTATGATAAATGCCATTATAGTCTTCAGGGAGACAGATACTGAGATATAATGTAATACAATTATTTCAATGACTGAGCTCTGTCTGGCAAGTATTATTCATAGAGTAATCAATTTCTTCGCTTGATACTCTGTCTATTGTGATAATTATTTCTATTGAATTATCTCCAAGATCAAAGGACATTTATTTTTTGCACAGAGAAAGTACCCATGAATTTCCGCAGATCCATATTTGCAGAAAATGTAAGTTCCAGCTCGGTATTGTATGTTATTTTAAGAACAGCGTTCGATGTTTTTTCCTTCTCATGTGATTGTTAAGAACAAAATCGTCGAAAATGTGTGGCTTGTGTAATTGTAGTGAAGTAAAAATGAAGAGAAAAAGAACAGCGAGTACCTTGAAGTAGCTAGCAACGAGCGTAGTGTCAGTTGGATTCAAATCAAGTGCGCGAACAAATGGTGAGTATATCAAATTTTCTGAAATTCAACTCGGAAGAATTGATTTAATTCGTATTTTCGTCAGGCTGAGGAAGAAACACCACGCTTCGATGATAACGAAGGGGATAATGGTGAAGAGTATTCGTCTGAGCAACTCAATGACGCTTTACGTATGTTATTCTTTACTCAAAAGACGTTCTTATGAACTCTTATTTGTAGGCGATATGTATGAGTTATTCTCCCAATTTAAAGACAATGATAATATCGAAACTATTCATATCAATCGTTTGATGGAAACGTTACAAGCTTTCGGTCGAAATCCTTCTCAAGCTGATTGTAACAAACGCATTCGTAAACTTGAAGAAGATGGTTCAAAGTTTATCTTTGTCGATTCTCATCGAACATTTCGATTGATTTTTTAGGAAAATTCGAGTTAACATTTGAAGATCTCTTGCAATTACTCGATGAATCGTGGACATCGATCAACAATGATCGCGATACTCTCCGACAAGCATTCGCCAAATTCGATCGTACAAAACATGGTTTCATTGATATCGAACATTTCCGAACAGTTATGCGAACACTTGGTGAACCGTTAACCGACGATGAGATCGATGGATTAATTCAATTGGGTTTAAATGATGAACATAAACAGATCAATATTGAACGTAGGTTTCGACCAGAATCGTGCCGTTGACATTTCAATTTGTTTTTAGATCTACTTGATCGACTGCTTGGAAATGAAGAATAATAAAAGATTTGCATTTTATTATGTACTTTGTTCGGTAACAAAACAAAATGAACAGAAAGAAAACGAATAAAAATATAGATATAACAATATATCTGGCACTGAACGATGCTTAAACATCATGACAAAATGTTTTCGGCTCATTCTTTGAAAAGGTTGTAGTATTAGTAACTGGACAGAGATAATAGAAATCCGATTGAAATTCATCGGTGATTATCGATGAGGTCATGTCATGTTCACTGTGTTCGTCATGAGAATCATCGAGCAGATGAGAAGATGACGATGGTAAATGATCCGTCCATGAATGATTAAGTATTTCTTGAAGAATTGTGTTATTATGATCAACAGATGCAGGGTTAGGCTTAGTATTCTGCGGCATAGCCCACGATGTTGATGTCATACCAGCAGAACTTGATGAATCGATAGACGTGGTTGTTGTCGGACTTGATAATGAAAACTATAAATACAAGAGAAGAGAAAGGTTTGCATTTGGAGTAGAAGAAAAACTTACCAAATGTGTCTGTAATAGTTCTTCGACATGCACTTTACTTGAGCAACTAGATGTTGTTTCTTGTTTATCCTTAGATACAGACAAAAATAAAAATCTCGACAATGAAATGAACTTTTTCTCTTACTTGATAGTTATTTGATGTTAAGTTTAAAATATCAAGCTCGGAATACCAATCAAGTTCACCTTCGACAAGACTATCACTATTATGAGTTTGTTTCAATTGACTATCATCTTCGTAATCATCGATATTGAATTGACTATCATCGAAATGGCACACATTATTCACAAGTTCATCATCACTACAATCAACCCAAGCGTGCAACTGTGAATCGGAAGCATATGTAGTTAACATGTAAAATTCCATTGAGTAATCCCGTATTGTATCTAAATGGTAGACATTATGAGTAATTTCCGAGTCTTTGGAGCAGATTTTTTGATAGATATCCGAATCGGATAAGATGCGACGAAAGAATATCATTCGGCCGAGTCGGCCGGGAAAGACTAAACGATGTACGACTGATTTTTGTGATACAGATGAAGATTTCGTCGAACACGGATTGTCTTTTGAAGTTAATTGATCATCTGGTAGGAGAAAATATCCGTCGCTTGTGTTCGTTTCTTCACGATCTAGCGAACCATTACAGTACGCCGAGTCAGCTGATGTTTCAGTTTTGATTAGGATAATCGGTGAAATATCACTTCCAGACGACTGATCACGCAGATGAGGGTTATGATTATTCTCTTTCGTACTCATTGATGCATCTAAATTAGAGTATTTTACTTTAATTACAAAACTTCTTTTTTTTCCTCGAATTTTGCTTACTTGTATCGACTAATTTCCGACCATGGTGATGCTCGTTGAGGCTATCTTCGGAAAAATCATGCGCAATACTTGGTGTACTCGAATCCTCTTTTTTCTCGATGGTTTTCGTTTCAGTGATCGATTCGAGTGAAGGTGGCGTTAATGTTGACAACGACTCATTAGTTGGACATACGACTTCATTTGAAATTATATTCGGTACTTCAGGTGTTAGATGGCATGTGAATGTTTTTAGTTCTTGACTACGAACAGGTCGAACTAGTTTAACAGTATTCTTTGTAAACAGCGATTGTCGGATTTTATTATTCGTCACAGAAGCGACTGGAATGGAGGTTGGCTTTTTCGCTTTAGTCTGAGCCTGTCGCTGAGCGATCAATGCGTCAAGATCGGAAACACGAGCTGGTTGCTGAGTAACTGGTGGTGGACGTGCTTTAACAGTAGACAGTGCCGGTTTTGTTGATTTCGAAGCACTTGTTCGTGTGTTTGTTGGTGGTGTCGGTGTCGGTGTAACAGTTCGTAGCGGTTCAGAAGACTTTGCCAGAGTGTACCGCGGTCGAGATGGCTTGGTAGGTATTGAAGTTGACGATGCTGTTTTTTGACAAGTAGTTGTAGAAATAGTAGGACGTGGTCGATTAGTTGTTGCAGTTGCTGTTGCTGTTGTCGTCGATGGCCGCACGGGAGTTGCTTGTACTCGATTTGGTTTCGCAGTCGATGTTGTGGATGTGTTTTTAACAACTGTCGTTGTACGAACTGGGGTTTGTGTTGATAACCTTTCATGGTTAGAATAAGCTGTTCGGGCATATTGTGGTGTTGACTTATTCTTCGGAGTAATTGTTATTGTTGATTGTTGTTTGCGAGGAATAGTATGAGGATCATTAACAGGAACGATATTTACACTTGGTAAACGTTGATTATCACAAGGAGACTTTTCATTACTTAACAGATAATAGAGTTTATTTGTCAGGCCAGTGGATGATCTCTCGGATTTCGATTTGACAGTAGCCAGTGTTACAAGTTGATCAGGAAATTCTATGAACAGAAATGGATTAATCGAGTCAAAACGACGAAAAGAATTCTCTATTTGTAAGTCTTTCCACTTCGCTGATGATCGTAATCAGGCAAAGGATATTAGTGAATCTTATTTCATTTCTATATTGATTATTATGTGTTATTTGAGACTCTCGGATGAGAAATATGAGGCGTCCTATCGATCGCATGCCGATCGAATAGAATTCATAATTAGAACGGATAGACACTAAATTTCTGTCCTTGATTTGTCATGTTGACAAACATTATTACTCATCTTTTTCTTCTCTTCTCACAGTAATTGAAATTCAAGGCGATGGAACAAGCAATTTTCATCAATATCATTCACAGGTTTTCTCTTAGGGATCTGTATACTTGACAATATCATATTGAAAAACTTGTCATAGCAATGCAACTTTCATATTGAAAAATTAGATCCTCTATTGAGAATGTTAGTTTCCATATATCCCCCTATCGGAAGTTTTCTGACTATGATGATTCTTCTGACAGACTAGTCTATATTTCAGGACAGAGATATTTATTTCTTCTGACAGTTGTTATTTTTACGTCGATCTTCTTGACGGTATTTACTCAATAAAATCATTTTTTCTTATTCCCATTTGAAAAGTCTTTTTCGATATTTACCTAAATAATCTTGAATAATATTGTCTTACCGTTTGTATAGACTTTTCTTTTTCCTTGCTGGAAAAACGACTCAATTAATAAGCACACTTAGTTTTTGCCTTCGAAACTGCCGTTTTTTCCAGTTGCCGTTAGCATATTTTCTCTTTGCTTCACGGAAAAACATAGCAGTTTGCTTTTTTTTCTTCTTCTCCTCTTTCATGTACTTTCTCCTTTTTTTTCTCGTTCTGTAGTATCTAATTAGACATGTGTCTGACGGAGAGAAAAAATCCGGCAAGCAGAGAAAAAAGGAACTTACATCATAACATATTCTTTCATAAGAATATTAGAATACATACCCGATGAATGATTTCTTGTTTGTTGATCGTGTTCATCGACATTCATCAAGCGCTGATCAAGCCATGTGGTTTGATCATTAGTAGTACATCGATTATCATCATCCTATTCAAATACAACATACTAATTGATGGAGGCACAAAGAACAGGCGACTGCTCTACCTGCTGTTGCTTCGTCCTCCACTGGGCCGCATCGTTCTCATGATACTGTTCAACACGTTCTTTTCTTCGCTCCTATGAAAAGAAATCGAGTATTATTTCTTCATTCGTAATTTAAGGAAAAAAAGATCTTCTTGCGGTGGGGAAACAGATGTTCTTCTACCTGCGATTTGACGTGATCATGACATGGAAGGATACACTGTCCAAGAAGATCTTGAATTCGTCGTCTTTTTTGTCTGGTCATGATGTTTTTTCTTTATTTATCTATGATAATCATCACTTCTTTATGTAAAACGAACGTACGAAGAAACGTGAGACATATATATATATTTTTGTAGATCTGTTGATAAAAGATATTTCATGTGCGACGTTGTCAACATTATTTTTCTATTCGTTGATAAAACGAAGTGACAGTAAGAGAGAGACGAGTGCACAACTTGAGATTGGATGTATCAATTAAAGAAGAAAACATCTCTGAGATTAGCACTTATCGATTGTTGTTTTGGTTTACAAGTAACAACAAAGATCTAAGTGACATTTACCTGTTGGGTTAAAAGAATTTTCATGATTAAATCCGTCATTGATCGCATACACGTTTCATTTTGCATCTGGTAATTGATATATAGCTCGTGCAATTGATGATTTTCATTTTCCAGATATTCAATACGTTTATTCAAATAAGTTTGTTCGTCATGGATCCATCGTTCATACTAAAAGAGAGAAGACAATTTCCAAAAGAAAAGCAATCTTTTTCAAATGTCTTACTCGATTTTCTAATAGATCAAGTCGTGTCTTCAATGCATTGTTTTCATTCACGAGACTGTCCATGACATTATGTACAGTTTTGAACTAAAACTAATCAATTAAAGAACTGTTTCACAAAGACGTTTTTGATTACCTCATCTTCGATGAACAACTGATTTTGATTCATCGATTGTCTATGTGAACATTGCAGTTTATTCTTCCATTGTCGAAATGTTGAACTCATTCCTTCGTAGCAGTTGATCTACAAGAGAAACCAAACTTAATCAAAGAAATTTCGACCTTTTTTCCTCCAATATTTATTTATCTTACAAATGCACACGACGCTTACCTTCAGGTCAATAAGTCATACTTGGCAAGCGAATTTGAAGAAGTACATCGCACTCGAATATTTGGTTAAGTAAACGAAAAAGAAAGAACCTACGCTCACCGTTTTCACGTCTACTCTACGCAAAAGAAAAGAAGAGAGGATGAAATGAACCGATGAGCAGACAAATCAATGTCAAATATTTAACAAAACTAGAACTTGACTCATCATCTTAGTCGGAAATTGATTGCATTTGCTAGACTATCAACAGTTATGTATCAGCTATTTGTTCGTCCTACGTCACTATACAAATCCTCCATTTGACATTTGAAAAAAAAAATGCACATCGCGTTTGAAGAAAAAGAAACTGTCTGAAATTTCATCTTCGGTATATACATAATCAATCGTTCGCTCATTCGTTCTTTTATTCGCGTGCATTTATCCGATTGATAAATATAAGTAAATGCTTATATGTATATACTTGAATGTTAAAATGCAATCATCGAACTGCAGAGTAGCTAAAGTGAAAGACTTACGATGAAAAGATAGAAGAATTTGAGAATTTTTCCAATGAATAAGATCAATGACATGATGATAATCACAAAAATTCGACAAATATCATTTGATGGAAATTGAATAATAGATCGAGACGTCGGACATGAGAAAAATGAGAAGAATGATTGACAATTCCGTGATTTGAGCTCTTTTTTCTAGTCAAACGGGAATAGATGATAATATTTCGAGTTGTCTCAATGTTTTCTTGTTTGTTATTTCAGCGGCATTCTCAGTAGACTATGCGATGTTCAGTAGACTAGGCGATAATATTGAGTCCACGATGACGAACATAAAAGCAAACGAAGAGAAAAAAGAAAGGAGAGAACAGGAAAACGCCGATTCTGCCGTCGTTTTTCTTCTATGGATACAACAACATCAATTATCTTTTTTCACTCCGTAGTTATATCGTTTTCTCTATTATGATTGATGAAAATAAGGCAAATGTAGGAGAAAAAAAATCCCTCAACAGTTTATGAAGTTCTCGGCGTATCTCGTGACCGCATGTTGAGATAGATCTTCCTGACATTTAAATTCTTCCTTCTAGACTTCTTGAAACTTCCATCAGGGAGAGAAATTGATGTTCTCGTCGTATATGAATTACGCAAAGTGAAATTCGTTTTATTAGTTGAATAATCAAATTCATTCTCATTCCCATGGTGATACATTTGCTTCCATCTAAATCTTACCAAGTGAATTAAATGCACATTCTGACACGCCGGCTAAGTCAACTACATTAACTAAATATTTGGTTATATGTCAAACGACTTATAATTTCCTTGTTTTCTTTTTGATTAATATACGAATTCGACAGTTAAATGAAAGAGCGTATGTGTCACGTGGAAAAATGATACATTACCTTTTAATCTTACTGAATTGATCCGTTAAACTAATACTGGTTTTTATCGTTTATGAATGAGAAGACCTTTTCTTTTTCTGCCTTGATATATGAGAGAGGATTTCTGCGTTGATTATGTTTCTTTATTGGACAAATCAATTAACGTCGTACAGTTATTTGACATTTTTATGTCTTGTAAATACTTTTGTTCTTATTTTTTGATATGCAAGATCATTATCTACGTCCAGTCGTAATTGATAAAATGATTAAGAAAAAAAAACTATGTAACGATGTTTTCCGTCGAAGCCTGTATATCGTCATCAGATTTAACTTTAATCACCGACATATTTTTCTATTAAAATTACCGAACTCCGATAAAAAATGCACGTTGAATATAAAAATTTTATTGAGTTATTAAGAATAGTTGAAATAGAATTGTCTTATTTTGAAGCTCGTCAAACCGCGAAGCGTCGAAAGCGATGATACTGTGAACGAAGAAGTCGATAGATCATTTCGGCGATTTCCATTAGCGAAAGGAAACTGATACCTATCCAAAGACCTGTTTGTCCACCGACATTGGAAAGAACATCAACTGGACCAATTGAAGCTTGCTGAGAATAGATTTCGGTTCGAGTCGTTTCAAAAGTAACTTCTAATGAAACATAGCTCAGCAGGATTTCGGATGTCCATGTCGTTGACCAATTCGTCGGTAATGGAACGTCCGTCGATTCAACGAATGTCTTTATTTCATTCATCAAATACGCAGGTGGTGAATAGATTGATGTTGGAGCTATAGGAATGTCATTGAAGCTACATTCTTGTCCACAGTCAGAACAATAGTAAGTCGAAATACTTTCGGTAGTCATAATCTCGGCTTCTGCTTGAGTATAGCATGAATCGCTAATGTTACAAAATGGTATATGAATCGATTTATCACTGCCAGGAAGGACAATGAAATTTGTAGTCCAATAAAAAGGAGTTCCACAACCACATCGATGATATCTGAAATAAATCATTCACATGAATTGGCACGTAGCATCTTGGACTTACACATAGGCTTGTATACAAGCGGTATAGCATATTTTTTGCGAATATCCATAATGAGTATCATGATATTGAGTATACATAGCTTGCATTCCTGCGTTAACTTGATCACTACATGATGTATAAGGCAATGGCAAGAAAGTACTCTTTTTTATTCCATATCCTAATCGATGATGCCGCCCAGGTGCAAGCTGTATGCATTTCAGTTCGATAACTGGTACTTGAGCGTTATCATGAACTAAGGCTACTGCACCCACCCCTAAACATAGAATGTACGTAATTTAGCGAGAGTATCGTATAGATTTGACGCATACCGTTGGATATATAAGGCACATATTGATGTTGATGAATATATAGATGTAATTCTAGTGTACCAGTTCCTCCGTTCTCTCCAGTATTCCTGATATGTTTATTCAAGGAATCGTGAGGGTTAGCGTTGAACGTATAACATAGACCGTATTGTGGTGATAGAAACCAAGTAAAGTCAGAGACTGTACACGAAAGACCATTGAAGTTACAGAACATCATCATGGATTCGAGGGAATATAAATATTCATTTATCGATTCATTTTGGTTCAATTTGTCAATTAGAAACTGCCTGACGTATGGTACATATGCCTTTGTAAAGTTCGTCTTATCGGTTGTATTGGTTAAGTTCAATGCTGCCGTATAATTCAAAAATGGTTCCATCACTCGATCGTATCTTAGAGGAGAATAATTGCATATGGTCACTGCAGGAAAAGGCTGCGGCCATTGGACAACAATAGACACAGATGTTTGTGTAGGATATTCGAAGTATGATCGAATCGTCTGAACAACGAAATAGGTCATTATGCCTGTAAAGATAAGTAGTGATATTGACCAGAAGATTCGATTGTGCATGCTTTCACTGCGTGCTATACCCGGAATGCCATGGGTTGATGTGTTCAGACCGAACTCTCTGATAATCACACGAGCTTGACGAGACTTTTTAAATGATTTTGCTTGTTTTTCATCCGTTGGAGACATGCTTATATCAGTTGACATACTTTTCAATGTTAACGTTCGTTAGGGTTGCTTATCCTGTACGCGCAAGTGACGAATGAAGTGTAATGACCAAATTCTACTAATTTATAAGCTCGAAACGCAGAAAGGTTTGCGAAGCTCTTCACTTTCTTTCTTTACAAAATAAAAGGAGCGTATGATTCGGTTTCCTCAGGCAGTTCTTCAGGATCGAATGATTGATTTTGAGACCTGCTTAAATATCAACAATCGACATAGGATTTGATTATATATACTTCATATAAAGATTTTATTACAAATATGTACACTGGCAATATAACTCGTCGAATGTTTTCAAACAACTACCAATCCGAATACACATATAAATACACTATATTTGTATTAATATACACTACAATCATTCTGATCGACTTAGATTTTCTGTTCTAATTTAATACCGATCGACGCAATACGGTCATATACATCATTTTTTATTGATGATCGAGATGTGTCAATGAAAAAAACATTTTCCCGTTCTGACATACCTCGTTCTGTTGATCCGATTTTACTGTCATGTATCCAATTTATTTCGAAAGCTAAGGAAAACAAGAACATATGCTACTCATTCATACATATGTAGATATTTACAACAGATTTTTTCTACGAGATTCAACAGTTTCCACTACGTTAAACGAAAAATCGATTGCATTAGTTCATCAGATACGTGAGTTGACCGTTCGCTGCGAACATGACCTTCCATGATATCCATCAATGACTGATATCGTAAGATTTGCCTTGTTATAACATCCATCGAAATAATTGCTTCTTTTTCCTCGTATACGACATTCAGATATCGCCATAATAATGTACTAAACACATGCTGAACGTCTAGTATGTTGGTTTTACTTGAACATTTATCCACTTCGTAAATACTGAAGACGAAAGTAATCAGTGCGAGTTTTAGAATCAATGGATGATTGCAAAATCGATAGAGATATTGACGTGTCTGAGACATTTGTTGATGGAATTCAGGATTGATCCATTTGCTCATCAAGTAACCAATAATTGGGCTTTCGGAGAAATTTTGTATCAAAATGTCATGTAAATGTACGATATTGAGGAGATTCGATTTTATCAATCGAACTCGATCATCCAAGTCTATCTGTTTGAATACCGGAACTTTCGTAAAGAACTCCACCAATGACCGATGTATTGAACTTTCCTTGTTAACGAACTGAATTAATGACATTGACTCATCGTAGTAGTTAAACCGTAACCCATCTGCTTGATTGGCCGTGATTTGATACGCATGAGCGATATTATTTAGCCAGCTATTGTCTGACTCATTCAAATTTTGATGAAAAGAAAAAAATGCTGCAGTGCATATCTACAATATTATCAAAAAGAAGATTATAGTCATCTGACTAGTGTGCCTTTACCGATTGAACTACGGAAGTTGCTCTTCCCATTAAACGTTTCTTCTTTCGTACCACAAGCGGAAGAACGATTGTTGTTTTCGAGTCGATTCCATTTAGGTAGAATCTTCGTTCTTGTTTCATCTGCTTCTGTATTTGTCGCAGCTTCACTTCTTCTTCGGTTCGAATCCATTCTTTGCGCATTTTGATATCGAAGCATTTCTTCAAACGGCAATAAGTACATTGCCGACGTGTGTGAATATTGATAATGCACGAACCCGAGAAACGACATTTTAAAGAAGACTATATGAAATATTTTATGTAATTATTTTCTGATTATGGACATTCTTACCGTATCTCGTAGGGCATTGCGACGGAAGAACGCCTTGCATGATTCACATGTGACTTGATCGAAATTGTACCCAGTCGCTGGGGCGCTACAAACGCCGCATATTAGATTGGAATGAAGTGTGAGTTGACTGCTAGGGCTTTCTGTCACCAAGACACGAGATTCCTGAGAATTTTCAACCGAATTCAGGCTTTCAAATTTAATTTCATCCATTTGCATCGGTTCCATAGTTGAAAGGAGATTCTGAATATCCATTAGAGAATGATCAAAGTCAAAGGACGCTGGAACTAATTCACCGTAGGTTAGAGGTGCACAAGGTGAAAAAGTATCCCAATTGGAGTGCTGTAAAATTGTTGCTGTCATTGTGTGAGATCACTTCTGTTCGAATAGATGTTTTTCTTCTTGTAACGAGAGAAAAAGAAATTTATGTCGCTAGCTGTGTTGTTTCTATCGTCTAAACTTTCCTTCTTCAAACATTATGGGAGTACTTTTTTTTTACCCTTTTATAGGAATGAAAACGCCTAATAATTTTTTTGCGTTTCTTATTTTTCTTTATGACTCGCTGAGTCATCCAAAAGACAGAACAGGAGTACAGGTTTTGTGAAGCCTTTTCGTCTATGACGATGAGTCAGTGAAATGAATATTATGGTAAAGAAAATGTCATGTCTTTTGCGCCAAGGCAAAACTTTATTGGCTCTTACCAGAAAATCGCAATATAAATTCCTAGGCAATGAATAATCTGTCGAAATCATAACTAGACGTTCGTATCGCTCAAACATATTTTATTTTCAACTATCGATACGATGAACCAGCTTATTCTCTCTACAAAATAGGAAACAAAGTACAGCATATAACTACGAATGCTATCAACGTGAGATTAGTATGTACATAGATTTGCGAAGAATTCCTGAATTTCTAATTTGATTGAACAGACAAAGTGCGATTTTCACGGACGTTCTCTTGTCGACTTAGACCAAAGATTATTTCCGTTAGTCCATGTGGGCCGTCTTGCTTGAAGATCTCTCGTGCATGATCAACCACCGTCATCATCAATATTTAGTATCGTAATATTTTTCTAACAATAATCTCCATCGATTCAATCGTTTCGTTTTCATCAAAACGATGATTTAAATGGCGTTATAGTAGTGCAGTATAAAAAATCTTGGTGTTCAATCACTTTCTCAGGATTTTGATGATTTTCAGGTTCACTCGTATCACGTGTAGTCGATGAATTGACACTGAAGAGGAAAGCGATCAGGGATAATCATAATACCAACGGATATTTGACAAAACGATAGAAATGTCGACGTGTTCGAGACATTTGTTGATGAAACATTGGACCGATCCATTTCGACATGTATTTAGCGATATGAAGAGAATCTTCGAAATTCTTGATGAGAATACATTGCATATGTATAGTATTTCGTATTAAGTTCAATTAGTTGAACTTGATCGTCAATGTCTAATCGTTTGAATTCCAAAATACTCTTATAGAAATAAATTAACGATGCAATCATTGAGTATCAATCCCTCATGAATTAGAATAGCATGGCTTCTTTAGTATAGTAGACAATAAAGATACAGTCACCTGTACCAGCTCCGGTCTAATACGCATGAGTGATATTATTTAGCCAGCGATTGTCTGACTCATTCAAATTTCGATGCAAACCAAAGAATACTCCATTATGTATTTGGAAATATAACGCGTAAGACGATCATTGCATTCTCTTGGTACCTACTGGCTGAACTATGGTGAGTGACTTTCTTAGTGAACATTTCTTTTTTCGAATCGATTCCATTTCGGTAGGTAGAATTTTCGTTTCCGTGATAGTCGCAGCTTCACTTCTCCTTTGGTTCGAATCCACTCTTTGCACATTTTGATATCGAAGCATTTCTTCCAACGACAATAAGTACACTGTCGATGTGTGTGAGTATTAATAACGCACAAATTCGAGAAACGACATTTCAAGTCAGGCCAAAACATATTAAAACCACTTTGTCAATAACTCACGTTCTCCTTCGGTAATCAAATTATTTGCAAGTACAAGTACGCTATCAAAAAATCATTACAAAAATACACGAACGATTACATAAATTATGCACCGAAGAATATGACTACAATTTATTTGCTGTGTTTCGTAACGCGTTGCGACGAAAAATGCTTTACACGATTCACACGTGATTCGATCAGAATTGTATCCAGTTGCTGATGCACTACAGACACCGGATATCATCTCAGAAATAGGACTTTGCTGATAACTGATATTGATTACTCTTCATGAAGCAATAAGAATAATGAATATAATCGAATTGGACTAACGTCTGAAGAAAAGTCAAGTTCACTTTGAATCATTGTCATCATCACCATTAGAATTAGCGAACTTGTTGAATTCTTCGTTGAAGACTATATCAATAGGAAATGTGAATAAACTATCGAAGTTCGACGATTGATACTGTTTGTAGTATTAATTCCTTGACAACATCATGGGTGACAGCTATACAATATAATGAAATGTACTGGTGACACGAAAAGGAATTCGATGATGGTCTCCGAAAAGTACAATGTATCATAAAAGCCGTATTGATAAAGACTCAAACGCAAACTACTGTAAAAATCTTAAAATGACGGGAAACGCGTTGATAACAACGTTGTCCTTTGGAGCGTGTTCCTATTTCTCTGTTACTTGTAAGTCATACAATAATTGTCTTTTTTTTTATTTTTCTTTTCTGAATATGTTTGATGAAAGAAAAATCCATTCTGTACTTAACGCGCGCCATTCTGCATCAAATGAAAAAGTGATCGTTTTATTTGTTCGATGGTACGAAAAAGGTAACGCAGTGATTTAATCAGAACGCGCACGACTTTGGAGCGGCAATGCATACAAAAAAAAATGTCAGTCGAGCTGTGATGAGTATTGGGTGTATTTAGAATCGATTGATATTTGTTATTGGACTAATAATGCATACTCATCGATTGGCTGAGTAACAAGAAGTTCGATTAGGAACTAAAATAACATTAAAGTTCGCACCTAGAGTAGAAAAAAGAGCAAATTTCAATTGTTTTTTATTTTCGATATCATGTTGATCGACTGACGTCAAAGCTTTAAAGTACTCGAAAATAATCGTAGCAGCTTGTATTTGATACGCCCTATAATGTTATATTCTTCGAAAATAAAGGGCGTAAAGAAGAATTGACAATGAATAAGTTTTGATTTCTCTGTTATGTCTGGTGTATCTACCAGTAGATTCAAAGTTGCTTGAAAGAGAAAAGAAATGTACTGCTGTTGTTTTCTAAAAGTGACGAATAAAGAAGCAAAAATATAATCGTATTATAGATGCAATATTTTTTATCATTAATAGAATACTAATACTTGTATAAATTGATCAAAAGCTGCTTGTTTTCTTTCGACGAACCCTGATTTGGAGAACATGAAATTTGAAACGAGTGATGACAATATCAATTAGAAAATATCTACAGTTTGTTTAAACTGACATCTGTAGGTGTGAATTGTCATACGTTTGCCAGACATCCAAGGTGGAACGAGCAATAGGCAAGAAGAAGAGACACACACATACACAATGCATGTTTCTCTACTCGAGTGTTTAAATTGAGCTTTTCTCAAAACGCATTGACAATGTTGACAATTCCTGTTAGTTTCACGTCGCCAGTTGTGATTAGTGTTAGTATTCTAACCGCAATCGGTGCTTATGTACTTTTTGGACCGGAACCAAAAGATCGAAGAAAGAAAGGTTTGCATTTTCCACCGAAAATCTTCTCCTACGTTTGAATTCGGAACAGGTCATCCTGGTGGACTGATCAATTATGGAAACAATTGTTTTGCTAACGCTATCGTTCAATGTCTTGCATCTTCATCGATATTTATTTATTGGCTCGATCAACACGTGCAAAATAATCGTGTTACTCAAATCCTTCTTGATCTTATTCAGTCAATTAATGGACAATCATCAGCCTTTTCACAAGACTCCACTGTTGCTAAATTGATTGATCACATGTGTCAGCCGAGATGGTTAAGTCCATTCGAACAACAGGATAGTCACGAATTTCTTCTTTCTCTGATAAATACATTAACCCACAAGAAATCGACACAGCCGAAACAACTTGGCTTTGCTGCTTGTCTTGATTCGGATGAACAGGATGATACACAGTCAATAATGATCAACGAAAGTCCGTTGGTATCTCCACATCCATTTCAAGGTCTACAAGCAACACAACTACAATGCAATGAATGTAGACATAAAGTAAATCTATCTGAAAGTTCCAATTTTCCATTTACTTAGTCAGTTTTCATTTAGAATCCGATCAGTATGTCGCTTTTTGAATCCCTGTCTCTAGTCATACCTGATCGGCAGACAGCAAGTCCATTGGTAGGAGAGAATCTTTTTGTAAAAATAGTGCATAAATGTTATATGCTTTCAGACACTTGCTGTTCGACAACAACAAAACTTTACCTTACAGGAATTGATTGGCAATTATCTCAAGGCTGAGATGATTACTAATTTAACATGCAAACAGTGTAAATCAAAAGGAAATTTATCACATCGGAAAATAACAACGTTTTCTCGAGTAAATATCCTAGTTCTAGTCTATTTCGTCATCAAATACTATACTATTTCTGTTTTCAGTTGCCGGAAATCCTTTGTTTGCATATCATTCGCACGACATGGACCAATGAAGGTTGGCCGATAAAAAATACAAGTCATGTTTCATTTCCTGATCTATTGGACATGAATCCGTTCATATCGTTATCACGTCTTCTACCAGCAAATTTACCTCCAACTCAACCGATCAAGAAACCATCGAATGCTTTCTATCGACTCAATTCCGTTCTTGTACATTTAGGTGGTATCAGTGAAGCTGGACATTTTATTGTCTATAGAAGACGGGTGGATAACAAGGGATGGCTATCCATATCTGATGATTACGTTCGAGAATGCAGTGACCTTCAAGTATTCGCTTCTATGGCATACATTTTGTTTTATGAACGAGTGAAAAAATAACTGATTTTTGTATTTTTTTAATTAATAAGAACAAAATAGATAATATGAGAAAACGAATATTACTATACAGACGTTTGCTGCTCTATTTCTTGTTGCGGGCTAAAATATATACGAAAGAATGTTTAACTTAAAATTAGGTTCAATTTGCTTTTTATGTGCTGTTCTCTTTCCTATTATTAATATATTCGGCCTTAGGAGTGCAAATGGTAGCGTAGATTGCGCAACATGTACTATTGTTCTCGGTCTTGTTGAAAAACTATCCGTTTTTTTACAATGAAAGTTTTATCGATTCTTTTGAACAAGTTTGTAATGCATTACCAGCCGATTTTCCAGCCTATTGTAAAGTTACCATTGAGTATCTGGGTAAATTTGTTCATTGTCCTTTCTTCACTGGAAGCTATAAATAATGTATCTTTAGGTGCTATTATTCTTGACGAATTCCTCAATAAAGAAACATCAGATATGATCTGCCACACACTAGAACTTAATCGCAATGATCTCGGTCAGAAGAAACGCTAAATTTATCCAACGAAATCTTCTTTATCTGTATTGCAACGAGCTTTACATCTGTGTCATTGACATCCACTGCCAAAATACGATTTTTCTTCAGCAATCCACGTCGGTGCTTGTGCCTCACAAGGTGACAGTGTTGTTGAATGGGTATTGCTGTACTTGGCGATTCGATCTCTGCTCATTTTCATATTCCGGAACAGTGGCTGGACGCTTCTCAGTTTTCACCACAAGCATTTAAACATCTAATGCTCATACTGGTAAATGAAGTGGACTGACAACAATTATCAACAGTTACGGGACACGCTAATATCAATTAGACAAATATTGTCGGTAAGATCTTTACTCTGTATCATATATAGCTTTACGAATATGTGTAGGACTGACACGATCGTTATACACACGTTGATTTGATCTAGATCACTGTAATCATCACGAGTATTCGAATATCTCTGTCAGCGGTGCAGATAGTGGATCTATTCTGAAAATCGTCAAATCAATACGACGTAATCAAGAGAGTGATGTACCACTGTTCGTGATTTATTTATTGTTAGGTAACGATGCGTGTAATGATCATCCAAACACTCTTGATGATGTGACAACAGTCGAACAAATGCAGAAGATTGTCATGAGCGATCCAGCTTATTTGAATACTGTACTGCCACACGGTAGTAACATCTTAACAATTGGATTAGCCAATGGTAGTTTATTGTATGAACTGTTGCCTGATCTAATCCATCCATTCGATCATGTTAGCGTACAATTTACTTATAGACAAATATATGATTAACCATCATGCTTACAAATTTCACCTTACAATGTATGGTTGATTTCCAACGGTACACAACCGAGCTCTAATATCGCAGCGTGTAGTAGATCTCTCTGGTGTAGTGCGAAACGCCACATTCATTTAAAAACCTAAATACTTCGTTACAGGTTGTATTGAATTTCCAGTCGAACAAGTTTTCCAAGAACGGCAAGCGCAAGGTGGTAAACCATAGCAATTAATCGAAAGTGTCGATGGATTTCATACCAATCAATATGGGCATGCTGGTCTTTCGATGCTTTTTTTTGGCTTGGTTACAGAGAGAGAGTGACCTTGTTGGCTACTACCAGTCAACCCGCATAACACCGAAATCGAACATGTATTTGAAGATCAAGGTGGCTATTAGTACTGACAAACGTTCACTTATATTTTTCTCATGACAGAAGTATCTAAATAAATAGTATATTCATAGCGAACAGAAAAAAAAATATCCATCTGTGGTAGTTCTCATCCAAGAGTAGTTTTTAAAATCGGGGCGTGTATGTGATAATCAATAGGATTGTCTTCGCACGATCGACTGTCGTCAATGTCCAGCACAACTTTCACTTGGATCGGTGTATTGCTGATCGTTTTCGTAACCGTCGTGGACGGCCGTCTAATACATTCGTTGTCGAGTGTCAATGGCGGTTCAGATTGCGCAACATGCTCAATTGTGTTAGGTCTTGTTGACCGTCTTGCCATCGTTTATAACGAAAGTGCAGCCCAGGCACTGGAAAGATTATGTTCATATTTACCAGGCGATTTCAAGGTCTATTGCAAGACTGCAGTGGATGTTTTAGGTATGACTGCTTTCGTATTCATTCAATGAATTCGTATGTAATGTACCATCATAGGCCCACTTATCATTGATGGTTTTATCAAAGGCGATAATCCAGATGTGATATGCCATGCATTGAAATTTTGTCACGATGATCCTGGCCAACCTAAATGTCGAACCTATCCATCGAAATCGTCTCTATCTTTGTCACAACGTGCTTTACATCTACGTCAACAACATCCGCTCATTGACTCACTTTTAGCAACGCCAAAAATTTGTCAAATTCCTGGTATTGCAGAAATCTGTAAGATATTAGAAAATGTCTTCAACAATCATGAACCGTTGGTTGACTTTGATCATGATCAATTCGGTACAGAAGTAACATTTCGAGGCACCTCATGGCGAGGAAAAGATTGCGATGACTTCTCTTCACAAATCCATCCCGGTGCTCGTGCTTCACAAGGTGATAGTGTTCTTGACCACAACTGTAACGGCATCTTGGGCATGAACTCGGCAACTGGACAATCATGGGAAGACGAGATGTGCAATGACACACAACGAATGGGTATTGCTGTGCTTGGCGATTCGATCTCTGCTCATTTTCATATTCCGGAACAGTGGCTGGACGCTTCTCAGTTTTCACCACAAGCATTTGAGCATTTGATGTTTATATTGGAAAATGAGCTGGATTGGCCACAATTATCAGCAAGTACTGGTCATGTTAATGTTAGCTGGCCGAATATACAAGGTAGGATCACTATCTTCGTACTCTATCTTTCGCGAACTTTCATCAATACATTTAGGACCAACACGATCATTATATGGTCGTTTGTTTGACCTTGACCATTGTAATCATCGTGATTATCAAAATATTGCCGTCAACGGAGCTCGTAGTAGCACCATGACCAGTATTATGAAATCGCTTGCACGGCAACCAAAAGGTGATGTACCACTTCTTGTCATTTACTCTTTAGTCGGTAATGATGTATGTAATGGGCATCCGGATACTATCAATCATATGACCACAGTCGAAGAAATGTACAAAAACGTCATGACTGCACTAACGTATCTCGATACAGTCTTACCAAAAGGTAGTCATGTTTTGACGACTGGACTTGGCAACGGTAGTATGTTATACGATCTTTTACGCACTCGTTTACATCCACTCGGCCGTGTTGGACCACCACTCACCTATCCTCAAATGTACGATTACTTGTCGTGCTTACAAATTTCACCTTGTAATGGCTGGCTTTCGTCGAATGATACCCTTCGAGAATTGACCACCGAACGAGCTGTTCAATTATCGGGCGCGGTTCGCAATGCTACATTCACTTACAACGCCAAGAACTATGACGTTGCTTATCTTGATTTTCCATTTGACCAAGCTATTCAAGAATGGGAAGCACAAGGTGGTGAACCATGGCAATTAATTGAAAGCGTCGACGGTTTCCATGTGAACCAATACGGACATGCAATCATCTCTGATATTATCTGGTCGTGGTTACAAAAGGAAAAACCACAATGGTTGCCACCTTTAAATCCACATAATGCTGACATTGAACGTGTATTTAAAGATCAAGGTGGATACTAAATATTTTCATTTCTTTTACTCAACAAGAAATAAGCATCAGCCAATAATATCGTTCCAATCATTTTCACTTGTTTTCGAATGTCATACGATCAAAAAGAATCTGTTCGTATAAAAGCGGTTGTATGCTTGAAAAGAATTCTTTTACGAATAAAAGTGAATCGATTGTTTGCATTGAAACGAAATAAACACTTGTGATATCACATTCTCCACGGGTGGCAGTTCACTTCATTCATTTCTATAAAAAGAAGCACATGTCTTGCCATCGATTTGTTCATTTGATAAACAACATGTGTAGACTATTAACTTCGTTTATCATTCCAATCAATAGCCTTGAAACAACAATATTCGATCTCTTCCGGCGATACTCTGTATTTGTCAATGTACGAACAAACGATCGATAAAATTCTTTTATAATCAAAGGCGTTGATCTGATCACTGAATGCCATTTTAACTTTCTTATCATTCGACCTTTTCTTCTTCATCAATAGATATATGCAAATGAGCAGCTTTATCAGCACTAATCATATAATGAACATAACATTCGTTTTCTCATTTGCACTGAAATACATATCGTTCCATATCGAATAGCTTCGTTGTGAAAACAGATGTGTCCGATGATGAGAAGATTTCCTAATAAACATAGTTTGTATGAATAAGATGAGACATTCGTTCTCTCGTGCAGTCCACCACATTAGTTTCTGCCACTCAAAAAAAGGTCATTGGTCGGATGACTTAATTTTCAGAAAATGAGTTTATTTATTTAATGGAGAGAATAAAAAAAGAGAATAGTGTGCATCGTTGTTAACAATGAAGCCATATCTAATGAACAGAGAGAATGTTCATTGATGAACACACATCTGTTATCTTCTTCGCGCATCAGAGATGCCAGTTCAAATGAACATGCTACTTTCTTTCTTTCTCTGCCGCCGAATGACGTCTTCATCTGATTTCTTCATATCAAACACAGCACGAAATGTTCATTAGAATATTTCTACTCGAATATGCTTCAAAACTGTCTTGTTTTTAGATATGTTTGTCAAACAGCTCGTCCTACTAGTTTGCTTTCTTCTGTGTGTCTTAGAATCGGCACGACTGACTGACTCGAATGTGAAACATCATAAAAAACGGCGTGCTCGTTTTCGTCGTCGTGAATTCATTCAAGAAGAAGTTCAAAAAACAATGTCAAATTATATGACGAGTATGAAAGGCGAAATCACGGATATTATTCTCGATGAAATGATTAGTTATTACAACGATCAACAAATGAAATTATTTGATCTGGAAAACGAAGTGGTCAAGATGAAAAACTCGTCATTACCCGTTCGAAATGTTAATGTCACATTCAATGAACTGGTTTTACAAATGACAAAACAAGAGCGTACGTTTGCATTGAATATATCGTTTATGGAGAACAAAGTTAAAAATCTAACGAATATGATTAATGTCTTACTGAATGAATTGCAAATGAAACCTGCACAATGGGCCAGGCCACTTATTTCTGTAAAGAGAAATTTAGATATTAATGAACTGCCGACAGGTAAACTTTTATTTTGTAAAATTAGTTTGAAAGTATTTATTGATTTAGATTGTGATGATGTACTGCGTCAACAGTCACCAAGCACTTCGGAAGGAATCTTTCGTATTAAACCTCGTTCGTGGACCGAGTCGTTTGAAGTTAAATGTATATTTGAAAACAATGTTACTGGTATGAAGGAAGAGATAAATAGGCGTGAGAATACTTAAAGGATTTTGATTTTTCTGTTGAAATTAGGTTGGACAGTCATTCAACGACGATTCAATGGTACGGTGGATTTTTATCGAGGTTGGAATGATTATAAAACTGGATTTGGCGATATACAAATGGAATTTTGGTTGGGAAATGACAAGATTCATCAGTTAACCAAACAGGGAGAATATGCGTAAGTTCATTTGAGAACTCCAAAATGAAAATTTATTGAATTTTCAGTCTTCGAATCGATCTAAAACCATGGGATGCACCCATTCTCATCGCCGAATATGGTCAATTTCGGTTAGAGAACGAAAATGAAAAGTATAAGTTATCCGTATCCAACTTCCTTGCAAACATCTCAACGGCTGGCGATTCTCTTTCATCATCATGGGATAATGCAAATGGTGCATCATTCTCCACCTTCGATCACGACTTTGACAACTTATTTTATGACAATTGTGCACAAATCTATCATGGCGCATGGTGGTTTACAAATTGTTTTCAATCCCATCTCAATGGTCTCTACGTTCGAACACCACTTGCTTTACAAAATACAGCACGCAATGGCTTACAATGGAATACATATGCATTGCATCATTCAATGCAAGAAACAACTATGCGCATTCGACGACAAACATCACTCGAAATGCATTGACTTACTTGTTTGCGTTTGTTTTTCATGACAATAAATGATTGTTTGTAGTATTTCATCGACGTCTCACCTAGCCGATCCAATGAAATGGAACGAAAACATGTCTGAATCGATGTCATGTGCATACGCAGAACACGTTCGCTCAAATCATATCAGTGGACCGGCAGGTATCCACCTCTTGCACCGTATATTCGATCTCCACCACAAAACGCAGTTTGACCTGCGATGCGTCTCACGAAGAGCCGACTGCGTAGCCGCTAGTTGGAGATAGAATGGCACTTGACGTGGACCTGTCAATCCGGAAGAGAAAAGAAAAAGAAGAAAATAAGCTTGTAGACGAAAGTGAAAGATGCGGTGTACTCCAACGAGCCAAGACGAATCTTAAAAGACCATCGAGTCGCATAGAGCCACCGCTCATTGTTATTGCATTACTTCGATCACTGTTGTAGAAGTTTATTCGAAGTAAGCGGAGTTGATCTCGCAAAGCACAAACGCAACGATGTACGTTCTACTTCACAGTTTAAGATAAAGAAAAACACGTAAAACACCGCGTATATATACTCATGGGCAAGTATTGCACAACAGTTGTAAAATACCGCTTCTGTTGCCCCTCACAACGCCTTTTCCTTTGCCCTTCACAACGCCTCTTCCATGTTTGAAAAGCATAGATACAACGAGTATTTCATCACAAGTTGTAGATAAAAAAGTTTTTTTCAATCATGAAATGTAGTTGCAACATTGCTTTGTAAAAAAAACATTGCAGGTACTTCTCAATTTGTCAGCATCGTATGACGTTGATCATTACGTTTTTTATGTTCTATTTATAGAACGAGACTTGTCATCGTTGAGATGCATGTAATGCGTGTATCATTCGTGATTTGATTGAGCAGAATCGGAAATAGATGGTTTTCACCATCGATATACGTTAATTTAAATAGATGTCGCTAGATGTATGCATTGGGACATGCGATATTTGCAAAAAAAGCAAATAGAGGATCGATGAAATAAACATAGACGGTAAAATAAGGATCGAAAATGAATAAATAGATGGCATCATTAAAACACGATTTTGTTAGTATTTCCACTAAAAAATCTCTGCTATTCTGATAAGATCAATGTGATAGACTAATATTTTTACTCATCCAATCTCCAATGTCGAGGAGCTAAAATGAATTTTCTATTGTAAGTTGCCGATCACTTGATAAATCGACTTCACATCGCATTTTTTTCTCGTTTTATTCTAGTCGACAACAACGTACGTTCAAACCTCATAGAAATATACCAGAAGGTATTCAAATCTACCGTTCAATTCGATTGTTATTTTCAGTTTTTTTTCTTTTACAGGTACTAAACAACATGATTTGATGAGACATGCTCAAAATACTCTCGGAAGTGGAAACCTACGCCTTGCTGTTCAATTACCAGATGGAGAAGACCTTAACGAATGGATCGCTGTTAACAGTACAGACGCTTTGCAATGAAAATTGAAATATCTTAGTAAATCGTTTGATTTAGTTGTGGATTTTTTCAATCAAATCAACATGCTCTACGGTACAATCACCGAATTCTGTACGGAAACAACATGTGTCTTAATGACAGCTGGACCCAAGTATGAATATCATTGGGCCGATGGTCAAACAATTAAAAAGCCTATTAAATGTTCAGCACCACGTTACATTGATTATTTAATGTCTTGGGTGCAAGATCAACTCGATGAGGAAAGTCTTTTTCCATCGAAAATCGGTGTACCATTTCCCAAAAATTTCCTCTCCATTGCCAAAACAATCTTAAAACGCTTATTCCGTGTCTATGCTCACATATACCATCAACACTTCAAAGAAGTTGTTATGCTCAAAGAAGAAGCACATTTAAATACATCATTTAAACATTTCGTTTATTTCATTCAAGAATTTTCCTTAGTCGAAAAAAAAGAATTAGCACCTTTACAAGAATTAATCGATCGGTTAACAACTAAAGATCATTAGTGAGAAATTTCTTTCTTTTGTTCTAGTCAGATGAATTCTAATCAGAGAAAGAAGATTGCTTGTACATTTGTCAATCACCTAAATACATGCCATTTCTGTCGTCTTTTTTTTATATATTCTTATGTGCGATCGATCTGCTCGTTTTTTTGTCTCTTTGTTAATATATTGTGGAACTTTTCGTTTTTTTCTTTCCAGTAGAAACGTAATGATCAAATTAATATTTCTACTAACAACACGCATAATCTCTTTCTTCCACTTTATTGTTCAACAAAATATCCTTCGATTCGTTTTTTCTTCTCTCTTATTTCAGATGTCTGATCTAACTGATATGCATTTTGGTCTGCTGAACAAATCTCACGATCATCTACTAACTTATCGTGCATTCGAGCAAGTTCGTCTCATCGCTCTTCGACATTTTTGGATACCGAATTCCATCATTTTTTACAATCCGAATGATGAGTCAGATAATGCCTTTGAATTTTCTCTAACGATATCGAATGAACGTTACTATTTGTATATTCCATGGAATATTGATGAATACCAAATCCAATGTTATATATCATGTCGAAAACTAGCAGATGATGGCTATGCATGGACAATTCGTATGTTAGATCGAATATTACGATTACTATGTGATCATTGTCCTGGCCTCTTCCAACTCGAATATCGAAATGGTTTATTTGGTCGACAGATAAATCGTTCGATTGTGTACAACGGCCTCACTAATCTTCATCCCATGGACTATAGTCATTGGAAACAACGTGTACAGTTGCAGTATGATCGTTTGAGTCCAACCAGGCAAACGACGACGATCTTATCTGATATCGAACAGACAAATAATGGTAATGAGTATGCGATACGCTCAATTAAATATCAAACGCTCGGCCATGGAAGAATACTTAATGAATCTTATTATGATTGGTATGTGTGATAAAGTTTGTGTAATAATCAATTATGATCTTTGTGTCAGATCGAATTTCTCTCCTTTTTCTTTGTTTCGTTCTACTGAAACTATTCCAAATAGTAAGCCAAATCAATATTTTCGTTCTCTATATGTAGCATATCCATGAAATCCCATTTCAATCATCGTTTCAAGAAATGGATTTCATTGATACGGTGGTTCAAATCGAAAATAAAACTTGAAATTGTTATCGGCGCACTATTCTCTTTCTATTTTCAGATAAATATTTGCGTTTTTCGATTTTTCAATCGTAGTGTGTCATATGGCAACATCTAGTCGAACAACGACGACAACAACAACGTCAGCTGAAACTAGACATACTTCACGAGAAAACCCTCCGACGCTCGTTTTAGAACTGACGAGTCCATCTGACAATGGTCCGCGCGTGCGTTGGTCAGAAGAAACGGTTGATAATGAATATATGAACAAAAAGAAATCGAAATGCTGCTGTATCTATACAAAACCACATGATCCTCAGTCGGATGCTAACGAAACCGAAGAGGACAAAGAATTCGATAATTGTCAACATTGTCGAAATCATACTGAATCTGATTATGCTGCCAATGCCGAAGATCGTCAGCCAAAAGTCAAAGTAGTCATTAGAAAACCAGATAGTTCCTAAATAAAGAAACAATTTTCGAATAATTTATTCATTTTATTTTTTTACGAATGAATCTCTTCGTTTTTTTTTTGTTTGCTTTGTAAATTTTTAGATTATCTCGTTGTTTCTCTATTCTACCACACTTAACCAACAAACATGGGTCGTGTTCGTACAAAAACCATTAAGAAGGCATCACGCCAAATCATCGAAAAGTACTACACAAAGTTAACCTTGGATTTTCATACCAACAAACGTGTTGTCGAAGAAATCGCCATTATCCCGACGAAACGTCTTCGTAATCAAATCGCTGGTTTCATTACACATTTGATGAAACGTATTCAAGCTGGACCTGTTCGTGGCATTTCGATTAAACTTCAAGAAGAAGAACGTGAACGACGGGATANTCATCGAAATGGCACACATTATTCACAAGTTCATCATCACTACAATCAATCCAAGCGTGCAACTGTGAATCGGAAGCATATGTAGTTAACATGTAAAATTCCATTGAGTAATCCCGTATTGTATCTAAATGGTAGACATTATGAGTAATTTCCGAGTCTTTGGAGCAGATTTTTTGATAGATATCCGAATCGGATAAGATGCGACGAAAGAATATCATTCGACCGAGTCGACCGGGAAAGACTAATCGATGTACGACTGATTTCTGTGATACAGATGAAGATTTCGTCGAATACGGATTGTCTTTTGAAGTTAATTGATCATCCGGTAGGAGAAAATATCCGTCGCTTGTGTTCGTTTCTTCACGATCTAGCGAACCATTACAATACGCCGAGTCAGCTGATGTTTCAGTTTTGATTAGGATAATCGGTGAAATATCACTTCCAGACGACTGATCGCGCAGATGATGGTTATGATTATTCTCTTTCGTACTCATTGATGCATCTAAATTAGAGTATTTCATTTTAATTACAAAAACTTCTTTTTTCCTCGAATTTTGCTTACTTGTATCGACTAATTTCTGACCATGGTGATGCTCGTTGAGGCTATCTTCGGAAAAATCATGCGCAATACTTGGTGTACTTGAATCCTCTTTTTTCTCGATGGTTTTCGTTTCAGTGATCGATTCGAGTGAAGGTGGCGTTAACGTTGACAACGACTCATTAGTTTGACATACGACTTCATTTGAAACTATATTCGGTACTTCAGGTGTTAGATGGCAACTGAATGTTTTCAGTTCTTGACTACGGACAGGTCGAACTAATTTAACGGTATTTTTTGTAAACAGCGATTGTCGGATTTTGTTATTCGTCACAGAAGTGACTGGAATGGAGGTTGGCTTTTTCGCTTTAGTCTGAGCTTGTCGCTGAGCGATCAGTGCGTCAAGATCGGAAACACGAGCAGATTGATGAGTAACTGGTGGTGGACGTGCTTTAACAGTAGCCGGTGCCGGTTTTGTTGATTTCGAAGCACTTGTTCGTGTGCTTGTTGGTGGTGTCGGTGTAACAGTTCGTAGCGGTTCAGAAGACTTTGCCAGAGTGTATCGCGGTCGAGATGGCTTGGTAGGTATTGAAGTTGACGATGTTGTCTTTTGATAAGTAGTTGTAGAAATAGTAGGACGTGGTCGATTAGTTGTTGCAGTTGCTGCTGCTGCTGTTGTCGTCGATGCTCGCACGGGAGTTGCTTGTACTCGGATTGGTTTGGCAGGCGATGTTGTGGATGTGTTTTTAACAACTGTCGTTGTACGAACTGGGGTTTGTGTTGATAACCTTTCATGGTTAGAATAAGTTGTTCGGGCATATTGTGGTGTTGACTTATTCTTCGGATTAATTGTTATTGTTGATTGTTGTTTACGAGGAATAGTATGAGGATCATTAACAGGAACGATATTTACACTTGGTAAACGTTGATTATCACAAGGAGACTTTTCATTACTTAACAGATAATAGAGTTTATTTGTCAGGCCAGTGGATGATCTCTCGGATTTAGATTTGACAGTAGCCAGTGTTAACAATTGATCGGGATATTCTATGAACAGAAATGGATTAATCGAATCAGAACGATGAAGAGAATTCTCTATCTGTAAGTCTTTCCACTTCGTCGATGACCGTAATCAGGCAAAGGATATTAGTGAATCTTATTTCATTTCTATATTGATTATTATGTGTTATTTGAGACTCTCGGATGAGAAATATGAGGCGTTCTATCGATCGCATGCCGATCGAATAGAATTCATAGTTAGAACGGATAGACACTAAATTTCTGTCCTTGATTTGTCATGTTGACAAACATAATTACTCATCTTTTTCTTCTCTTCTCACAGTAATTGAAATTCAAGGCGATAGAACAAGCAATTTTCATCAATATCATTCACAGGTTTTCTCTTAGGGATCTGTATAGTTGACAATATTATATCGGAAAACGTGTCCTAGTAATGCAACTTTCATATTGAAAAATTAGATCCTCTATTGAGAATGTTAGTTTCCACATATCCCCCTATCGGAAGTTTCCTGAGTATGATGATGATTCTTCTGACAGACTGGTCTATATTACAGGACAGAGATATTTATTTCTTCTGACAGTTGTTCTTTTTACGTCGATCTTCTCGACGGTATTTACTCAATAAAATCATGTTTTCTTATTCCCATTTGAAAAGTCTTTCTCGATATTTACCTAAATAATCTTGAATAATATTATCTTACCGTTTGTATAGACTTTTCTTTTTTCTTGCTGGAAAAACGACTCAATTAATAAGCACACTTAGTTTTTGCCTTCGAAACTGCCGTTTTTTTTCCAGTTGCCGTTAGCATATTTTCTCTTTGCTTCACGGAAAAACATAGCAGTTTGCTTTTTTCTCTTCTCCTCTTCCATGTACTTTCTCCTTTTTTTCTCTCGTTCTGTAGTATCCTAATTAGACATGTGTATGACGAAGAGAAAAAAATCCGACAAGCAGAGAAAAAAGGAACTTACATCATAACATATTCTTTCATAAGAATACAAGAACACATACCCGATGAATGATTTCTTGTTTGTTGATCGTGTTCATCGGCATTCATCAAGCGCTGATCAAGCCATGTGGTTTGATCATTAGTAGTACATCGATTATCATCATCCTATTCAAATACAACATACTAATTGATCGAGGTACAAAGAACAGGCGACTGCTCTACCTGCTGTTGCTCCGTCCTCCATTGGGCCGCATCGTTCTCATGATACAGTTCAACACGTTCTTTTCTTCGTTCCTGTGAAAAGAAATCGAGTATTATGTCTTCATTCGTGATTTAAGAGGGAAAAATTTCTTTTGCAGTGGAGAAACAGACGTTCTTCTACCTGCGATTTAGCGTGATCATGACATGGAAGGATACATTGTCCAAGAAGATCTTGAATTCGTCGTCTTTTTTGTCTGGTCATGATGTTTTTTCTTTATTTACCTACGATAATCATCGCTTCTTTATGTAAAACGAACGCACGAAGAAACGTGAGACATATATATATATATTTTTCGTAGATCTGTTGATAAAAGATATTTCATGTGCGACGTTGTCAACATTATTTTTCTATTCGTTGATAAAACGAAGTGACAGTAAGAGAGAGACGAGTGCACAACTTGAGATTTGGATGTATCAATTAAAGAAGAAAACATCTCTGAGATAAGCACTTATCGATTGTTGTTCTGGTTTACAAGTAACAACAAAGATCTAAGTGACATTTACCTGTTGGGTTAAAAGAATTTTCATGATTAAATCCGTCATTGATCGCATACACGTTTCATTTTGCATCTGGTAACTGATATATAGCTCGTGCAATTGATGATTTTCATTTTCAAGATATTCAATACGTTTATTCAAATAAGTTTGTTCGTCATGGATCCATCGTTCATACTAAAAGAGAAAAGACAATTTCCAAAAGAAAAGCAATCTTTTTCAAATGACTTACTCGATTTTCTAATAGATCAAGTCGTGTCTTCAATGCATTGTTTTCATTCACGAGACTGTCCATGACATTATGTACATTTTTGAACTAAAACTAATCAATCAAAGAAATGTTTCACGGAAACGTTTCTGATTACCTCGTCTTCGACGAACAACTGATTTTGATTCATCGATTGTCTATGTGAACAATGCAGTTTATTCTTCCATTGTCGAAATGTTGAACTCATTTCTTCGTAGCAGCTGATCTACAAGAGAAACCAAACTTAATCAAAGAGATTTCGACCTTTTTACCTCCAATATTTATTTATCTTACAAATGCACACGACGCTTACCTTCAGGTCAATAAGTCATACTTGGCAAGCGAATTTTAAGAAGTACATCGTACTCGAATATTTGGTTAAGTAAACGAAAAAGAAAGAACCTGCGCTCACCATTTTCACGTCTACTCTACGCAAAAGAAAAAGAAGGGAGGATGAAATGAGCCGATGAGCAGACAAATCAATGTCAAATATTTAACAAAACTAGAACTTGACTCATCATCTTAGTCGGAAATTGATTGAATTTGCTAGACTATCAACAGTTATGTATCAACTATTTGTTCGTCCTACGTCACTATACAAATCCTCTATTTGACATTTGAAAAAAAAAGGCACATCGCGTTTGAAGAAAAAGAAACTGTCTGAAATTTCATCTTCGGTATATACATAATCAATCGTTCGCTCGTTCGTTCTTTTATTCGTGTGCATTTATTCGATTGATAAATATAAGTAAATGCTTATATGTATGTATATACTTGAATGTTAAAATGCAATCATCGAGCTGCAGAATAGCTGGAGTGAAAGACTTACGATGAGAAGATAAAAGAGTTTGAGAATTTTTCCAATGAATAAGATCAATGACATGATGATAATCACGAAACTTGGACAAATATCATTTGGTAGAAATTGAATAATAGATCGAGACGTCGAACATGAGGAAAATGAGAAGAATGATTGACAAGTTCTTGATTTGAGCTCTTTTTTTCCTAGTCAAACGGGAATAGATGATAATATTTCGAGTTGTCTCAATGTTTTCTTGTTTGTTATTTCAGCGGCATTCTCAGTAGACTAGGCGATGTTCAGTAGACTAGGCGATAATATTGAGTCCACGATGACGAACATAAAAGCAAACGAAGAGAAAAAGAAAGGAGAGAACAGGAAAACGCCGATTCTGCCGTCGTTTTTCTTCTATGGATACAACAACATCAATTATCTTTTTTTCACTCCTTAGTTATATCGTTTTCTCTATTATGATCGATGAAAATAAGGCAAATGTAGAGAAAAAAGCCCTCAACAATTTATGAAGTTCTCAGCGTATCTCGTGATCGCATGTTGAGATAGATCTTCCTGAAATTTAAATTCTACCTTCTAGAGTTCTTGAAACTTACATCAGGGAGAGAAGTTGATGTTCTCGTCGCATATGGGTTACGCAAAGTGAAGTTCATTTTATTAGTTGAATAATCAAATTCATTCTCATTCCCATGGTGATACATTTGCTTCCATCTAAATCTTACCAAGTGAATTAAATGCACATTCTGACACGCCGGCTAAGTCAACTACGCTAACTAAATATTTGGTTATATGTCAAACGACTCATAATTTCCTAGTTTTCTTTTTGATTAATATACGAATTCGACAGATGAATGAAAGAGCGTATGTGTCACGTGAAGAAACGATACATTACCTTTTGATCGTACTGAATTGATCCGTTAAACTAAGACTGCTTTTTATCGTTTATGAATGAGAAGAGCTTTTCTTTTTCTGCCTTGATATATGCAAGAGGATCTCTGCGTTAATTATATTTCTTTGTTGGACAAATCAATTAACGTCGTACAGTTATTTGACATTTTTATGTCTTGTAAATACTTGTGTTCTTATTTTTTGATATGCAAGATCATTATCTACGTCCAGTCGTAATTGATAAAATGATTAAGAAAAAAAACTATGCAATGATGTTTTCCGTCGAAGCCTGTAGATCGTCATTGGATTTGACTTCAATTATTGGCATATTTTTCTATTAAAATTACCGAACTCTGATAAAAAATGCACGCTGAATATAAAAATTTTATTGAGTTATTAAGAATAGTGGAAATAGAATTGTCTTATTTCGAAGCTCGTCAAACCGCGAAGCGTCGAAAGCGATGATACTGTGAACGAAGAAGTCGATAGATCATTTCGGCGATTTCCATTAGCGAAAGGAAACTAATACCTATCCAAAGACCCGTTTGTCCACCGACATTGGAAAGAACATCAACTGGACCAATTGACGCTTGTTGAGCATAGATTTCGGTTCGAGTCGTTTCAAAAGAAACTTCTAATGAAACATAGCTCAGAAGGATTTCGGATGTCCACGTCGTTGACCAATTCGTCGGTAATGGAACGTCCGTTGATTCAACGAATGTCTTTATTTCATTCATCAAATACGCAGGTGGTGAATAGACTGATGTTGAAGCTATAGGAACCTCGTTGAAACTACATTCTTGTCCACAATCAGAACAATAATAAGTCCAAATACTTTCTGTAGTCATAGCCTCGGCTTGTGCTTGAGTATAGCATGAATCGCTAATGTTACAAAATGGTATATGAATCGATTTATCACTGCCAGGAAGGACAACAAGACTTGTAGTCCAGTAAAAAGGACTTCCACAACCACATTTATGGTATCTGAAATGGATCATTCGCATGAATTGGCACGTAGCATCGTGGACTTACATATAGGCTTGTATACAAGCGGTATAGCATATTTTTTGCGAATATCCATAATTAGTATCATGATATTGAGTATACATAGCTTGCATTCCTACGTTAACTTGATCACTGCATGAAGTATAAGGCAATGGCAAGAAAGTACTCTGTTTTATTCCATATCCTAATCGATGATGCCGCCCAGGTGCAAGCCGTGTGCATTTCTGTTCGATAATTGGTACTTGAGCGTTATCATGAACTAAGACTACTGCACCCACCCCTAAACATAGAATGTACGTAATTTAGCGAGAGTATCGTATGGATTTGACGCATACCGTTGGTCATATAAGGCACATTTTGATGTTGATGAATATATAGATGTAATTCTAGTGTACCAGTTCCTCCATTCTCTCCAGTATTCCTGATATGTTTATTCAAGGAATCTTTCGGGTTAGCATTGAATGTATAACATAGACCGTATTGTGGTGATAGAAACCAAGTAAAGTCAGCGACTGTGCACGAAAGACCATTGAAGGAACAGAACATCATCATGGATTCGAGGGAATATAAATATTCATTTACCGATTCATTTTGGTTGAATTTGTCAATTAGGAACTGCCTAAGGTATGGTACATATGCCTTCGTAAAGTTCGTTGTATCAGTTATATTGGTTAAGTTTAATGCTGCTGTATAATTCAAAAATGGCTTTATCACTCGATCGTATCTTAGAGGAGAATAATTACATATGGTCACTGCGGGAAAAGGCTGCGGCCATTGGGTAACAATAGACACAGATGTTTGTGTAGGATACTGGAAGTATGATCGAATCGTTTGAACAATGAAATAGGTCATTATACTTGTAAAGATAAGTGTTGATATTGACCAAAAGATTCGATTGTGCATGCTTTCACTGCGTGCTATACCCGGAATGCCATGGGTTGATGTGTTCAGACCGAACTCTCTGATAATCAAACGAACTGAGCGAGATTTTCGAAGTAATTTTGCTCGTTTTTCATCAGTTGGAGACATATTTATATCAGTTGACATACTTCCCAACGTTAACCTTTGTCAGAGTTACTTATTCTATATGCGCCAGTGACGAATGAAGTATAATGACCAAATCCTACTAATTTATAAGCTCGAAACGCAGAAACATTTCTCAAGCCTTTCACTTTCTTTCTTTCTTTTCAATAAAAAAGGAGCGTATGATTCGGTTTCCTCAGGCAGTTCTTCGGTATAGAATTAATTTTGAAATCTGCTTAAATATCAACAGTCGACATAGGGTTTTATTACAAACACCTACACTCGCGATATAACTCGCCAAGTGTTTTCAAATAACTACCAATCCGAATACACATATAGACACATTACACATGTATGTACATACACTGCAATCATTCTGACCGACATAGATTTTCTGTTCTAATTGAATATCGATCGACGCAATACGGTCATATGCATCATTTTCTATTCATAACCGAAATGTGTTAATGAAAAAAACATTTTCCGTTCTGACATACCTCGTTCTGTTGGTCCGATTTTACTGTCACGTACCCAATTTATTTCGAAAGCTAAGTAAAACAAGAACATTTGCTACTAATGTATACACATATAAATATTTACAACGAAATTCTTCTATGAGACTCAACTACTTCCACTACGTTAAACGAAAAATCGATTGCATTAATGCATCAGACACGTGAGTTGACCGTTCGCTGCGAACGCGACCTTCCATGATGGTCATCAATAACTGATATCGTAAGATTTGCCTCGTTATGATATCCATCGAAATAATTGCTTCTTTTTCGTCGTATACGGCATTTAGATATCGCCATAGTAATGCAATAAACATATGTTGGACGTCTAGTATGTTAGTTTTACTCGAACAATTATCCACTTCGTAAATACTGAAGACGAAGGTAATCAGTGCGAGTTTTAGAATCAATGGATGATTGCAAAATCGATAGAGATATTGCCGTGTCTGAGACATTTGTTGATGAAATTCAGGATTGATCCATTTGCTCATCAAATAACCAATAATTGGAGTTTCAGAGAAATTTTGTATCAAAATGTCATGTAAATGTACGATATTAAGGAGATTCGACTTTATCAATCGAACTCGATCGTCCAAGTCTATCTCTTTGAATATCGGAATTTTCGTAAAGAACTCCACCAATGACCGATGTATTGAACTTTCCCTGTCAACGAACTGAATTAATGACATTGACTCATTGTAGCAGTTAAAACGTAATCCATCTGCTTGATTGGCTGTAATTTGATATGCGTGAGTGATATTATTTAGCCAGCTATTGTCTGACTCATTCAAATTTCGATGAACACAAAAAAATGCTGCAGTGCACATCTACGATATGATCGAAAAGAAGATTATGATCATCTGATCAATATGCCTTTACCGGTTGAACTACAGAAGTTGCTCTTCTCATTAGACGTTTCTTTTTTCGTACTACAAGCGGAAGAACAATTGTTGGTTTCGAATCGGTCTCATTTCGGCAGAATCTTCGTTCTTGTTTCATCTGCTTCTGTATTTGTCGCAGCGTCACTTCTGCTTCGGTTCGAATCCACTCTTTGCGCATTTTGATATCGAAGCATTTCTTCAAACGACAATAAGTACACTGTCGACGTGTGTGAATATTAATAACGCACGAACCCGAGAAACGACATTTCAGAGAAGACTATATGAAATATTTTATATGATTATTTTCTGACTATGGACATTCTTACTGTGCCTCGTAGAGCGTTACGACGGAAAAACGCCTTGCACGATTCGCATGTGACTTGATCAAAATTGTACCCAGTTGCTGGTGCACCACAAACGCCGCATATAAGATCGGAATGAAGTGTCAGTTGACTGCTAGGGCTTTCTGTCACCAAAACACGAGATTCCTGAGAGTTTTCGACCGAATTCAGACATTCAGATTTAATTTCATCCATTTGTATTGGTTCCATAGTTGAAAGGAGATTCTGAATATCCATTGGAGGATGACCAGAGTCAAAGGACGCAGGAACTAATTCATCGTAGGTTAGAGGTTCATAAAATGAAAAATTATCCCAGTCGGACTGGTATAAAATTGTTGCTGTCATTGTTTGAGATCACTTTTGCTCGAATCGATGTTTTTCTTCTTGTAACGAGAAAAAAAAGAAATTTATGTCGCTAGCTGTGTTGCTTCTATCGTCTAAACTTTCCTTCTTCAAACATTATGGGGTACTTTTTTTACCCTTTTATAGGAATGAAAACGCCTAATAATGTTTTTGCGTTTCTTATTTTTCTTTATGACTCGCTGAGTCATCCAAAAGGCAGAACAGGAACACAGGTTTTGTGAAGCCCTTTCGTCTATGACGATGAGTCAGTGAATTGACTATTATGGTTGAAAAAAATGTCATGTCTTTTGCGCCAAGGCAAGATTTTATTGGTTCTTACCAGAAAATCGCAATATAAATTCCTAGGCAATGACTAATCTGTCTAAATCATAACTAGGCGTTCATATCGCGCAAACACATTTTATTTTCAAATATCGATACGATGAACCAGTTTATTCTCTATGCAAAATAGGAAACACAGTACAGCATATAACTACGAGTTCTTTGATCGCGAGATCATTATGTACATAGCTTTGCGAAGAATCCCTGGGTTTCCAATTTGATTGAACAAACAAACAGTGATTTTCACGGAAGTTCGCTTGTCGGCCCAGTGCAAAGATTGTTTCCATTAGTTCATGTAGACCGTCTTTCTTGGAGATCTCTCGTACATGATCAATCACCGTCATCGTCAATATTTGGTATTGTAATATTTGTCTAACAATAAACTCCATCGATTTCTTTTCATCAAAAAGATAATTTAAATGACGTCACAGTATTTTAGTATAAAAATCTTGATATTCAATCACTTTCTCCGGATTTCGATAATTTTCGGCTTCACTCGTATCACGTGTAGTCGATCAATTGACACCGAAGAGAAAAATGATCACAGACAGTTTTAATAGCAACGGATATTTGACAAAACGATAGAAACGTTGACGTGTTCGAGACATTTGTTGATGATATGTTGAACTGATCTATTTCTACATATATTTAGCAATATGAGAAGAATCTTCGTAATTCTCAATGATAATACGATCCTTATGAACAGTATTTCGAATATTAAGTTTAATTAGTTGAACTTGATCGTCAATATCTAATCGTTTGAATTCCGAAATATTATTATAGAAATAAATTAATGATGTAATCACTGAGCATTCATTCCTCATGAATTGGGATAGCACGGCTTCTTTAGTATAGTAGACAATAGAGGTGCAATCAACTGTATCAGCTCCGATCTGATACGCATGAGTGGCATTATTTAGCCAGCTATTGTCTGACTCATTCAAATTTCGATGCAAACCAAAGAATACTCCATTATGTATCTGGAAATATAATGCGTAAGGCGGTCGTTGCATTCACTCGGTACCTATTGGCTGAACTGTTGTAGTGAGTGACTTTCTTAATGAACGATTCTTTTTTCGTATCACAAATGAAAGAGCAATTGTTGTTTTCGAATCGATCTCATTTCGGTAGAATATTCGTTTCCGTGATTGTCGCAGCGTCCCTTCTTCTTTGGTTCGAATCCACTCTTTGCGCATTTTGATGTCGAAGCATTTCTTCAAACAGCAATAAGTACACGAATTGATCCAGTTGCTGGTGCACTACAGACACCGCATATCATCTCGGAAATGAGACTCTGCTGATGACTGATATCAATTACTCTTTATGAAGCAGTAAGGATAATGAATATAATCGAGCTGGACTAAGATAAGTCAAGTTCACTGACTGTCTTCGAAAAGTATAATGTATCATAAAATCGTATTGATAAAGACTGAAACGCAAACCACTATAAAAATCTTAAGATGATGAGAAACGCGTTGATAACAATGTTGTTCTTTTGAGCGTGTTCCTATATTTTCTCTGTCACTTGCAAATCGTACAATAATTGTCTTTTTTCTTTTCTGAATATGTTCGATGAAAGGAAAAAAAGTGCACATTTTTGTCTCTTCTATTCTGCACTTAACATGCGCCATTCTGCATCAAATGAAAAAGTGATCGTTTTATTTGTTCGATGGTACGAAAAAGGTAATGCAGTGATGATTCAATCAGAACCCGCACGCCTTTCGAGCTACGATGAGTATTGGGTTTATGTAGAATCGATTGATATTTATTATTGGACTAATAATGCATACTCATCGATTGGTTGAGTAACAAGAAGTTCGATTAGGTACTAAAATAACATGTTACGATTCGCACCAAGAGTAGAAGAAAAGAGCATATGTCAACTATTTTTTATTATCGATATTATGTTGATCAATTGACGTCAAAGCTTTAAAATATTCGAAGATTATCGTAACAGCTTGCATTTAACATGTCCTAATGTTATTTTCTTCGGAAATAAAGGGCGTAGAGAAGAATTAACAATGAGTAAGTTTTGATTTCTCTGTTGGGCGTGGTGTATTTACCAATAGATTCAAAGTTGCTTATGAGAAAAAAGAAAAAGAAATGCACTGGGCTGTTGTTTCCTAAAAGGGACGAATAAAAGAGCAAAAATAGAATCATGTCACAGATGCAATATTTGTTATCATTAATAGAATGCTAATACTTATGTAAATTGATCAAAGGCTGCTTGTTTTCTTTCGATGATCCCTGATTTGGAGAACATGAAATTTGAAACAGGTGATGACAATGCCAATTAGAAAATATTCGTAGTTTGTTTAAACTGACATCTGTAGGTGTGAATTGTTATACGTTTGCCAGACATCCAAGATGAAACGAGCAATAGGCAAGAAGAAGAAGAAGAGACACACACATACAATGCATGCTTCTCTGCTCCAGTGTGTGAATTGAGCTTTTCTCGAAACGCATTGACAATGTTGACAATTCCTGTTAGTTTCACGTCGCCAGTTGTGATTAGTGTTAGTATTCTAACCGCAATCGGTGTTTATGTACTTTTTGGACCGGAACCAAAAGATCGAAGAAAGAAAGGTTTGCATTTTCCATCGAAAATCTTCTCCTAGATTTGAATTCGGAACAGGTCATCCTGGTGGACTGATCAATTATGGAAACAATTGTTTTGCTAACGCTATCGTTCAATGTCTTGCATCTTCATCGATATTTATTTATTGGCTCGATCAACACGTGCAAAATAATCGTGTTACTCAAATCCTTCTTGATCTTATTCAGTCAATTAATGGACAATCATCCTCCTTTTCACAAGACTCCACTGTTGCTAAATTGATTGATCATATGTGTCAGCCGAGATGGTCAAGTCCATTCGAACAGCAGGATAGTCACGAATTTCTTCTTTCTTTGATAAATACATTAACTCACAAGAAATCGACACGGCCGAAACAACTCGGCTTTGCTGCTTGTCTTGATTCGGACGAACAGGATGATACACAGTCAATGATGATCAATGAAAGTCCGTTGGTATCTCCACATCCATTTCAAGGTCTACAAGCAACACAACTACAGTGCAACGAATGTAGACATAAAGTAAATCTATCTGAAAGTTCTAGTTTTCCATTTATTTCGTCAGTTTTCATTTAGAATCCAATCAGTATGTCGCTTTTTGAATCCCTGTCTCTAGTCATACCTGATCGGCAGACAGCGAGTCCATTGGTAGGAGAGAATCTTTTGTAAAAATAATGTCATGAATGTTATATGCTTTCAGACACTTGCTGTTCGGCAACAACAAAACTTTGCCTTACAAGAATTGATTGGTAATTATCTCAAGGCTGAGATGATTACTAATTTAACATGCAAACAATGTAAATCGAAAGGAAATTTATCACATCGGAAAATAACAACGTTCTCTCGAGTAAATATCCTAGTTCTAGTGTATTTCGTCATCAAATAACTATACCATTTCTGTTTTTAGCTGCCGGAAATCCTTTGTTTGCATATCATTCGCACGACATGGACAAATGAAGGTTGGCCGATAAAAAATACAAGTCATGTTTCGTTTCCTGATCTATTGGACATGAATCCGTTCATATCGTTATCACGTCTTCTACCAGCAAATTTACCCCCAACTCAACCGATCAAGAAACCATCGAATGCTTTCTATCGACTCAATTCCGTCCTTGTACATTTAGGTGGTATCAGTGAAGCTGGACATTTCATTGTCTATAGAAGACGAGTGGATAACAAGGGATGGCTATCCATATCTGATGATTCTGTCCGAGAATGCAGTGATCTTCAAGTATTCGCTTCTATGGCATACATTTTGTTTTATGAACGAGTGAAGAAATAACTGATTTTTGTATTTTTTTAAAATTAATAAGAACAAAATAGATAATATGAGAAAACGAATACTTCTACACAGATGTTTGCTACTCTGCTTCTTGTTGTGCGCTAAAGTATATACGAAAAAAATAGATATAAGTGAATGAAAGAATGTGTAACTTAAAAGTAGGTCCAATTTGCTTCTTATGTGCTGCTATCTTTCCTATTATTAATGAATTCGACCTTAGGAGTGTAAATGGTGGCGTAGATTGCGCAACGTGTACTATTGTTCTCGGTCTTGTTGAAAAACTATCCATTGTTTACAATGAAAATATTATTAATTCTCTTGAGCAACTTTGTAATGCATTACCAACCGACTTTCCAGCCTATGGTAAAGTTACCATTGAGTATTTGGGTAAATTTGCTTATTTTCCTTTCTTTACTGAAAGTTATAAATAATGTATCTATAGATGTTATTATTCTTGACGAATTTCTCAATAAAGAAACATCAGATGTTATCTGCCACACACTAGAACTTTGTCGCGATTGTCTTGGCCAGAAGATATGCTGAATTTATCCAACGAAATCTTCTTTATCTGCGCCACAACTGTAACGGCATCTTCGGTATGAACTCAGCAACTGGAAAACCATGGGAAGAAGAGATGTGCAATGACACACAACGAATGGGTATTGCTGTGCTTGGCGATTCGATCTCTGCTCATTTTCACCACAAGCATTTGAGCATTCGATGTTTATATTGGTAAATGAACTGGACTAACAACAATTGTCAGCAGTTACGGGACGCGCTAATATCAGTTAGCCAAATATTGTCGGTTAGATCTTTACTCTGCACTATATAGCTTTATGAATATGTGTAGGACTGACACGATCGTTATATCCGCATCTATTTGATTTAGATCATTATAATCATCGCGATTATCCGAATATCACTGTCAACGGCGTAGATAGTGGAATTTGTTCTCAAAATCGTCAAATCAATACGACGTAATTAAAAGAGTGATGTACCACTGCTCGCCATCTATTCATTAGTAGGCAACGATGTATGAAATGGTCATCCAAACACTCTTGGTGACATGACAACAGTCGAACAAATGCATAAGAATGTTATAAGCGATCTAGCTTATTTGGATACTGTACTGTCACAAGGTAGTCACGTTGTAACAACTGGATTAGCCAATCGTAGTTTATTGTTTGAACTGTTGTATGATCGAATCCATCCATTCGGCTGTGTTAGCGCACCATTTACTTATAGACAAATATATGATTATCTAGCATGCTTATAAATTTCGCTTTACAATGTATGGTTAACTGCCGACGATGGCCAACCGAGCTCTGGCGTCGCAACGAGCAGTAGATCTATCTATGCAGTGCGAAATGGAACATTTATTTTCAAATCTAAACAATTTGTTACAGGTTGAATTGAATTTCTATTCGAACAAGTTTTCGAAGAATGGCAAGCGCAAGATGGTGAACCGTGACAATTAATTGATAGTGTCGATGGATTTCATATCGATCACTAAGGACATGCTGGTCTTTCCGATGCTTTTTGGGCTTGGTTACAGAGAGAGAGAGACATCATTAGCAGCTACCAGTCAATCCGCATAGCGCCGAAATCGAACGTGTATTTAAAGATCAAGGTGGATATTAGTATTGACAAACGTTCATTTATGTTGTTCTTATGACAGAAATATCTAAATAAATAGTATATATATAGCGAACAGAAAAAAAAACATCCATCTGTGGTATTTCTCATCCAAGAGTCGTTTTTAAAATCTGGGTGTGTATGTGATATCCACAGGATTTTTTCACACAGGCGGCTGCCGTCAATGTCCAGCACAACTTTCACTTGGATCGGGTTATTGCTGATCGTTTTCTTAACAGTCGTAGACGGTCGTCTAACACATTCGTTGTCGAGTGTCAATGGCGGCTCAGATTGCGCAACATGCTCAATTATATTAGGTCTTGTTGACCGTCTTGCCATCGTTTATAACGAAAGTGCAGCCCAAGCACTGGAAAGATTATGCTCATATTTACCGGGTGATTTCAAAGTCTATTGCAAGACTGCAGTGGATGTTCTAGGTATGATTGTTTCCATATTCATTCATTGAATTCATATGTAATGTATTATCATAGGTCCACTTATCATTGATGGCTTTATCAAAGGAGATAATCCAGATGTAATATGCCATGCGTTGAAATTTTGTCATGACGATCCTGGACAACCGAAATGTCGAACCTATCCATCGAAATCGTCTCTATCTTTGTCACAACGTGCTTTACATCTACGTCAACAACATCCGCGCATTGACTCACTTTTAGCAACACCAAAAATTTGTCAAATTCCTGGTATTGCAGAAATCTGTAAGATATTAGAGAATGTCTTTAACAATCATGAACCGTTGGTCGATCTTGATCATGATCAATTCGGGACCGAAGTAACATTTCGAGGCACCTCATGGCGAGGAAAAGATTGCGACGACTTCTCGTCACACATCCACCCTGGTGCTCGTGCTTCACAAGGTGACAGTGTTCTTGATCACAACTGTAACGGCATCTTCGGTATGAATTCAGCAACTGGACAACCATGGGAAGAAGAGATGTGCAATGATACACAACGAATGGGTATTGCTGTGCTTGGCGATTCGATCTCTGCTCATTTTCACATTCCGGAACAGTGGCTGGACGCTTCTCAATTCTCACCACAAGCATTTGAGCATTTGATGTTTATATTGGAAAATGAGCTGGATTGGCCACAATTATCAGCAAGTACTGGTCATGTTAATGTTAGCTGGCCGAACATACAAGGTAGGATCACTATCTTCGTACTCCGCCCTTCGTGAACTTCTATCAATACATGTAGGACCAACGCGATCATTATATGGTCGTTTGTTTGATCGTGACCATTGTAATCATCGTGATTATCAAAATATTGCCGTCAACGGAGCTCGTAGTAGTACCATGATTAATATTATGAAATCGCTTGCACGGCAACCAAAAGATGATGTACCACTTCTTGTCATTTACTCTTTAGTCGGTAATGATGTATGCAATGGGCATCCGGATACTATCGATCATATGACCACAGTCGAAGAAATGTACAAAAACGTTATGGCTGCACTAACTTATCTCGATACAGTCTTACCAAAAGGTAGTCACGTTTTGACGACTGGACTTGGCAACGGTAGTATGTTATACGATCTTTTACACACTCGTTTACATCCACTCGGCCGCGTTGGACCACCACTCACCTATCCTCAAATGTACGATTACTTGTCGTGCTTACAAATTTCTCCTTGTAATGGCTGGCTTTCGTCGAATGACACCCTTCGAGAATTGACCACCGAACGAGCTGTTCAATTATCGGGTGCGGTTCGAAATGCTACATTCACTTACAACGCTAAGAACTATGATGTTGCTTATCTTGATTTTCCATTTGACCAAGCTATTCAAGAATGGGAAGCGCAAGGTGGCGAACCATGGCAATTAATCGAAAGTGTCGACGGTTTCCATGTGAACCAATATGGACATGCAATCATCTCTGATATTATATGGTCGTGGTTACAAAAGGAAAAGCCGCAATGGTTGCCACCCGTAAATCCACATAATGCTGACATTGAACGTGTATTTAAAGACCAAGGTGGATACTAAATATTTTCATTTCTTTTCCTCAGAAAGAAATAAACATCAGCCAACAATATCTTTTCAATCATTTTCACTTGCTTTCAAATGTTCTACTATCAAAAAAGGATCTATTCGTATAAAAGCGACTGTATGCTTGAAAAGAATTCTTCTACGAATAAAAGTGAATCGATTGTTTGCATTGAAATGGAATAAACACTTGTGATATCAAATTCTCCACGGGTGGTAGTTCACTTCATTCATTTCTATAAAAAGAAACACATGTCTTGCCATCGATTTGTTCATTTGATAAACAACATATGTAGACTATTAACTTCGTTTATCATTCCAATCAATAGCCTTGAAACAACAATATTCGATCTCTTCCGGCGATACTCTGCATTTGTCAATGTACGAACAAACGATCGATAAAATTATTTTATAATCAAAGGCGTTGATCTGATCACTGAATGCCATTTTAACTTTCTTATCATTCGACCTTTTCTTCTTCATCAATAGATATATGCAAATGAGCAGCTTTATCAGTACTAATCATATAATGAACATAACATTCGTTTTCTCATTTGCACTGAAATACACATCGTTCCGTATCGAATACCTTCGTTGTGAAAACAGATGTGCCCGATGATGAGAAGATTTACTAATAAACATGGTTTGTATGCATAAGATGAGACATTCGTTCTCTCGTGCAGTCCACTACATTAGTTTCCGCCACTCAAAAAAGGTCATTGGTCTGATGACTTAATTTTCAGAAAATGAGTTTATTTATTTAATGGAGGGAAAAAAAAGAGAATAGTGTGCATCGTTGTTAAGAATGAAGCCATATATCTAATGAACAGAGAGAATGTTCGCTGATGAACACACATCTGTTATCTTCTTCGCACATCAGAGATGCCAGTTCAAATGAACATGCTACTTTCTTTCTTTCTCTGCCGCCGAATGACGTCTTTATCTGATTTCTTCATATCAAACACAGCACGAAATGTTCATTAGAATATTCCTACTCGAATACGCTTGAAAACTGTCTTGTTTTTAGATATGTTTGTCAAACAATTCGTCCTACTAGTTTGCTTTCTTCTGTGTGTATTAGAATCGACACGACTGGCCGACTCGAATGTGAAACATCATAAAAAACGGCGTGCCCGTTTTCGTCGTCGTGAATTCATCCAAGAAGAAGTTCAAAAAACAATGTCAAATTATATGACGAGTATGAAAGGTGAAATCACGGATATTATTCTCGACGAAATGATTAGTTATTACAACGATCAACAAATGAAATTATTTGATCTCGAGAACGAAGTGGTCAAGATGAAAAACTCGTCATTACCCGTTCGAAATGTCAATGTCACATTTAATGAACTAGTTGTACAAATGACAAAACAAGAGCGTACATTTGCATTGAATATATCATTTATGGAGAACAAAGTTAAAAATCTGACGAATATGATTAATGTCTTACTGAATGAATTGCAAATGAAACCTGCACAACGGGCCAAGCCGCTTATTTCTGTAAAGAGAAATTTAGATGTTAATGAACTACCGACAGGTAAACTTTTATTTTGTCAAGTTATTTTTAAAGTATTTCTTGGTTTAGATTGTGATGATGTACTGCGTCAACAGTCACCAAGCACTTCGGAAGGAATCTTTCGTATTAAACCTCGTTCGTCGACCGAGTCGTTTGAAGTTAAATGTATATTTGAAAATAATGTTACTGGTATGACGGGAGCGATAAATAGACGTCAGAATACTTAGAGGATTTTCATTTTTTTTTTGTTGAAATTAGGGTGGACAGTCATTCAACGACGATTCAATGGTACGGTAGATTTTTATCGAGGTTGGAATGATTATAAAACTGGATTTGGAGATGTACAAATGGAATTTTGGTTGGGAAATGACAAGATTCATCAGTTAACCAAACAAGGAGAATATGCGTAAGTTCATTTGAGAACTCAAAATTAAAAATTTATTGAATATTTAGTCTTCGAATCGATCTAAAACCGTGGGATGCATCCATTCTCATCGCTGAATATGGTCAGTTTCGGTTAGAGAATGAAAATGAAAAGTATAAGTTATCCGTATCCAACTTCCTTGCAAACATCTCAACGGCTGGCGATTCTCTTTCATCATCATGGGATAATGCAAATGGTGCATCATTCTCCACCTTCGATCACGACTTTGACAACTTATTTTATGACAATTGTGCACAAATCTATCATGGTGCATGGTGGTTTACAAATTGTTTTCAATCCCATCTCAATGGTCTCTACGTTCGAACGCCACTTGCTCTACAAAATACAGCACGCAATGGCTTACAATGGAATACATATGCATTGCATCATTCAATGCAAGAAACAACTATGCGCATTCGACGACAAACACCACTCGAAATGCATTGACTTACCTGTTTGTGTTTGCTTTTTCATGACAATAAATGATTGTTTGTAGTATTTCATCGACGTTTCACCTAGCCGATCCAATGAAATGGAACGAAAACATGTCTGAATCGATATCATGTATATACGCAGAACACGTTCGCTCAAATCATATCAGTGGACCGGCAGGTATCCACCTCTTGCACCGTATATTCGATCTCCACTACAAAACGCAGTTTGACCTGCGATGCGTCTCATGAAGAGCCGACTGCGTAGCCGCTAGTTGGAGACAGAATGGCACTTGATGTGGGCCTGTCAATCCGGAAGAGAAAAGAAAAAGAAGAAAATTAGCTTGTAGACGAAAGTGAAAGATGCGGTGTACTCCGACGAGCCAAGATGAATCTTAAAAGACCATCGAGTCGCACAGAGCCACCGCTCATTGTTATTGCATTACTTCGATCACTGTTGAGGGTTATTCGAAGTAAGCGGAGTTGATCTCGCAAAGCACAAACGCGACGATGCACGTTCTACTTCACAGTTTAAGATAAAGAAAAACACGTAAAACACCGCGTATATATACTCATGGGCAAGTATTGCACAACAGTTGTACAATACTTCTTCCTTTGCCCCTGACAACGCCTATTCCATGCTTGAAAAGCATAGATACAACGAGCATTTCACCACAAGTTGTAAATGAAAAAAAAGGGTTTTTTATCATGAAATGTAGTTGCAACATTGCTTTGTAAAAAAAACATTGCAGGTACTTCTCAATTTGTCAACATCATATGATGTTGATCATTAAGTTTTTGATGTTTTATTTACAGAACGAGACTTCTCATCGTTGAACTGCATGTAATGAGTGTATCATTCGTGATTTAATAGAACAGAACCGGGAATAGATGGTTTTCACCATCGATAAACGTTAATTTAAATAGATGTCGCTAGATGTATGCATTGGGACATGCAATATTTGCAAGAAAAGCAAATAGAGGATCGATGAAATAAACATAGACGGTAAAACAAGGATCGAAAATGAATAAATAGATGGCATCATTAAAACACGATTTTGTTAGTATTTCCACTAAAATATCTCTGCTATTCTGATAAGATCAATGTGATAGACTAATATTTTTACTCGTCCAATCTCCAATGTCGAGGAGCTAAAATGAATTTTCTATTGTAAGTTGCCAATCACTTGATAAATCGACTTTAGACCGCATTTTTTCTCAATTTACTCTAGTCGACAACAACGTACGTTCAAACCTCACCGAAATATACCAGAAGGTATTCGAATCTACTGTTCAATTCGATCTTTATTTTCATTTTTTTTTCACTTACAGGTACTAAACAACATGATTTGATGAGACATGCTCAAAATACTCTTGGAAGTGGAAACCTACGCCTTGCTGTTCAATTACCAGATGGAGAAGACCTTAACGAATGGATTGCTGTTAACAGTACAGACGCTTTGCAATGAAAATTGACATATCTTAGTAAATCGTTTGATTTAGTTGTGGATTTTTTCAATCAAATCAACATGCTCTACGGTACAATCACCGAATTCTGCACGGAAACAACATGTGTCTTAATGACAGCTGGACCCAAGTATGAATATCATTGGGCCGATGGTCAAACGATTAAAAAGCCTATTAAATGTTCAGCACCACGTTACATTGATTATTTAATGTCTTGGGTGCAAGATCAACTCGATGAGGAAAGTCTTTTTCCATCGAAAATCGGTGTGCCATTTCCCAAAAATTTCCTCTCCATTGCCAAAACAATCTTAAAACGCTTATTCCGTGTCTATGCTCACATATACCATCAACACTTCAAAGAAGTTGTTATGCTCAAAGAAGAAGCACATTTAAATACATCATTTAAACATTTCGTTTATTTCATTCAAGAATTTTCCTTAGTCGAAAAAAAAGAATTAGCACCTTTACAAGAATTAATCGATCGGTTAACAACTAAAGATCATTAGTGAGAAATTTCTTTCTTTTGTTCTAGTCAGATGAATTCTAATCAGAGAAAGAAGATTGCTTGTACATTTGTCAATCACCTAATACACGCCATTTCTGTCGTCTTTTTTTTTATATTCTTATGTGAGATCGATCTGCTCGTTTTTTTTTCTCTTTGTTAATATATTGTGGAACTTTTCGTTTTTTTCTCTTCAGTAGAAACGTAATGATCAAATTAATACTTCTACTAACAACACGCATAATCTCTTTCTTCCACTTTATTGTTCAACAAAATCTCCTTCGATTCGTTTTTTCTTCTCTCTTATTTCAGATGTCGAATCTAACTGATATGCATTTCAGTCTGCTGAACAAATCTCACGATCATCTATTAACTTATCGTGCATTCGAGCAAGTTCGTCTGATCGCTCTTCGACATTTTTGGATACCGAATTCCATTATTTTTCACAGTCCGAATGATGAGTCAGATAATGCCTTTGAATTTTCGCTAACGATATCGAATGAACGTTACTATTTGTATATTCCATGGAATATTGATGAATACCAAATCCAATGTCATATATCATGTCGAAAACTAGCTGATGATGGTTATGCATGGACAATTCGTATGTTAGATCGAATATTACGATTACTATGTGATCATTGTCCTGGCCTCTTCCAACTCGAATATCGCAATGGTTTATTTGGTCGACAGATAAATCGTTCGATTGTGTACAACGGCCTTACTAATCTTCATCCCATGGACTATAGTCATTGGAAACAACGTGTACAGCTGCAGTATGATCGTTTGAGTCCAACGAGGCAAACGACAACGATCTTATCTGATATCGAACAGACAAATAATGGTAATGAGTATGCGATACGTTCAATTAAATATCAAACACTCGGCCATGGAAGAATACTTAATGAATCTTATTATGATTGGTATGTGTGATAAAGTTTGTGTAATAATCAATTATGATCTTTATGTCAGATCGAATTTCTCTTCTTTCTCTTTGTTTCGTTCTACTGAAACTATTCCAAATACTAAGCCAAATCAATACTTTCGTTCTCTATATGTAGTATATCTATGAAATCCCATTTCAATGGTCGTTTCAAGAAATGGATTTCATTGATACGGTGGTTCAAATTGAAAATAAAACTTGAAATTGTTATTGGTGCACCATTCGCTTTCTATTTTCAGATAAATATTTTCGTTTTTCGATCTTTCACTCGTAGTGTATCACATGGCAACATCTAGTCGAACAACGACGACAACAACCTCAACTGAACCTAGACATACTTCACGAGAAAATCCTCCGACGCTCGTTTTAGAACTGACGAGCCCATCTGACAATGGTCCGCGCGTGCGTTGGTCAGAAGAAACGGTCGATAATGAATATATGAACAAAAAGAAATCGAAATGTTGCTGTATCTATACAAAACCACATGATCCTCAGTCGAATGCTAACGAAACCGAAGAAGACAAAGAATTCGATAACTGTCAACATTGTCGAAATCATACTGAATCTGATTATGCTGCCAAAGCCGAAGACCGTCAGCCAAAAGTCAAAGTAGTCATTAGAAAACCAGATAGTTCCTAAATAAAGAAATAATGTTCGAATAATTTATTCATTTTATTTTTTTACGAATGAATCTCTTCGTTTTTTTTTGTTTGCCTTGTCAATTTTTAGATTATCTCGTTGTTTCTCTATTCTACCACACTTAAGCAACAAACATGGGTCGTGTTCGTACAAAAACCATCAAGAAGGCATCACGCCAAATCATCGAAAAGTACTACACAAAGTTAACCTTGGATTTTCATACCAACAAACGTGTTGTCGAAGAAATCGCCATTATCCCAACGAAACGTCTTCGTAATCAAATCGCTGGTTTCATTACACATTTGATGAAACGTATTCAAGCTGGACCTGTTCGTGGCATTTCGATTAAACTTCAAGAAGAAGAACGTGAACGACGGGATAACTATGTTCCAGAAGTTTCAGCACTCGAACCACAAACAATGATCGCCATCGATCAAGACACCAAGGATATGTTAAACGCATTCGACTTCAAAAGTTTACCTAATGTTGGTGTACAAGAAAGCAACGACCAGCAAAACCAACAAGGTGGAAATCAACGTGGTGGTCACAATCGACAACAGGAGGGATATGCTCGACGAGCTGGTTTTCAATAAATCAAGCGTTTAGAAGCAAAACCAAGCGCAAGAAATGAGAACAGAAAAATTCATCCCATTCAATCAACAACTAAATAACAATATAGCAAAAAATGTCTTTGCTTCATTGTTTTTGCTTTGTTTTTCCTATGAAAATTATCATCAAACAAATAAAATGGGATAGATAAAACGAAAACGATTTTCTTTATTAGCTCATCGTTGCTCATTCCTCCATCTTTTATTTCAGATTCAAGATGTATTTAACCACATTACAGTCAAAACTCGATTCGACTCCTACTAATGAAAATCCATTTCAACTTGGATCAAGTAAAGTTGATTGGTGTGAGCCAAACTATGTCGTTAGCTCTCACATAGCTGAATTTTGGAACACAGTAAGTACTGAACCGAAACGATCATTACTCATCCAGCATGGATAGCAGTCAACTAACAAAAGGCTTTTTATTAATTCACTCAAGCAATGTTTTTTTTATAAATATATTTATATTGCAGGCTAACAGACTAAATCATTCGGTTGAAAGGTAACACGACGTCTTGTTTTCCGTTTAATTCTATTTCTGGAATTTGCTCTATATTTACATATATGAATGCATGCTCATTTGTTTCCATTTCTCCTGCTTGCTATTTTAATGATCGAATAGGTCGATTCGTTTGACGAGGGAGTTGTTTTTCATCTCGAATAGATTCAAATTGAAGGCAAGTGTTAGTATAAACTTTTTTTTCTTTCGTTAAGATCTCCAACATATTCTTCTTTTTGGTACCACCAGTTATGATCTTTCTCTTTCGACCGTACTCGAAACGAGTAGCCAATGGTATTATGATCTTATGGATTCTGTTGATTATCATCGGTGTCGGTTCAGTTTATTTTCATGCCACCTTAAGTCTCGTATGTTCATCGACGAGAGTTTGGACGAAAAAAAAAAAGGAATAATCATTTCTGTCTAGGTTGGACAACTGGTCGATGAAATATCAATCCTTTGGGTACTGACGGCTGGTTATGCATTGTTTCTGCCAAGTATTTATTTACCTCAGTCATTTCGTGTTCAACGGTAGGTTCTCTATCCTGCATATAGTTTTAATTGCCACTTGTTTGTATTTAGACATCGATTTGTGTACACATGTGTGGTCTTTGCAGTTATAATTACGTGTTTATCATTTGTTTATCCATACGCCAATGCATTTGCTCTGATGATTCTTGGTCTACCTTCGATTGGCTTTATTATAATACATCTGAAACGGTAAAATAAGTCTCATAATAAGATTTGTATCAATCAGCATTTGTTCTAGTTCGGACAATTCGCGCATCAGAAGCCTCGGTCTCCACTGCTTTGGTATGTGGGTAGTTGCAGTTACAATTTGGATCTGTGATCGAATGTTTTGTTCATTTTGGCTCGCCATATCCTTTCCTTATTTGCATGCCATTTGGCACGTTTTAATTCTGTTCAGTAGTAACGAAGCGATTGTTGTTTGCGGCTTCTTGACAATCAAACATCAAAATCCTCAGGCAAATCTGCATTTACATTATTGGCCCAATGAACTATGGAAGTGGTTCACGTTACCTTATTTGAAATTTCATGATGATAGTGATATGAGTGATGATAATATATCTACAAAATCTATTATCTAATGTACGTCCTCCTTTTATCTACGTATGTATCTCAACGTCCAACAAGTGTCGCTGTGATGTAAACGTGTATTATAGAAGTTTTTTTTTCTCACTTTGTTTAGTTAAGTATTTCTTTCTATACGCAAATTTACAATTTTAGTTGTAATTAGTTTTGCGCTCTTTTCCCGACTATCGTTAACAGCCCAATAGTGAATTGTAGACATGTGAATATTTTGTATATTTAATAATAATAAAAAAACGAAGAAACACACAGAAATATCAACATTATACTGTTCGATAACAAAAACGAAAAATCAGTTCGTAGAAAAATAGCTTTTATGTCACATGTATTCACAGTGATGAAGTATAAATTTAAATTGTACATTTATCGCCACCCCAGCAACCGGAATTGTTGTTTCCGATTACTTTACCTCTCTCGCGTAGATCGACCAATGGCTTTTTCGGCTCTTTTTTATGTGCCAATTCGATTTGATTTGTGTGCGCAACTAACATTGCTGTAAAATCACAAAAACAACGTTCGATATTTTCATTTGTTTTTGAACTCGTTTCCAAATACGAGAGTTGTTTGACTTGGGCAAAGGCTTTGATTGTTTCGTAGGGAATCATGCGTCGTGTCTGTAAATCAGATTTGGTGCCAACAAGAAAAATAGGTGTTTGTTCAGGACAGTATCGTTTTACTTCTTCAATCCAGTTGCCAACATTACGAAAACTTTCTAAATCTGTCAAATCAAAGCAGATCATAACACCATTGGCATTGCGATAGAATGATGAAACAACACATTTGAAACGATCTTGACCAGCTGTGTCCCAGACTTGCAGTTTACAGCGTTTTTGATCAACATCGATAGTTTTGATTTGAAAATCTACGAAAACAAACATCAAAAGAGATAAGTTACCCAAACATATATGAAATATTTACCAACACCAATTGTGGCGACATATTCTGTCGAGAAATAATCTTGAGCAAAACGTTGTAAAATCGTAGTTTTTCTAAAAGAACGAATAGTCATATTTAAGTGTTACTACAACAATTTCAACGCATACCCGACACCACTGTCGCCAATGATTAGGATTTTAAATAGATAATCGAATTCTACTTCGGTAGTGTAATTATATGACATGATTGAAACCAGTGAATTAGAAGTGATGCTTTCGATTATGGCAACATTCGGTTATATAGGTTCAGTCGGAAAGCCACGTTCCTTACATTGTCGACGTGGACAAATAAACAATATGTGAGTCAACATGTTGAGTCATGCAAGTATTCTTTCGCAATTTTTCTGCCTTACAATGCTAAAACTTAGTCATCAACTAAATCTATGTGCTTTAGTTTATCAATTTGACAATATGAGATAGTGTATGAAGTAAGTTAGTATCTCTATGAAAGTGAAAAGTATCTTCTTCGTATACTGTTTTAAAAAAAAACATCTGTTTTATTAGACGAACAAAAGAAAAAGATTAGTCATATACATGGAAAAAACTCGTCTTATATACATTATGTGTAGTAAAATGTCTTCTTTACATTGATTCCATATTCATCAAGAACATGCGTTAGATCATGGAGTGTTAATGTTTGATTCGTTGTCACAACTGGCTTTTTATTACCAGCTGCATTTGTAGATTGTTCAGCAGTTGTCGCAGCTGCCTCAACAGTAGATGGTTGAGCATTAGCCATACTTGTCGTAGCTGCTGTACTTGTCTCTGCTGCAGTTGGTCGATTGCTGGATTTTTGACGTAATTTATTTAATTGATGACAATCATTAATAATGTCTATAAATAGGAGCATACTGAAAGACGTCATCGTTTTCTTTGCTGTGTTATACCTGACATAAACTTTTGCACAGAAACTGAAAGTAATTTCACCACACGATCATCATCGGTTTCTAGTCCACACTGTCTCATGTAAAACTTTGTTACGTTCTCAGGGATCGCTGGCGTGAATTCGTCTAAAGTGGCTGTAAATTTATTTACTTCATCTTCGTCCATTAATGCCTCATCGTTATTTGTCGATAACGAATGGTCAATACTTTCAGACATGATATCTGAAAAACAGAGTTTATTAACGTTTTCTCTAGAGAAATATCATATCCAAAAGGAGGAAAACATGGACAAGACAAAAGTTTTACTATGAGCTAAACGCCAAGCGTGAAAATCATTTCTCATTGATGACTGTTTTAAAGTACCAGACAATGATCAGCAAGGAAATAGAGATGATACCATTGAACACCGTGATAGACAAGACCTGAAATCATTGATAGTGAGTGAAAAAGATTGAATTTATTGTTAATGCCACGATATTTTTGATCGTTGCGAACTAATCGATCGATATCATCACTAGTCTGTAAGACGATTCAAATTTTGAGTGTTACTTCGATAGATAATGACTTTCTTACTTTAGCTGCTTGTAAAAATTCGATGTTATTTCGGTCTAACATCAAATTTGTTACCAATGGATTGAGAACAAGACTGTTGACTTCAGCTGCTACTAATGCAGCAATTAATGCGGCACCCTATACAAAGCAAATACTCTTGAAGAAAGATAACTTTTTTCTTTTGCTATACCAATTGAGTTGCTTCTTTGGACCAGGCTGAGAATGGATGACGAAGTAAGAACGTTCCTAAACTTAAACTAGCTAACACAGCTGATGAAGAGAAATATACTGTTGATAAATGCGATTGTACTGTGGCGAATTCATGACGCGTCAACATACGCTGAACAGCACGACCTAGCAAGCAAAGAAACTTAATAAAATAACGAAAAGACAAATGAAATCTTGACCATGTACGGCAGTGATCCAGAAACTGATACCGAATCCACCGGCAACACCGAGTAAATGTAAAAAGGATACGCTGGGGGATGAAGGTGTTGGTTTTCCTTGAGAAAAAGCATATCCAACGTAACCTAAAGCACCGAGCGATGCAAGAAATGATGGAGCCAAATACCTAAATAAGCAACAATGATGAATATCAATCAGAGAATCGCTTCGGATTAGAGACGCACCACGCTTGTGGCCATGTTTTCTTATAGACATCATGAATTGTATCTTCGACTTTACTGATTTGAGCACCCATTATCTGAACAGTTAACTTTTTTTAATGCGACAAAGTTCAAATACTGAAAAAAAGTAAAAAATATGATGAAATGAACATTGACGCAGTAAAATGGGTCTTGTCATCTACGAAAAAATCTGTTTCTTATCATATTCATTCGCTTTTGGAGAAAGACGGCATCTACTTTTACGAGCTATTTCCTACTCCAGAATACTCTTGGTAAGAAAAGTGAATCCTCTCTGTATGGTGCATCCATAGTTTACGCGTATGTCCATCGAGAAGGAAAGTCATTGGCTGGTCGAGATTCGGACCAATAGAAAACGACCTCCTTGGAATCATTCAGTAAGATCAGATGTGATCTAGGTCTTAATTGAAAATCTGTCTTTCTCTGTCTCCAAACGATGAGTAAGACAATTGCGAAAACTGTTAGGAACCGATCGACTAGAATGCATGTGTTGCATCAATTTCTCGACAAACTGAACGGAATACATAGATGATCATCAGCTGAAGGTCTGTTTTTCCATTTACAATGACAGAATAAATTTATCGTGTTCTCGTCCTTCCTTTTTTTTATCATCAGATGAATATAGTTATTCAACCAAGCACGAAAACAATTTAATACTTCAGACTGTTTCAACTGCATTAGTTGAACTAGAAAAATGTTACAAATAATATTGTGTTCCTTACATCAATGCGTCTGTCTCTATTTTGGCATGCTTATTTACTATTCGATCAGATAATCGACCGTCCGGCACTTGATCGAGCTGGAAAATGGCATGACTTCTTAAGCAAAGATCAGTAAAACATTGATTATCACTGTGAATGAACAATAGAATATTCATTACAACATTACAAGTCAAATTATGAGAAGTTTTCCATTCACGCGTTCGAATCTGGTCAGATGTGGATATAGATCGAAAGATATTAATACAATATATGAAAAGTCATGCTGAACCATCGATTTCAGAAGACAAATAGGATGTTCTATTGGTTAGCATACGGATTCAATGTCGTGTGTTAATTCTTAGATTATTCCAAAAATAAACAGATTTTTGTACATCACAACAATAAAATCATGATAAAAAGTTGAATGAATAATGAAAGATAAAAGAGATTCTCAACCAAGCGAAGGAAAAAAGAGAGACTAAAACACTATCTGATCTTATTAATAACAAATGTCGTTTTGTTGTCATACCCTTCTACCTTCTTCGTCGTAAAATTCCATATACACTAGTGATCTACTCCGAATGTGACTTGTCCTCAGATTATGTGAAATGAGTGTTCGGCAAGATGCATAACTACATTCTTTGTCGTTTTTCTTTCGGTTGAGTTTCTTTCTGATATCTTTGAATCCATCGTATTCTTCTTTCTGTTAATGTCGATGGTCCATATATGTCGTCATCCAGGGATCAGCGTTTTATCAATAACATATTCGCACGTTAGAATGTATGCTTATTCTTTCTTTTCTTCGAACGCGTGATCTGAAACGTAAAATATTACGCATTCTACTATTTCGAAAGGAGCTGATGATTTGTTACATCTGTTTTTTCTTGTCCGATAAATGATGAGCGAACGTCGAATCCTGTTCTTGTTTTTTTTAGAATATGTCTCGTCATAATTCATTGGCATCGCCCATGAAGTATATCCTAGTAACCGGTGGGGTTATCAGTGGTATTGGTAAAGGAATTATCTCATCAAGTATCGGCACTATTCTTCGTTCACATGGATTTCGCGTGACATCAATAAAAGTACTTAGAACATCGTCGTTTCCTGTTTCACAGTTACACTTCGTTTTAGATCGATCCATATATTAACATTGATGCCGGTACATTCTCACCATATGAGCATGGTGAAGTATTTGTACTTGATGATGGCGGGTACGTTGATTTTTTGTTAACAAGACTGAGAATGATCCGACTGAAATTGAAGTTAATAAAAATATAAACAAGATTTGCAGTAGTTCTGATTTTTGTCTATTGTAGGACGCTATTGAAAACAGAGATAAGTCATTTGTAATTTACTGTATTCAGCTTTGAGTAATGCTCAGATGTTTTTCTAATGATCTCATTAAAAATTAAAAATCGTTGTTTTCGACAAGAATAAAACTTTTGTTAAGATAATTGAGAGACAATCGTTGTTTGTTGATCTTTAGTGAAGTGGATTTAGATTTGGGTAATTACGAAAGATTTCTTGATGTGACATTACATCGCGATAATAATATAACAACTGGTAAAATTTATCAATATGTAATTGATAAAGAACGTCGAGGTGATTATTTGGGAAAAACAGTTCAAGGTTAATAAAAATCTTTTTATTGATTCTGACTGATTTTCTTGGATTACCTTTCATACAGTTGTACCTCATATTACTGATGCTATTCAAGAATGGGTAGAACGTGTCGCACGAATATCGGTTGATGAAGATAAAGCTGAACCTGATATATGTATCATTGAAGTAAAACTGAAGATAGAAACGATATTTTCGATGAAGATTTTCATTCATTTAGCTTGGTGGAACTATCGGTGATATTGAAAGCATGTCATTTGTAGAAGCATTTCGTCAATTTCAATTTCGTGTAAAGAAAGAAAATTTCTGTTTGGTTCATGTTAGTCTCGTACCACAAGTAAGTCTCATTTCTGATGCACGATGAAAACGAATGTTTCTTCTGATTATCCCAGCCAAATTCTACTAAAGAACATAAAACTAAACCAACACAACATAGTGTGAAAGAACTTCGTGGTTACGGTCTTACACCGGATCTTGTATGTGAAATTCTTCTAAAAAAAAATAACGTGCATCTATTTTTCTTCGTGCAGATCATCTGTCGATGTGCAACACCAATGGCCCTAGCCGATAAAGAAAAGATCTCAATGTTTTGTCAAGTTGAAAAAGATCACGTAAAAATGCGAATCTATGAAACAAAATTGAATGAATACACTGTATGTTTCTTGTCAAGGTCATCTGTGTACCTGATGTGAAAACACTCTATCGTGTTCCACTGTTACTAGAAGAAAATGGTGTATTCAATTTTCTATCCGCACGTTTACATTTAATACCTAAATCAAACTACGATCGATCGCTAATGATCAAATGGCGAGATTTGACCGAACGGTAAGTTTTATATCAATCAATGAAAAATATTCGAAAAAAAACATATATGTATATAATAATGAGACGTGCCGATGGTTAAACTAACCCGATGAATTAGTAGTATTAGTAACCAATGTTAAGTTCGTACTAGTATCGAGACCAGCAGTGCCAATTCCAAGACCTAATCCCAAGGCCATGCCAATTAGAATTCCAGCAGCAATTATACCAGCGATGATCATCAGTGACGAACCAAGACCGGTTCCACTTTTCACTGGTTGAGCTACACCATATCCGTATGGGTCATATTGAACATAACCAGAACTCATATCACCAGTTGGATTCAATAACGTGTCGATGTGACTGTCAGGCTGTAGAAAAACAAGACTGTGCACATAGAAAATAACCTTTGATTATGACTTATTACTGTACTGGAAAGATAGAGTAGTCGTCTACGTTGCATTAACCTATCAAGCGTAACTACACATTTATTTCTATGAAAATGAGCAAAATAGTTTTTGACCTTGATACTTTTTTTTTCTATTAAACTATTCATTACGTACAAGAAACTGCATTCTTCTCTTTATCGTCTTAGTATTGAGCGACAACTTGATGAAGTCATCATCGCTCTTGTTGGTAAATATACAGCGTTGGAAGATGCATACGCATCCGTTCTCAAAGCTCTCAATCATGCTGCATTATTTTGTAATCGAAAATTGAAAGTCTTGGTAAGACTCAGCGTGCTTGTTTATTCCAATGATTCTTATATGCAAATTTAGTTCATTCATGCGACCGATCTGGAAGCTAATACGCAAAAGGATGATCCAGTTAAATATCACGAAGCATGGCAACAGTTGTGCAGTGCTCAGTAAGGAATTATTTCTTGTCCATGACTAAAATATGGCTTTTACGTGTTAGTGGTATACTCGTTCCAGGCGGATTTGGCTCACGTGGTATCGAAGGTAAAATCGCTGCTATTGAATGGGCACGTACACAAGGCAAACCTTTCCTTGGTATTTGTCTTGGACTGCAATGCGCTGTAATTGAGTTTGCCAGACACGTTCTGCAGTACAAGAATGCCAATTCATCAGAATTTGATAAATGTGAACATCAAGTGGTACGGTTTGTGATAAGTTGTATTCTTTTGAATTCTGTTTTAATTAATTGTTAAGGTTATCGAAATGCCTGAGCATAATCCAGGAGCGATGGGAGGTAAATATTTTTCTCTTTTTTTTCTCCTTTCTTAACAAGTTTTTCTCGCTGTTGATTCTAGGAACAATGAGATTAGGTCGACGAACAACTCATTTTGTAAATGATGATAGTATCCTTAGTAAGTACTTTACTGTTTAAAGCCTTTTGTTCTATTTATTTCTATTATATAGAAAAACTGTATGGAAATGTGAATTCTATTGATGAACGTCATCGTCATCGTTATGAAGTTAATCCAACTTATATCGAAGCTTTTGAAAGTGCTGGAATGAAATTTGTAGGCCGAAGTGATGACAACGAACGTATGGAAATTCTTGAATTAGAAAGTAAGGAATCCTTAGAATAAAAAGACTTTATATTTGAATTTTTTATTGAAAAAGATCATCCGTATTTCGTCGCTTGCCAATACCATCCAGAATACATCTCACGCCCATTAAAACCATCTGCTCCTTATTTAGGGCTCATATGGGTAAGTTCGAGAGAAGCATCGAATCAACCTAATGGTTTTCTTCGTGACCTGTAGGCTGCTTGTGGCGAGCTGAAAACTGTTTTATCGCATGTGAGCAAAGATGAACTATTCAATGAATTGCCAAGAAAAGCATCTGGTCCTTTTTCACATGTGAATCTCTTCCGTCATACATAATCGGCAAGATGATCTATAACAATGTTACCACATCTTTTTAAATGTTCAAGAAAATAAAAAAAATCATTTTTCCTCCGGTGGAAATCGATGTTCATCGTTGCAGAGAGAGCGAACAGTTGTCGGCATGGCGATATGTATATTTGCATCCGGTAGCCTTATGATTAATCGTCGAGATTTTTAAATTCTTTGAGTTATGTTTGATGTTTGAGTAAAGCCTATATTACAATGAATACTTAAAAAGAAAAGAAAGAAAAACATTTTAAAAAAAAGCAATGGCCTTCTTCGGCTTTTTTTTCATTTGAGTGAAGTGCTTGAATTTCATTGCTAAAAGAAATTAAGTTTTTGATTCGAGACGTGGACAAATACACGATTTCTCTTATCGCGAGTTTACTTTAGCTCAGATTAAACCGCTTGCTCGATGAAAACTGATCTATTAGCTAAATTTAGAATATTATAAGTAATTGTTGTTCGTTTTATTATTCTTATAATTCGTTTTGAAATTGGAAGATAGAACACACTCGTACAAACACACTTCGATAGTTTACGGTTCACTCGTAAAAAAGGAGGAAAATAAGTGTCAAATAACTTTATATATAGATCGTTTATTTGGCACGTTTCGCTGGAACACCACGATGATTAAGTTCGTGTTCTATTTGCATAGCAGCACATGGACCGACACAGCAAGATGTTGCTAAGCAATCTTTAATCATAGTTCCCTATGAACGAAAGAGAAACAACGTTTCGAATTAGCTGACTAATCTAATCTAAGAGTAAAATTACTTCAATTTTGTAAACCGTTCGGACTTTGGTTCGTAGTGCCAATAATGAACCTGGAACGATACAGCATGTGATGAAGTGTTCACCTAAACGATCAGCTAATTGTCCGACAAAGCATTGGCCACAGAGACAAGCGTAGGCCGCTAAAAGAAGTGAAATTTAGATAAATCGATCTGATTTTCCGAAGTTTACATACATCGTGGACATGGTTTGAACGAACCAAATAGAGTTTCTTTCCATTGGTTATTGTATGGAAAAAATTCGGCTGTGCTACCACCACCTGGTTGTTTGGAAACTGGATTGCTATATGGACATATAGACGGTCAAGTGTGGAAGAAAGGATAGTCGATTACAATACCTCATGATTATTGATGTCGGTGAATCGAACGGCTTTGCGAATGTACTGTGAGGTGTGTATGCGTTAGTCTTTTATAAACTGCAGTGAAGACGTTGCGCTTTGTCTACAAACAAATGTCGTTGTGGAGACGTACACAAATCGTTTGGTTACTTCTCTCAGAGAGGTGGGTCGAAGAGAACAGAGAGAGGGAGAAAGAGAAGATGAAAAAAAAACTGTCGTAAATGAAGTTTTTATTTTATCGATGCCATACTGTTTTCTTCTTTGATTCGACGTTCATATATAAAAAAGAGAGAAATATCGCTATGACAATTATTGATTGAAAATAAAAAAGTCACAGAACGGCAAAATAGAAATGAAAGAATATGAAAATTTCATTGACAACCAAACTGTGCAAGTTATACTTAGAAACATCGTGAGGAAAAAAGAGAAGTTCATTTATTCACTGCAGTGAGCGAAATGATCAATCCGAACTTGTTTACTCTTATTCGTCTTAGCAACTTCCCAAAGGCCTTGAGATTCAAGTTCATTTGCCATTTGAGTTGCTGTACACGGCATACAATAGTGTGACACACAATAGTCTTCACAGCACGAACCCTGACAAACGAAAGAAAGAAGACTTTACACATTTTTCTCTCCTCTTTGCTGTATTAACAAACTTCAATACGCCGTGCAGTTCGCAGTTTTGTTCGGAGATAAGGTAACGAACATGGCATACAACCGATAAGCGTTTTTTCCCCGCTATATTTCGCTAATTTACTTCCCATACAACATGGACAAAAGCATGCATAACAGCCTGAATTGAAGAAAAAATAACTCGAGTAAACCGCAAGAGAGAAACAGGGGTTAAGCTTACAGCGACCAATCGGCGACCACGATAAGAGTTTCGTACGCCATTGTTTCTCGAAATTCCAAACGTTATGAGGATCATATTGATGTTTATAGATTGTTGGATGAACATGTTGTGTGAGACTAAACAAGGATAAATGATAACGAAAGTTGACGTTTTATAAACAGCTCACATGGCACGACTCATTTGTTTTGTTTTCCTCTTATGGACAACTTCAATCGAACACAAATATTGATGTTGTTCTAGCTCAATGCACTTGTTATTTTTTATATTCGATTATAAATAATACCAGAAGAAACTGATGGAGATTATTTATCGATGCGTGTTTCGATAGAATTCAATTGTTTTAATATCAATAGATTCGCTGCTTGTACTTCTCTTTCTCTCTTTTCCTCTCTTTTTTCCGTTTGCTACACAATACAATTGATTGGCAATGATTTACATTTTTATTTCATTTACTTTCAAAGACATAGAATAACAACAAAAGAATGTATGGGTTCGATTTCTAAGGTTTTCAGCAGATAAGTTTATTAAAAAAAAAGGACTCGAATAATCTCTTCTGCTTTGAGAAATGTTCTGCACGAGCAAGAAAATGTCTTGCCGAGGGCTTTCACAATCGTTTCTCACTCGATGTTTGCATGTTTTACTGTAACTTAGGAATTTTAGGTCACAACAAAAAAGCCTATCATTTCTCTTAACTACTAACTAGAATTTAACAAGTGTTGTTCAAACAATAACGTCGATGCAGACGTCAAATACACGGCGTGAAGGAGTACACAGGAGAAGAAGAATCGATCGAGATTTTTTTTTCTTCTGTTCTTTCATTCAAAACGCAATCATGTGTCGATTTACGTCCATTAAAAATAACAGAAAAGCAGATTTTGCACTGACGTAGGAAGAATATGTTTATTTGTTATATGTTGAATTTTCATTACTATGCATAAGAAATCTTTACGGAGAATGTGTCACTGGCTATAAATACATCCGAGAAGTTTTCGTTGAGCAAGTCGAGCGCTGATCTAGTTTCCGAAGGTGGATGATAGGGATAAGGTAAATTAGAATTCGATGTATTTATTTAAAAAAAACTCAAAGCAAACAAACAACATATAATTAAAAAACACATGTAGGTTTTATACAAATAAAATTGGGGAGAGAAAACGAGAAGCTACACAAAAATACCATCATCACGTCGCCGTTCTACATGTTGATCATGATTATTCAAAATAAACTTTTTCGTATCTTTAACATTCTCTCGATGAAAGTTATTCAAGGAATTCATGTGATTGATTTGTTGATCGACTTTGGGGGTAGTCAATATTGTATTTTCGACGATCAAATGACTGCTTTGATCAAGTTTAGGACAAGGAGATTGATGACGAGCTTTGTCTCGACATTGTTCAGGTGAATAATGATTACGTTGGGTTGATTTACTTATTTGTTTATCAAGAAAATAGAATGATTCAGGTGTTGAAGATAATTCAAAGTGATTCGTTTTTGTTGCTGCTTGAAAACTCGAGCGACGTTGCATCGTCGATGGAACAGAACTAAGGTCATTCGATTGGATATGAGAAGAATCTGTTGACGAAACTATCGAACGGTTACGATTGTTCGGCAACGTTTTAGTCATACGTTCAGATGGATCAAGTGTTGGATTGATTGCATGGTCAAGATCAGTTTCTTTGAATGTATGTCGTCGATTAGATGAATTATCATCTTCTGCTGAATAGACGCTTCTAAACTGTTGAGTACTGTTTCGATACAGCGATGAAGATTCGTATGATAAAAGATGATCTTTCGATCGATAGGGACGAACAGGATACGTTGCTCCATTTCCATTTTGCTTCACATGTACTAAGAAGAGAACGTTATTCTAGAAATCAAATTCGAGTATTCGTTTTACTTAAGGACATCTTGCCATTTGAATTGTGATTTTGATATGTCATACCTGAAAGCAAAACATCATTGTCATCTAGTGCACATCTTGAAATGCACTTACTTTCGATGTGTCCATTTGTCTTTCGTTTGCTCTGTGACTTTTGCCGTATTTTATTATATGAACAACAGATTAAAATTAGGGAGCCTAGACATGCGCCAAGGATCAATAAAATCATATATGGCCAGTAAAAACGCGTTTTTTCTGCAAATGTTTGAACTATAAATAAAGAAACATTCTGTTTATTATCTCTTCGATGGAAACAAATCTACCTTTGGGTTTTCCAACTTTAATGGAATAACTTCGATCGAAATTATCTCCATATTTATTTTTTGTAAACACCAGAAAATCATGATGATATTCAGGCCGAAGATCAGGAAGGATAAATGCACAATTACCTAAGATATCAATCAAATCATATTTTCCGATTTTTTCTTCAAACTCAACCAACCTTTCAAACGTGCATGTTCCGAATAGGAACCATTCGATTGCCGTTTATACATATAACAAAAGAAATCTTCATCACCTTGATGATAACCCGCTACGCAATTGACGGTCAGTGTTGAATTAATATATGTATAATGACACGATTGAATTGGATCGGGTATAGCTAGAACAAACAGATCCAATTCATTCATATCAGAATGAATTTGACTTACCTCCTAAGATCATATTAACATGACATTCGCCAAATAAACCTAATTCGTTTTGTGCTCGACAAATCACTTGTCCAAAATCAGTTGTGTATGCAGGAAGATATGTAATATAACTTGATGATGTATTCAGATAGGAACCTAGATAAATATTACCATTCGGTAAATGCCAAGTAAAATTGACTTTAGTCGGATTTCCATTCGACATATGACATGTTAAATTAATTGCTCGATTGATACCCGTGTACAATTGTGGTGGAGAGGAATTCTTTTGCGAACATATTGGACTGTCTAGAAGAGAGAAAACATATTATTATTATTATTAATATCTAACCGTTCGAAGTTCCTGTGTTTGTTCTTTCATTATCAAAGACGTCTCTTTATTGACATACGAACACATGCATAAATGATAACTGTTAGACAATTATACATGTGTAATAATATTAACAAACAGCGCTGACTTCATTATTAACTATTTAAAGACTTATATCGAGAAGAAAAACAAGATAGAAACTATTCAGTCGAATGACTGTACACTTATACTGAATTTCTATACAACTGATATTGTTTCAGCTACTTAACCTTCTGTAGACGTATATACGCTACGTTTAAATGTCAGTAATCAAGCAGAGAAACAATACGAGACACAATAATTCGTTGTTTGCCCTTTTCTATTCTTCGTTCTATTATTTCCAAAACAAAGAAAGTAGAATTTATCTCATCAAATCCAAATAGCCTACTTAGATAAATAGAGTTTTTTTCTGAAGAAAAAAGAGACTTAATTAGAAAAATGAAACTATTTCATCCGATGAGAAGAATAGCAACGATTACGACGTTCAAGAATAAAGATCATCAAAGATTCTATTACGCTTTCTCTTCTCTCCTCTCCTCTCTTGGCCTCATCTCCAATAATGATGAGAAGAACATATCATATAACTGTTCTCTTTTTCCGCATTGTAATAGATATAGTTCAAAGATGGTACTGTACAACTGCACACAGACTAGCTAATAACCTAAATCGTAGGCGATATCAAAGAATAAGACAGGAGAGAGACGGCTCATCAAGACTGTTGTTGATTAATAACATGTCAATTTTAATTGGTCGCAAAATTGGTCACGATAAGTGAGGGGAACTTTCTCTCTCCAGCATCTGCTACCTACGATTTGCTGACTTTTACATCATATTTGAACCCATACTGTTCATCATTACTAAATCATAGTTTAGAGGAAAACATACCAATAGTCTATTTAATACTCTCAGAAGAAAGCAGATTCTCGCCCTCGAGTTATGTTTCCTTTTTGTCTCGTGTACATACACTTCTATTCCATGTGGAAATGTCTCAGAAGCAATCAAGCGCAAAATGAATGGTGATATAAAGGAGGGAAGAAGAAAAAAAGTGGAGAAGAGTGTTGCCTAAATTGAATGAGACAAGGAATCGGTCAATAGTCTGACAAGTAAAATACAATTAAAAAAGCAAACTAGACATGGTACAGTATGTAAATTAAAAATGACGAGTTACTCCTGATTCTCATGTCTACTTACAAGCAACATCCAGTTGTAGTGTATTGGAGAGAATTCGTAATTGTGGAGCATGCTGTTCGGATTTGATACTCGGCGTTTGAACTGCTTGACAATGAAGAGTACGCTTGTGTAGAGGACGGTTAATTCGAAGGATCAGAACAAGAATTGTTCGATAGGTTTTATCGTTATTCTCGATCGTTGAATTCCTTTCGACACGATAATCAATATCGAATGGAAAGTGAAGAGTTGCAGCTGGTAAAGCGCGTGCGACAACACATGTAAAACGTATCAATTGATTTTCACGGATATGGATATGACCGTTATTTAGTTTTAATGATTGTTGTATAAGATTAGGACTTGTTGCGTTTGATGGAAGATCTCTGGATGAATCTTGATTTATAATTAATTGTGCACCAAGTTCCACAGTTAGAGGGCGAACTAGAAGAGAGAGAGAAAAACGAAGACCGATTATTGAACATCCGAGTTGCGAATGAATAAAGAACGAGAAATGTATTGGTAGTACCATTTTATATGGATGTATACGTTTTTCTTTTGGCTATAATAACATAGGCAATGAATACCAGAGTATGAGAAACAATTTAATGAACGGAAATATAGAATTATGATTCGTATGAAAAAAAGAAGGGACGAGAAAAGAATAATAGACTAAGTATGAGTAGTGAAAACGATAGATGCTATTCATGGACTAGGACAATAGCCGATACATTAAATAAAAAAAAAGAATGGAAATGAACAGATCGATAGAAAAAGAATTGTGATGGTGACTGATTTGATATGTTCAGAAAGAATTCTACACTTGCTAGAGCTAAAGAATGTTAGAAAAGGGAATTCATCTTTGCCGATCTCAAGAGACAGATGTGCTAATCTTTTGTTTAGATATGCAATGTTGTCAAACTGAATTTTAACAATGATTCTGCATTGATTCTCCGAGTGTGCAATGAAGCGTAAAAGAACAAACGAGGAATACAATCTTGTTGAACGAACTAACTAGAGTTTTATTATTTGAACACTTGATGTAATCGAACTTCTGTATCTCTCTTTTTCCGTCTGTGTTGAC